ATGCTCGCCTGTCAGGGTTGCTACGGGCATTTCACTATTCATTGTAATATCGTCAGTTTGATATTCTAATACTTCCATCTTTATCTTTGGTTAGCGATTCTCAATTCGAGTTTTATTTTCGCAAGTTTTAATACTATATATTTTGTTGCATTTTCAGTAGACTAGACAAATAAAGTACCAACCCTGTGTGAATCCCTCACAGTATATTGTGGCTAGAGTTCCTATGAGTTGCGCCACTCTCCATTATGTTCGACATGACGGTCGCATTTGCATCGCATTTAAAACTCTTACGTGGCAACGCCCGTATTCCCAAAGGTAGTAAATTCTCTTTCTGGCTTTCCCCCCTAGCGCGTTTTAATACCTAACTTTAAATATATTATCAGTTTTCATGCTGTATCGTGTGGCGCCGTGGCGTCGCCCTCCGCCCTTCGTGTTACGTTTTTAAATATTTACAATCAATTTTCCTTTAACATGTGCTTTTTCCCTTTGAGTAGCGTTTGTTTTCTTTAGACACGCTCTCTGAAGTTATTTTCTACTTTTGTATTACTGTTTGAATACATACATCGGTAATACATATTTGGTTATCTATTTGACACTTACATTACGTAGGGTAGTACGGGAAAATGTTGATCAAATTTTTCCGGTGCTAGTATCACATGTTCAATAACAAAGGAAATTATTATGTAAATATAATTAGCCGCAGTAATTTGATTTCGCGTACGTTTAAAATTATGAATATGTTACAAAATCATTAAACTTTTTGATAATTTCAAATGTACTATTGATTTCAAAAGTTATGTTAGTCAATGATTATGTAAAGTGGAATCTAAGAGCAGCCGCAGTCTGCTACTGCTGACCGCATCGTGAGGTCACAGATCAATCAGCTAACGATCTGCGACTTAACATCAGTTTTAGTCCGATTTACAATTGAAAAAAAAAATATTGTGGTAGACTCCGCACTTCTATTCATTTCATTTTGAATCGTCACATAAAATAGATGGTCGCAATTAGAACAGATTGCGATAGTAAAACGTAGACGTAATTCAAATCGCCATCGAATTCGACTCTCTTTTCAAATTAAAGTCGGGGTCTAAGTCGACCGAGTAAAGTCGAGCTCGCCGTGAGGGATTAGTCTCATCTGAGGGAAGATTTTGCGTTGCGATTCCTCTCACGTGCGGCCCACCCGACCACCCATTCTCCCGACCTCCGTCTCGAGCTGTCAAGCCGGCGCCTTATTACCTCACAACTATTGCCTACGATGGAGCTTACGTGACGAACAAGAAATGACGCCGTTCAGAGAAAATCATATGCCTATAATATAGGTACAATAAGACTGTTGTGAAGACAAGCTACTGTTTCCAAAAAAAAGCAATGTATTTTTTTTGTCCGAGATATATTGTAAACCACATATGAGTTTTTTAATACTAAAGGGATAAATATAAACTAAAAATATTCTGAATAGTGAAAAGACAGGTATGCAATTTTCAAGAGAACACAATTTTGCGGTGGCCATAAAATGTCGGACATTTTGTTGCAAGCACCGCAACAACCATATCATGGCTGGCTTACGTCCGCTATTACCACGCAATAGCCGTTGCCGGCGACAACTAAAGCCCTCTCGTGTACGTTGACTACATAAAATCGATACTCGGTAGTCGGCACTGTGTTGTCACGCGAACACTCCGCACGAGCCTTTCATTAGCTCGGCGCGAATGCTCCCCGAATAAACATTAGGCGACTCGACTCAATTCGATTTTAATGGCTTTCCGATACTCGGCCCAATGCGATTGGTATGCATATTTTATGTCGCCTCCTGGCCATTTGAAATTTATGTGGTGAATTCAGTAGGCCGAATGACAAAAATGGAATTTCTGATGCGATGAGTATTGACGATTGATACTTAGAAGGTAATAATGCCTTCTAATTTTTTTTCAGTACTTAATGAGAACTTTTTAATGTTATAAAGTCTATGTCCTTGTTTGCTGAATACGTAATCAAGGGTTAACAGTCCAGTATTTTCTTCGATGCCATATTACAGATTATTGTCTAATTATCTCAATTATAGTAATGACTAGACAGACTTGACACAAAGTTAACTCGTAGCGCTCGTATTATAAAGCCAGTGGGTAGTGGTCTTCATGTGAGAGCGGCGTCGAAGCGGAACTTGTCTGACCTATCTTTATCCGCAGCCCAGCGCCGCTCAGCGCCCGTCAAGAAACCCATCGGCAAGCCTAGGACCAAACAACCAAAAAAAGTTAAATTCATCAGTAAGTGGATACAAAGATACATTGATTAGTCGTTTTGATTTTGTAGTCGCTTGTTTGGTTTTTTATCTTCATAATTTTACTTTGGTTTTACAGATATTTTGTAATTTTTTTAAGACTACAACTATTAATTATTGGGAGCAAGAAAATAAGTTGTCATCAAACTTTTACAAACCTTTTTCCATCGCCAAATACTTGTAGGAAAATGTGGAAACACGATCAATTTCGGTTTTATAAAAGGCGTCGCTTTTTATAAAAGTTTCCTTCAACAATTCTCACAAAGTAATCCGAAACAACCATTACACGGAATTTCCTTTCATGTTATTACAGTTTACATGGGATCTGCCGTCTTTTGATTGGGGTGAAGTTTATACTCTTTTGTCATATTTTCCCTGTTCAATTTGGTTTTCTTTTCGTTTGTTTTATTTCGCAATGTTTTGTAATTTTGTATTCAAACATATTGTTTGTGTATAGTATACCATATGCATTTTTTTTATTGCTTTCGAGAGAAGTGTAGCTACAAATAAGTTTGTGTCTAGGTTTTGTAATTGTAAGCCTATGCATAGACTTTTTTTTTATGATAACTATGTACAGCATTTAAATTTTAAAACACTTTCATTTTACAAACAACATCAAACAGACGAAAGAAATCACTTAGACGAGTTCTCATCAAGAATATTCTAGTTACTTTCTACGTCTAGAACAAGCTATAGGTACATACTTGGAAGTTAAACATAAAAGCAAGCTCACACGAGTAGATTTTGAAGTAAATAAAGCACAAGTATGACGTCATAATTTTATTGCACGTTGTAAATGCACCCCGCAATAACTGCGTGAGTCACCCGGGGTGTCGCAAGCCCTTCGCAAATATCCCTCGCCTTCTTTACTTACGTACATTACCTTTACAAAACGACCTTGAAGTTGCAGCTATATTGCCAGCATCGATCCGTCGCTACTAATAATACTTTGAAACTAGTTAATGGATTCTCTTGCCGTTCCGGTCATTAAGATTTTATCTCTAAGAACTTTTAAAAAGTTTGTGTTTGAAATGTTCAGCTGTTACTGACGATGGATTTTAGTCTCGTATTTCATAAATTTAATTCTATAACTATACTACTACTATGTATATTTTACGATTTGTTTAGTTTAATATTATTTTTAAACTTAACGTCAGATATGTCTTAAAACTTTTACTTTTAATTGGATATTGTTAAAATAACAACGAAATTATGTCTTAAAATAGTCAGTGGAAATATGTATGTAAATATTATTATCACAAAGTAAATTAATGGACCCAAATTATGTGCGCGATGTGGGGTGCTTATCATTTTCTAAGTTAATTTATAGCGCGTGATGAGACTCGTTTATTAGATAAGAGCCGCTTGGGCGTTTGTTATTAAATTTTATACTATAATTAAAATATCAATTTATTCCTTGAACAACGAGTTCGTAACTTACATTTTTATAAGAAATTGTATTTTAAAGATGCCCTTTATTGAACTCAAAATTCGACTTTTGAATTAATTGTTTTAAATGGTAAACAGCATAGCAATAAACAAGTATAAAACTACATCCTCAATTTAAAACCCCCCCAAGGCATAACGCAATTTACACCCCCTATTCAAATATTCGCACCGCAAGCTTCAGAAGTCGTCGTTTCCGTGCTCAAGTGTCCGCCAACCCCTTCCGGTAGACTTAGCCGCCCCTGCAGCTCGAGTATCGGTTATTCCCCGATTTTTTCACGCCCTGCGCATAACCCATTCAGATACGCCGATACTTGTTACCCTTTATGTACGCGAATTCTATAATGGTACTTTATAATAAATATATTCGAAGGAAGTTAGTTAAAAAAAAATGAGTACCTCTTTTATCCCCAAATTCTTAATAACTTGATTAAGAATTGAGATATATTTATCAATTTGATGCTTGGATGGATTATTAATTGTAATATTTTCTAGCTTAGGTTCCTTCAATGTACTATGTGCGATCCAAAATCGAATACATTTTAAATGTGTATAGTAAGGTCACTTTTTTAATTGATTTCCTACAATATAATAGCATTGTATTATAGACGATAATTACATGAAAATTGTTGTACTAATGCTTTCATATGCTGTCGATAAAACTTAAATAATAATATAACAATCGCGTGCATTATCTTTCACAAGTGAACAATAACCGTTTCATACAGCAATAGTTTTAATGATGATAACAGTAAGCGAGGCCATTTCTACATTTATCTGATCTGAAAAGCCATTTATTTTAACTGCAATTTTAAATGGCTATTGCTCACTAAAAGTAGAAGAATATTAGTTATAATTTGTATTGTTGAGGGATATAACGTAAAACAAAAGTTTGCAGTTTTGTAATTTCACTACCTTCTTCCCCTTTTAATTAAAAATACAAATAATTATGCTTTTGAACGTATAAATCCGATAATTGCTTTCATAAACATAAACTAACTTCATAAAGGAAACAACGTTTAAATAGATTGAGTGGGTTTCTTTTTTTTTTGTTTCAAATATTAGCAGATTTTTGTAAATTTACTAATATTTCTTTTACCATTCCAACTAAGCTCTATACTTGTGCTAGGAAATGGTTTACGACAATAGTAGAATGGTGGGATTCGAACCCCGATCTCATGATCAGAAATTCGTACACTTAACCATTAGGCTATTGGCGCTTCTCGAACAATTTTTCTTATCAATATATTGAATTGCTTAATTTTTGTGACAGCTACCGAGATCCGCTGCCAGGAGATGTCAAAGGGCGGTCTGGCGTACGAGGTGATCCTGGCTGAGCCGGTGGGTGTGCCCGCGCCCCGCCGCGCCGACTCCCCGGAGAAGACTCCTTCCGTCGAGGAGATCCAGGAGAAGCTCAAGGCTGCTGAGGAAAGGAGACGTGTAAGTTACATGCGCACAATGAATTAATATTTATGAGGGGAGATTGAGATTGGAAGTGGTCTTCGGTTTCTTCGGCGCCAGTGTTCGGCTTTACGTTTCTTAAAAGTTGGCAGGCTTGGTCAACAGTTTGTGTTTTATTTTTTATATCTACGGTGCTACACGTTCTACCAACATATCGGTTGATTCATTAAGAGCTTTTGCAAAGGTCTTTCAAAATATTCACTTTCATAACAAGACTTTTTAGTCACTGCCTGCCAATGGTAAAGCTTCTATGTACGAAGAAAATATTAACAAAGTTTTATTAAAATTAAATCTTAATCTGTTTAAATATCAGACCATATATCCTATATATGGAATGCATTTATATGCAATTGTATGTAGTTTATATATTTGCTTGTTTAATAAAATAATAATCAAAATACACCATCTTGAACCGTTTCTCGTGCGTAGCTTGAGGCGCTACTTGCAACCCCCATGTTATACTCAGCAAGGTAGGGACGTGTCAGTGACGTATATTACGTAATGAGCCTCTTTTAACAAGAACATGAGAGCTGTTTGTTTAATGTTATACAACCTCTCACTTATGCATTTTGGAAGTCATCCCCTGTGATTATCAATTAATTATAATGTTAGATATTTAAAGGAATACGGATTTTAAAGGTATTTGGTTAACTTTGGATTGTATCGTCTACATCTACGCTACATGTCGTAAAAATGTTCTAACCACTTTTTAGGAAATAGTAACCACTAGGAAATTAACAATGAAGCTGCTTGTTTTAAAACAAAAGCTGCTCAACGGTGTAAAGGACAATATGAACGAGGTATATTTGTGTGAGTTGGAGCGTAATATTCTGCTTTCCGGCGGCTAAATTACGGCTTTTTGCTCAAGGGCCCAACATTGTAGCGTTGTTGGTCCTCTGAGAGACCCTCCAGTGGCTCCTTTATACGTAATGTGTCTACAGCGCCTGTGGGCTTGCTGCCTTAATGAATAACTACTGTACATTGTACTTTTGTATTACACCTTGTTGCGTACTTTATAGATATTCACAACACTTATTAATTTTGTAGATATGTTTGTTATCTGAAATTTAATGTATTCTTAAACATAACAATTGATAGAAGAAAAAATTGTTGAAATTAAAGCAAATGAGCGAAATAATTGTATAAAATAGTTTGTAGTGTATCTCATTATCTTTGAATAAAGAAATTCGATAAATTAAAAGCTTAGCTATATTTCTTTCTTTCCATTCCAGAGCTTGGAAGCAAGCAAGATGGCTGTGATCGCACAGAAGATGGCCAAGATCGAGGAGGCGTCGCGCATCCGTAGCGAGCAGACCAACAACTTCATCTGCACAACTAAGGAGGCGCTCGATGCCAAGATGGACTCGCATGAGGAGAAGCGCGAGGCTTATATCAGCGAGCTGCGCGCTCGCCTCAAGGACCACCTCGAGGGCGTCGAGAAGACCAGGTAAGACCAGTCACGTTAGACCATGTAACAATAACTTTAGATTAGAAAGACCAGCCAGATGGCCCAAGACATGCCAGTTTGATGAGATGAGACGAGTGGTAAACGTAGACCATTTTTACTAGGTAGGACAGAAAATCATAATAATGTCAAACTTTAGAAGAATAGAAAAGAGTAATATGTGTGATGTTATGTCAGTTAGGCTAACGTCTCGTTTCTTGTTGGATACCGGAGATGAACTTAATTTCCTTTTGACGTTTGCCTGTGATTTGAATTTCCTTTATGTAGGCCGTATCTTGTCAGAGTATCGGTTATATGGTTTCACGAAATCGGTTCCATCATATTCTCTGCAATGTTGCAGCGTATACGATTTAGGTTTGGTTTCCATAGAAACTACGTATAAAGAAAATATTTCCGTTCCATTTTATTAAAAAACTTCTATTTTTGGACATGTTATTTGCATGAGATATTTATAGATTTTAGTTTATGTGTTCCCATTCTAAGTATTATATAGAGCAAAAGTATCTCTCGTGCATGGGGTGGTGCGGGGCGGGGTCGTGCCGCACAATGCGCCGGCCCTCGACCGACTTCCGCTGAGTCGTTTCTAAAGAAACCTGAATAATTTGTTCCGATGCGAAATGTTGCGCCATTACACTAGAATTGTGTCTATCCCTGATTTAACTTATATTTGTGCTTACACTAGCGGTCGCCCGCAACACGGTCCGCGTGGAATTAAAAAAAAAACATAATTAGTAGCCTATGTTCTTCCAGATAATGTTCTATTTGTATACCAAATTTCATCGCAATCTGTTCAACCGTTCTGGAAATACCTTCAAGCACACATACATCCATCCGAGACGTACGAACAATAAAATCAAGACCTTTACTTTGTCCTTTACACCTTTTAGACAAAAACTTGGTACGCAAATCAAAAAACCAAGATTGTAACGTGTTTTTTAGCACTTAGCACCCGATGATGGCATCTGATATTAAATTTTGATGTGGTCGACAGATTTCGTAATTGTCGCAGTAATGTTTAAGATTGTGATTGTGCCGTGTGCGTCAGGTTGTCCCTGGAGCAACAGACGGCGGAGGTGTACAAGGCGATCGAGGAGAAGATGAACACAGCCGCCGACAAGCGTGATGAGAACATCAAGAAGATGCTGGAGCGCCTGCGTGAACATGTAAATAACATAACATACATATATACCCAGTGTCACACTGGTCTACTAAAGGTCTTCTTACGAATCAGAGTCACCGAACTTGTTTTTAACATCCTTTTGAAATCTTATCGAAAGTTTAAGGATCTGTAACAATATAGCTTGAAATTTGTTATGGTAGGAGGAGCAGGTGCAGAAGGTGCGTGATGGCAACCGGGAGCGGTTCCAGCAGCTGGAGAGCGCCATCCAGGAGAAGCTGCAGCAGGCCGCAGAGCGCCGCCTCCAGCTCGAGGCCGAGCAGAAGGAGAAGCTGCGCAACCACGTCAGTATACCACACCTCCCCTACCTTACCTCCTCACCAGTAGCAGTTGTTCCAATGTGATGTCACTCTCGGAAGTCTAGCCTCGAATCTTATTTTTTTAGACTTAATTCATTGTATTGTCGGTTTATTTTTTATTTTTTGATTTATGGCATCAACTCATCTACATCATCATAGATTGGTTTAGTGGATTATTTATATTAAAAACGCGTTCCAATGAACAAAATACAAATAAAAAAAACCCTAAATCAACTCATTGATTCCATCATGCATGAATTATTTTTATTTGTTCATTATTTTTGTTGATTTATTTATTCTGTGATACGATACGATCGCGCAACAGAACAATAAGCTAGCGGAGGTGCGCTCCGTCATCTCCGCCAAGATGGAGGAGATCACCAAAGACATCGAGGTAAAGCTCACCACCGCAGAGCAGAATAGGGAAAAGGAGATACAAAAGAAATTGGACTTTGTTAAAAAGGAGGTTCGTATCGATATCCATCCTGCATGACCATCATCATCATCATCATCATCATCACATACATTTCAAATTTTTTCTTTTCTTTTAAACGTCTGACAAAAACATGAATATTCTAATATTTGTAGATTTTTATTATACTAGTTAACACATTTTCGTTAAAAACTGAAAAACTCAAAATTTTTTAACTCAATATTACAATATTAATTTATTTATAAAAAAATAAAAAAGAAGACATAATTTTTTAAGATGTATAAACAAACAAAAAAATTAACAAAATAATAAAAGAAAGTAAAATATTTCATAATACGTTTGTGATTTGTTTAGGAGCGACGCGCCGAGCTTGTGCGACAGAACAAGAACGCGCGCGCCGAGACCGAGCCCGCGCCCACATCGGGCTAGGCGCCGCGCCCACATCGGGCTAGGCGCCGCGCCCACCTCGCCGTCTGCTGCCGCCACACACAACATACAACCACGCAACCCCACAACACCACAACCCCACACAACACATCTACTCTACACCACAACCCCACAACTCAACAACACAACACAACAACACAACCCAACAACTCACAAGCCAGGACCGCATCGAAACACAAAAATACCAAATACACAAAGTAAAAGGAACTTGCCGTAGACTAAATACGAAGTAAAACTCATCCTAGTACTTAAAGCAAGTGCGTTCGGGGTTTTTGTGTATCGATGTACTCGAATGTATGGAGAACTGGACCTTTAATGTAAGACCTTACGGTCCAAGTTGTAGAGGAGTGGGTCCGTGACGTCACCACACGCACACGCACTGCAGCTGCAAGGAAACGGTGCTGTTGATCCACTTGAGACTGAAAATTATTTTAAATCTCTTATTAAGTTTGTATTCATTTATTTTATATTATTTTTCTGAATGTTCCTATTATTTTATCATGAATTATATAACTCGTGTTATGTAAAAATGTACGCGCGGCACTTTTCCTTGGCATTTGAAGTTCGTAAATGAATTGACGGCAGCTTTACGGTATGTCGAGTATGGTACAAGGCCAGTAAGGCACTAGTAACAGTTTACTAATTAATGTATAAGAATTTAATTACCGTAGCACACTGAGACATTCTATTTTTAAAGTTACACCTAAGCTAGCTGTTGAATTGCTAATTGTTTCAAGTTATTTAGTGAAAATTACTAGTGTGTTAAGGCCCTTAGATATTTGTATCTTTATGTAAGGAAGAGTAACGATGCAGTGACGATGTTGGCTGGGCCAGTAGGGAATGGTATAGTATGCGGGGCGGCAGTCGTTTATATATTTTTATTTAGAACCCCCCGCGGGGTGCTTTTTTTGGCTCAACTTATTTCCTCTTACTCTTGTTTAAAAGATAAAAACATTTTTTTGGTAAATTTTATTTTCGTAATATGGCAACATTTATTTTCTATGGCCTATTATTTTTTATTCTAACATTAATTCAAGTCGTAATTAGTATTGGATTTTTGGGAAAGAAGTAAATAACATTAACTGAGACGAATTTAGATACGTTAGTGTTGTGTGTACCGCGCCGCGCTATCGGCACTTGTAAGAGGAGCAGTACGCGGGATGAGGCGGGAAGGCAAATAGTACTATTTCTAATCGTTAGTAATAGTGTTATATCATTATTTTTAATATCTAACATACGCAACAGTATTTTTAGGGAAGTATAATCTAAATTTAAGTTTATCTCATGTTCTTAACATTTTAACTAATCGCCATACGCTAGGCTGGAAACCTTCGGGCGGATATTTTCCATCGGATTTGTCGGTCGGTTAGTTTTGTGACTGCATCGGTTTGTGTGAAGTCGACATTTGTTTGATCAGTACTCCTTTATGTCGCGGCATGAAGCGCGATATGGCAACCCCGGGTGGGAATTCCTTCTGATTCTAACTAATCGCTAATTATTATACTAATATAAAGCTTTTGCTATAAAACTGAAAAATATTAAATGATGTAATTGTACTATTTTCTGCTAGAAGAGGGAGTTCACAGTGTACACCCAGTGTTGCCAGACTCAGGCTCGGCCGCGAGCAACATCTAGTCCACGTTTTATATCTAAGTTGTTGGAATCACTTCCATGTTATGATCTCAGAGAACGCAATAAATGTTTTGTCTAAAACTTAGTTAACATCGGAAGTGCCTCAGTAATCGTTAACCGGATATATCAATAAAACGTATGACATATGAAACTGCCTTTCATAGCGTTTTATATTTTTTTAATGAACTGTAGGGAGGAGGCGCAGCCGCGGACTGGTGCGGGCGATGGACGCGATGGACGCGATGGACGCGATGGACGCGATGGACGCGGTGGACGCGAGTCGCTTCTGTGATGTTTTTGCTCTAGTGATATCGTATCGATTATTCGGTTAAGCACAAATTGTATCGATACGTAGGTTACGAAATATTCTCGGCTCTATTCAGTAATCGATTGTAATGGGAAAACATTAGGAGAATGGAGTCCGGGTAAGGACGGCTCGAGGCGGACACGCGGGGTAGTCGCGGTGTAGTCGCGGGGTAGTCGCGGTAGAAGCGAGAGGGTTTTTGTATTTGATAGTATATTTTTGGCATTGATCGGGCGTCGATGTAGCCAGCGCGGCGACCTGGAGATATCGACATGTATATACAGAGAGGGCGAGAGGCGAGAGGCGACAGGCGAGGCGTACTGCTTGGCACGTGAGCGGCGAGGCGACAGCTTTCCTGCTTACTCCATGTTACTAACGCTACTCGAGTAAGTGACCTAGTTGTAAGTTACTAGCTTGTTTTTCGGTGAAGACGTGAAAACCTCTGACCAATTTGCCTTGGATATTGTGTAGCCTTTTAGATCCGCGAGATCGAGACGAATCATGTATAGCGACGCGACTTATAGCTTTCAGATGATTATATTATGTTTTTCTTTAATATTAGTTACTACATTATCACTTACGGTGTTATTATGTACGTTAATTTTATATTTTCTCATTAATAATAATATGCTTCAGTTTGTGAGAAGTATAATAATGCTGTTTGAAGTGCAGGCAACTTTTGTAGTTTCATTGTCGTATTGAATAAAGTCATAAATACTAATAAAATATGGTTTGTTTCATTTCCACGGGAACCCTACAACACTCATCACACTTTAAAAAAACTATATTCAAAAATATGTAATAAAAAATGAAAGTAAAGAAGGACGATTTTAGGTAAAAGAAAACGATTTACACGTAATAGCTTCAACTACTCTTACTTCGGGGGTTTTCTTTTTTGGTCAAGATGAACCAATGATTGCTGATACGATTCTTCATCATTAAGTTCGACTGTATACTTGGCCGCTCTGGATCTGCTGAAGAAAAAAACTGTAGCTGACAGTATCATCTAAGTTTATACAAAAACTTGGCGACCGTAGTTCCTATTTTTGCCACGTTACAGATAGTGACACTGGTGGTGTAAACCTTGCCCAGACTTTTATTACCTTGTCATCGCACGAATTTAAAAAAAAAACTTTGGCATGTTGCTTATGTAGATCACTTCCTTATAGATTAATATTTAGTATGATCAGTGAGTATTTGTACGTTTAAAATATGAGGGAACAATGCCTAACTGCCCACCTACATAAAATAAATATCACTAGCTTTGCTGAAGAACCCTTTTGAACCCAAGAACAGTTAGAACGTCATGAAAGAGATCCTGCTATACAATTAGCATCATTACTTGCTCAAATCGACCCTCAATAGGATGATTCTCATCTAAACTTTGTCAAGCCAGAAAAATAAAATGGGATAGAAAATACAAAATACTAATATGTTGCGAACACAACACTCCTCGTATGAGGGGTTTTTATTTATTTTTGCATTCAAAGCGCTGTACCATGCAATATCACCAGTGGTAGTCGCCGATAAAAACAAAACATTTTCCACAAATGGGTCTAACGTGCTCCATTTGCCTCGGAAACCTATAAAACACACTACGAAGTAATGCGCGCGTAAAAACCAGTACAGTAGGACAGTAGCACTGGGGCCAAAATGAGTTACATTTTGCTATTTCAATGCCAAAATTAAGATGCGCCAGCGGGGTGAGAGACTAATTGAATGCCAGTGCTGATTTTGAGCGCTGTGAAATCGTTATATTTGTATATGGCTATACTGCAGTAAACATACTACGAAGTACTTACGTACTCTGTGACACTATGAAATAGTTACATACTCTTTGAAGTAAATGTCTTTTTAAAACTGTTTTATATACTCTTTGCTGTTGACCTAAAGGTCTATGTTGCCAGGTCATAAAATTAAAAAAACAATAAAACTGTCAAGCAAGATGTCAAGACAAATCAAAATGGCTGCGAAAGCCGAAAGTGTTTTGATCTTGTCTTGATCACATTGTACAATATATTAAAATTATTCTTAACATAAATAAAGCTAACTTATATTTATAAGAATTAAAAGAAGATACATTTGAAAAAATACAACAGTTGATTTACAGTCTACACAAATAAAATGGAGAACAAGGAAAATAAGAGTAAAAAAGACAAACACGATGATAACGAAGAATATCGTAAAGAAAAGAGGTCAAAAAGAGCTCGAACACGATCACGATCTCGAAGTCGTGATCGTGATGCTAAAAAAGATCGCGATAGGGACACGAGACGTAAGCGGAGGCATTCGCGAAGCCCCGATGCTTACGATAAACGTAGAAATGAAGCATCGAAAGTTGATGAAAAGAAGCCACCACCGGAAAAGAAAGCAAAGGATACCGATATGTTAAATACTAGAACGGGCGGTGCTTACATACCACCAGCTCGTCTCCGCATGATGCAAGCTCAAATAACTGACAAATCTTCTATGGCATATCAGAGGTTAGCTTGGGAGGCACTCAAAAAGTCAATACACGGCCACATCAACAAAATCAACGTTGGCAATATCGGAATAATTATAAAAGAGTTGTTGAAGGAAAATATTGTCCGCGGACGTGGATTATTGTGTCGATCTGTAATCCAGGCGCAGGCAGCTTCCCCGACGTTCACAAATGTATACGCTGCCTTGGTCGCCGCGGTGAACTCTCGGTTTCCTAATATTGGCGAGCTATTACTAAAAAGGTTGGTTATACAGTTCAAAAGAGGTTTTAAGAGAAATGATAAGGCTATATGTATATCATCTGCATCTTTCATTGCTCATCTTGTTAACCAAAGGGTAGCTCATGAGATCCTTGCATTGGAGTTGTTAACATTACTTGTTGAAACTCCAACTGATGACTCTGTTGAGGTAGCTATAGCATTCCTTAAGGAATGTGGGCAAAAACTTACTGAGGTATCTTCTAAAGGGGTTAATGCTATATTTGAGATGTTGAGGAATATTCTACACGAGGGGCAACTAGATAAGAGGGTGCAGTACATGATTGAAGTGATGTTTCAAGTCTGGAAAGATGGTTTCAAAGATCATCCTGCATTAATTGAAGAGTTGGAGTTGGTGCCTGAAGAGGAGCAGTTCACACATCTGTTGATGTTAGATGATGCCACTGATCCACAAGATATCCTGAGTAAGTTATTTACATCACCATAAATTACCAACTAACATTTTATGAAAGTCAAAGTTTTCTATAAGATTTCTCGCTTTTTAATCTAACTTTTAACATTTGATATGTTTATAAAAAGACATGTTTATATTTTTTTAACTCATGTTGTGTTATAAATTTAACTGCAATGTAAATACCCTCTGTTACAGATGTATTCAAGTTAGATGAAAAATATGAGGAGAATGAACAAAAGTACAAAACTTTGAGCAAAGATATCCTTGGCTCTGATGCTGAGTCTGGGTCGGAGGATGGCTCTGGTGAATCTGGCAGCGAAGAGTCTGGTGAAGATGAGGAGGAAGAAAAGAAGGAAATGACAATAATAGATAATACTGAAACCAATCTTGTGGCTCTACGTCGCACTATCTATCTCACTATAAACTCCAGTTTAGACTTTGAGGAATGTGCGCACAAATTGATGAAAATGCAGCTTAAGCCTGGACAAGAGGTTGAACTGTGTCACATGTTCCTTGATTGTTGTGCAGAGCAGAGAACATACGAGAAGTTTTATGGCCTCTTAGCGCAAAGATTTTGTAACATTAACCGGATGTACATTGGCCCATTTGAGGAAATCTTCAAAGATTCATATTCTACTGCACATAGATTGGATACAAATCGTCTGAGAAACGTAAGCAAATTCTTTGCTCATCTGTTGTTCACGGATTCAATCAGCTGGGAGGTGATGGATTGCGTTCGCCTGAACGAAGAGGATACGACTAGCTCCAGTCGTATCTACATCAAGATATTGTTCCAAGAGCTGGCAGAGTACATGGGTTTGAAGAAATTGAATGAACGCCTCAAGGACCCGTAAGTTCTGTTTAGGAGTAGTTCTGCTTCAACAACGCAAATATAGCTTATCAAAATAAAAAATCTGTAAAAAAATTAAAGTTTATAGTAGAACTTGTTATCATAAATTACAAATTGAAAAAATAAGCTATGCCATAGAAGCATGTACTACTCCAATTTTTTCTTTATATTTTTGAGTTTTATCAAATTTTAATGTATCAATTTTTCTTTTTCAGGACATTACAAGAGGCCTTCAGTGGTCTCTTCCCACGGGATAATCCAAAGAACACTCGCTTCTCCATAAATTTTTTTACTTCTATAGGTCTAGGAGGGCTCACCGATGAACTTCGGGAACATTTAAAGCAAATGCCTAAGGTAAATTTCTTTTTAAGTTTAAGAACTAAGTAATTTTTAGGGTTCTGTACCTCATAGGAAAAAAACGGAACCCTTATAGGATCACTTTGTTGTCCATCCGTTCATTTGTCAAGACCTTTTTTTTTATGTAACAAAATTCTTATAAATTCATTTCAGAATGTACCCGCTCAAATAACCAATATCACGGTCGATTCGAGTTCCAGTAGTTCCAGTTCTAGTTCCAGCAGTTCTGATTCTTCTTCAAGTGACTCCAGCTCTAGTGGTAAATATAGAAATTTTCTTTCATTTAATTCATGTATATCAAGTGTCGGTCTTTATTTTGAGTTTGACCTGATGATTCCGTTATTACTATATAATTCACTAGTGATTAGTGCAATTTAACAACAACATTGTTAGCATTGTAAATCTGTAATAAACATTTTAATTTTTCAGATTCATCTGATGAAGATAAGACAAATAAGAAAGCTGACAAAAAGAAGAAATCTAAAGGAAAGAAAACTCAATCAACTCAACCTAATGAAGAGGAACCAAAGGAAAAGGATAAAGAAGCACCGGAGAGGTGGGGCCACGATGGTTTTTACGATACTTATGGACAAGATGCTCGCCGAATGAATTCTAGGCCTGAAAGATCGGAAAGAGACACCTTTGCTAGACCAAATGGAGGATCGCGAAGAAAAGATAACAGGGATGACTTCAGAAATGGAGAAACTGATAGTGGTGACAGGCGGCGGAATAACAGAAGAGAAGATGATAGACAAGATAGAAGAAATCGAGACGAAAATTATGAAAGAAGTAGAGACCGTGAAGAGAATAGAAGGGAGAGAGACCATGAAAGCGATAGACGTAGAAATCGTAATGAAAATGATATTCGTAACGGAGACCGAGAAAGTAGAAGTGATAGAAGATATGATAATAAAGAAACCAGCAGAAGTGATCGAGAGGATATTAATTCTAAACGACCTAATAAGGATGAAGAACACAGGAGATATCGCGAAAGTGAAACAGATAAGAGAATACAAAGAAACGAAGATACCGACAGAAGTAAGGGCAGGCAAGGAGACGAGGTAGAAACAAAAAAAGACAATAGAAAAGACAAAGATGGAGAAAATACTGACAAAGATAAACGAAGGCAAAGAAATAGAAATGATGTCGATGAAGGTCAAAGAAAGGAAATAGACCGAGAAGATGCTGAAAGATATAAAAGAAAACAAAAAGATGAAGAAGAAAGCGATCGCGAGAAGAGGAGACAGCGACACGAGGAAGAATCTGAGAGGGACAGGACAAGGCAAAAGAGAGATGAAAACAATTATAGAGATACAGAGAGAGGAAGAGAAGACCAAAATGTCAGAGATAAGAGAAGAGAAAGAAACAAAGAAGACTCAAACAGAGACAATCGTAAACAGGGAGGTGATGAATATACTGACAGAGATAATAGAAAACAACAAGATAAAGACGATGCTGTTATCAATAAAGATTCAAGAAAGGTCAGTCAGAATGAGAAAGCGAAAGATTATAATAAAAGTCATAGAAAAAATGAGGAGAACATACAATCTAATAGAATGGAAAAGAACGATGATTCGCAACGTTCTAAAGAAACAGTTAACACATCATATGATCACCTAAATAAAAATATTAAATCCAAAGTTACCACAGTCAGTAAGGAAGAATCAGCTAAAAACAAAACAGAAGTAGAACATAAAAGCAGAAGTAGGAATGAAAAAGAGAAAGATAACAAAAATAAAACGAAAACTAAGAGTAAAAAGAGAGATGTGAGTAGCAGCAGCAGTAGTAGTAGTAGCAGCAGCGACAGCAGCAGTAGCAGTAGTGAAGAAGAATCCAAACGCAGAAAGAGAAACAAAAAGAAGAATAACAAAGATGGCAAGCATAAAGTGGAAACTGGAAGTAAGAAAAGTAAAGACAGAAAAAAGATTGAAGGCAGCAGTAGCAGTGACAGTAGTAGCGAAAGTGAGGATGAGAAGGAAAATGACAAAAATAAACTGGGCGGCCGATACTGGAACAATTTTGATATAGAAACCAATGCCACAGTTACATCAAAGTAAACACAAAATTAATATGAGTAATCTTATGATTTTGAACACTTCTGTAAATATATGAATTTTAATTTGTAAACTAAGCGCCAATTGATTGTTTATTAAATATTTTAAAAGAGGTCCATCTTTATTATTTACGTTGATTTGAAGAAAAAGTAATTATTAATTTGGCTGTCATTCTTGTCAATTGACATTGTTCGAGATACTTAAATAAGTTCTCTAAATTAATAAATAATCCTTATAAGCATTTGAACTTATTATAAAGTTTACGAAAATGGATGCTATGGAATCAGGGTCTAGTGAGGTGACAGATCATTCGAGCAAAAACTATATGAAGGTTGTATCGGAGCCCGCGTTGCTTCATGACGGAGTCGAGAGTGAGACTAAATTGAAACCGCAAATCTCCGCACCTTCTTACTTTCATTCTTTGAGCGAGAACGAAGCACCACCGTTCATGATGCCAGAGGAAGAAGACAGTCCCCACATCCTAATTGACATGCTGGTAACCGAAGATGATGTAGTGAGGATGATTGCGGTCTCTCAAATGGAATCTAAATCTACATTTAAAAAATATCTAGGTGTGCTTAAATTATCATAATATTTATTTCAAACCAAAACCTAAACATGTAACTTCTAAAATATCCAATTCCATGTAATTTCCCTCCAATTTGTCTTATTATTTCTACACATTTCGTTTGAAAATATATTCTTCCATCAAAGTTTAGGACATATACACATACATTTGGGAAAAGTACAATTTACGTTTAATATGTTTTCCAGCTGACTACTTAGGAGACAAGAACTTGGTTCAAAACTTCAATTTATCTGAGAAGGAATTCTTAATAAACTTACTTCTGCAACTGATAGAGTACTCAGCACAGCGGGACTTCAACGCTAAAAAATTAGCTTGTGTTTTAGCGATTTATTTGACTACTCATTTATATTTTAAACGATACTTCTGGACCGCGCCCACAGCAGTCTGGGAATATTTCAAAGAAACATTGATTCGTCATACCATAGAGGTAAGATTTTTTTCGATAACAAATTAAGGTTTAAGTTAAGCACAAACAAAGGAATTTCTGATGATTTTTTTAGATATTTTGTGAAGCAGTTTGAAACTGCCCATTATTTGCATAACTTTAAAATGTTGCTATGAAGGCATAGATATTATACCTTCTTAAAAATCTGTACTTTGAGAAAACCTCCCCATTACTAAGAAATGTATTGAAACTTGCAAATAGATTTTTTTGTAATATTTTAATTGCAATTTCAGGATTCTCCGGATGGCTGTGAAGTGTTTGCACCTGAGGAGAGTTATGACATATTGACACATTTTCATACATTGTATTTGAGCAATATACCATTGATACATATTCTATGTTTTGGTGTCTACAGGTTGAAATTCACATGGCCTTTTTAAATTATATTTTAAAAAAAATATGTAACAGAATTAAGGTTTGAATAAAAACATCATTTGAACTATTTTTTTTATTACATTACTGATTGGCTAATTACTAAATTATTTTTGCGCACTTTTTTCTTTTTCCTAACTTTTCCTTCTTTGACTCCATTTTCCTTTATATTTTTGTTAGTAACACCAGGCTTCCTTTTTTTCTTTTTACAAGACAAAGGATTCGGATTATGTGGCTTTTTCTTTTTTATGACTTTTGGTGCTTCAACTTTTTCTTCTACTCCTAGTACTTTTTTCATGTTCTTCAAAGATTCATTTTGTGTTGGTGTAATGAATGTAAAATTTGACTCAAGAGTTTGACCTGCCTTATTGTAACTAGCTTTTGATGGTTTTTCCAATGTTGGTGATTTGTTATGTAAATACAGCAGTGGAACTCCAGCTTTAGTTCTCATTTTATCCTGTAAATCTCTGTCTTGTGAAGCTAGGATGTAATGCTTTTCATTTTTTTTACCAATCATAGACATTATGCATTCTGATCCTGTCACTGGCTCTTTATGACCACACTCATGAATGCCGAATTGTTTCAATATAGTAAGGGCGCCATGTGTTTTTTTGGATATTTTTTCTGTTTCTATAATAATACATCTTGTTGTTAACAGTTTTGCTTGTCCATTAAGATATTTTGGTAACTGTTCCCTTATATTAATTTGTTCCTGAAATGTAATTTAAGGATTTAAACAAGAAAAAACTATTTGTCAACAAAATTGTCAAAGCATAAGGAAATAATTTCTATATCAAATAAATACATAGATAATATCAGAAAGAATACCTAGTTTTGATTACTGCTGGCAGACTCTGGGAAGTTCTCCTGCCAGCGCATGCCCTGTTCCTTCAAGGTGAGGTGTGAGTCTGCGCTGTCCGCCTCAGGGTCGGGCAGCTCCTCCACAGGCACACGGATGTCCATGTGGGGGAGTTGCTCCGTGCGCCACTCCTCATCCACTATGTCGATAAGGCGGCCAACGCGGCGGTATTTACTATCCATGCTGTGTACATGTCACATTCGTGAATAAAGGGGTAATCGTAAGGAATAAGAATTTATCATATCGTCCGGACGTCTATGATGAGCAGTAAGCAAAACTAGGTCTTCTTTTTTCATTAATTAATGGGTAGAACTTACTTTAAAGGCTGCGAAACAAAACGTGCCATCTAGGAGCACTTGGTAAGGCTGGTGGAAGCCGAAGTTGTTGTAATAAAATTTAAGGTACTTTTGCACTTTTTTATATCTCGTAATCTTCATTTTCAAAAATTATGTACAAACCTGTTTGTTAATTATGTTTTTAATAAATTTCAGAATCCACTAGAGTAGAGTTTGCACAATAAGTTTTATTCAGCTTCAGCATGCAAAATGGCATGTCAAAATTGTATGTGTGTTTGTGATGACAGAATGAAAGTGTTACAATGACGTTGACAATGACATTAAAATAACGACTGATGAATGACATTTTCTCATGCGTTTTCAGATTTCCCAATTCATCGTTTTGTAGTGAAGTTGTTTAACAAAAGTGCGAGTAAGTTGGCATACCTTTCAGTATAAATTACAATTCTAAGCTATTTACTCATTCTGTAGGTTTTTTTTTATAAAAGCCGTACATTTTACTGTCATAGACAAAGGAAGTTTTTCCCATAGACCAAAATTAATGAAATCGTCTCGCTCGCTCTCTCGCTTCCATGTTTGTTCGTGGTCATTTCGCATTTCTGTGCTAGATTTTCCAGTTTAACAATTCAAGTTAATGATTTTATTTCTATAAGTGTGTAATTAATGAGATTTTCGGCATCACGGCGACCTTGTGAGGATTTGTCGCCCACCAATAAGTGCATATCGTCTATATAATAACAGGGAGGGTATGTCTTTCATGTCCTTATAATCAAGTAAATGCGTCATTTTATTGAATATTGTCGAATATGAACTCATTGCAGGATTATAAAACCTCTTATTCGTGCTTAAATGTCTTCTGGTTGGATATTTTAGTGGTGTAAAGAAGTCATCTTGTGATTTCATAGCGTACAGCTGATTTGGTGGAGGGCGATTCAGCGTTCGTATATCGAAGGAAATGGGTTGATACGGGTAGATATGGTTAGTCATCAGCGGTGCAGACGCGCTTTCGTCTGTGACCGATAACTCATTGAAAAAAACTGTGATTGTAGGTCCCACAACTGCGCCAAATGATCGCAGATAAAATCCCATTGTTTAAAGTTTCTTTGTGATTTCACTATGATAGCACGGAAAGATAACACGTCCTTGTTTACTGTTCTTAGGTGTTGTTCTTTATTGCGATTGTTTTTCACTTAGTTTTGATTGCTTTATTGTCTGATGAAGAGGTTGTTTTTAATATTTTGGACAATACAACGAAATATAAAAATAAATTGTCAATGGTTTCAAACTGTGTTTTCGTGTCTTTGATAGCTGGTAAGTTGTTTTTTGTAAATTTTCCATTAAAATACTATTGCACAATACCTGTCTAATTAGCCAGATTTTTTTTTTCTTTGACCATATGAGGTTGTCCTGTATATAACTTTCAGCCTATTTGAAAATTGATAATTATAATTAAGTTTACAAAAGTAAACATTTATGCATATGTGTAATTACAAGTTAACAAAAAAGTCATCAAATTTGTGACCTTCAAATTTACAATGATAAAGGGAAGTACACATTTGCTGATATTTAAAATACATAACCAATGTTGTCAATTTTTGCGACCTCATTTACCAGGACAAGGTTGTATGTTGTGTTGACATTGATGTTTACCCTAATATTGAATGAAAAGGAAATTATATTGAGTACAAAAAAATCACATCAAATAACATTGTTCCTTGTAATTTTTTTATTAATTTGCAATTGTTTACTGTAATCTGAAGTCATTGGCCTTTTTTGTGGCCAGTTATTGCCTTTGTCTTTTTTTACCTTCACTGATTGTGACCTGGTTTTGTACACAGAAGTTGTTCTTTTTCACTTTATTACCTAAAATTGTTGATACTTAACTTTTTTAGTATAAATTCATATAAGAATCTTATTGAAATTACTTATGAGGTTCTAAATACTTTATTATCGCTACTTTTTTAACGTAAAAGTTATGTGATGACATGTTTCATGCAAGTTTGTTGACGGTGGAAACATACTCATACATAACATACTATGTGATTATATTATCGGCTCACTATACATTCCCCTCAGAGGCTCGGAGATTACCCTAAGTCAGGGGTGACAGTTATATTAGTCTTTTATGAAAAAAAAATTAAAAAACAGCCTGGAATTTGTTTTAAATGCCTCATCTCATCAACTCATATCTACCAATTTACATGCAAAGTATTAATATAATTATTTTGATTTTTATCTTTCATCAATTATATGTATTCATTTGCAATAATGTTGATAAACAATTACTAATACAAATAAGAGCTCACCGAGATGTTGGCATCAAAAACTGGGAGCAAACATGGAAAACTTAACTTGATTTACACTTTTTTTTCTTCTTGAACTACTGGAGTCTTATGTGTTTATTGCTTATTGCTTGGAGGTTTATGCAGTTTTATGCTACATTGGAAATTACTGTCCTAACCCTGTAGCAGTTTTTATAATCTAAAGTTATATAGTAAAGAGGAATGATTTAATTGTCCGTTTTCATTTCATAGTCTCCGAAACAACTGAACCAATATGAAAAATACTTTTACTATTGGGAAGTTACACTATCACTGGCGACAATAGATTTTATTACTAGATTTTTAATTCCACGCGGTCAAAGTCGCAGGCAACTGCGAGGGATAAATATAAGTGTTACTATAGAAAATGTTTGTGGTAGGCGATGGCGACAAACAGAAGCGGAGCGTCACAGAGGCCGAACGGTGCGCCGCAGACAAAGGTGTGCCAGTTCAAGCTGGTGCTGCTGGGAGAGTCGGCGGTGGGCAAGTCCTCGCTCGTTCTGCGCTTCGTCAAGGGCCAGTTTCACGAGTACCAGGAGAGTACGATCGGAGCAGCGTTCCTCACACAGACCGTATGCCTCGATGACACCACTGTTAAATTCGAGATATGGGATACAGCGGGACAGGAGAGGTTAGTGACGTAGCTTATATTAGTAAAGATTTTAAATTCTGTAGATCTATAAAGGTTAGGTTAACAATGTCAGTGTTATCAGTGAAAAATAACAAACAAAGTAATAAAAAAAGTTACACACATTATATTGTAACCCATGGAATGTTTAAAAGGAAATCAACAATTTAGCTGTACTAAGGTTTTATAATCTATAATAATGATTTCTCTGTGCAGTGTGATTAAAGTTCCATTCACCTATCAAGACCAATTATAAATAGAAGTATCATAAATATTTATACATTGCATTAATAATATTAAACAGGGTGATAAAGATATATAGTCTGACTTTACTGCCTCACGTGATAGGTTTAAAAACTAAACGCGAAGTATCAAGAATGTGCAATCCTCGTATAAGAGTGGAGGTATGCCCTTGGCTTTGTATTGAAACCTTCCTCTCAAGCCATTGCGTAAACGTTGCACGTCTTACGAAATTGAAGACGACAGTACAGTGCAATAGTTTGTACATGGCCCTTTATCCTGCAACCTTTGTGAACAGAGGACATACAGAATAGACAAAATTAAATTCAACTTTGACTTTTGTTGGGAGTAGTTTGTAGGAATTTTTTGAGACAAAAATATGCGACCTAATATTAATTATCACTGTGAAATAGATGAAAGGAAAGGAAAGGGGAATATATTTTTCAGTAAATCCACTTCTCTGTCCATTATGTAGACAAGTCTTCTGTAGCCTTGTATTGGAGATTTCGATGGGCAACGGTCTTTACACTCTTAGCAATATCAAGTGGCTGGTTGCTTAATTTCCATCTCTATGTATAGAAAAAGAAATGTCTCAAGAGTGTAGGTGAAAAGAGCGAAGTTGTTAAATAGAGATCATGATATGTAAAGTGTACATAAGTATATAAGTGCAATGTATTGTTTGCAGGTATCACAGCTTAGCACCGATGTACTACCGCGGTGCACAGGCGGCTATCGTCGTCTACGATATCACTAACCAGGTGAGTGTCCCGACTGCACTCCTTTATTTGTATATATACTACGCTCTAACATACTTGATACTTTTGTTCTAATCATAAAATTGATATTTTCATGAGAACATTTAAACACACAATTGCTATGTAATGCCACATGAAAAATATTGAATCTTTCTTTTAAATCTTACTACAATTATAAATTTTAATTGACCATGTTAATACCCTTTTATAACTTATCAATATACATATATATACTTATAATACATAAACTCTTAAATCTTTGATATAAAATAAAATTAAAAAAAAAAAAAACCGAATAATTAACTAAAATATGTTAATAAAAGGAGTCCCTTTAGGCAAGGTCCCGAAGATACTGGCAGCGTTCCCCCTCTGTACAGCTAAACTAATTCTTTGACCGAGGTAGCTGCCAGCTTTTCGGTCCCCTGTGATGTCGATTAATTATAAATGCGAATGTTCAGATGGATGGATGTTTGTTAGAATATATCTCCAGAATGGTTGCATTGATCTCGTTGATTTGGCATACACGTAGAACATAATCTAGAATTAGAAGAACACATAGGCAACTAAGTATATTTCTCATTCCGCGCGGACGGAGTTGCGGGCGACAGTTAGTAATGGATTATTAGATGTAATGTGATATAAAAGGTAAAGTTGAATATTAAAATTTACGAGTTATCTTTTATTGAATTAGTTTATTTCATATCAATACATTTATAGATTTTTTGCATCTAAATTAGAGATTTATAATAATAGGATTGTATAAGTTTAAACCGGTTTTATGAGAAGCAAGTTTCGATTGCCTCGATCAGTATACAATTGATTAAGAAGTCAATCGTATGTTGAGGAAGTGACAATTTAAGTTTGAATTGGATTTAATTCGAATTCATTAAGTAACAGTGGATTTATCATTAACCGTTAGTTTCAGAGACCAAAATCTCTGTGTAAAATAAATTGATTTAAACGCGGGTTTTGGTCTCAGAAAATCACAGTAAGTAATTAAACAAAATAAAGCTGATGCAATCCTGTTTTATGCATAATTATGTGTAAAATGACAGCCACTGAGTTTAGCCTTCAATTTTATAAGTATAATACATTTGGTTAAGAAATCTGCTGGGTATAAAAATCGATAGAACTTGGCGGTCGTGTTGACCGCTCGTTTACTGCGGGTGTGTGAAATTAATAACTTCGATTAATTATGCTAAGTTAGCCCCCTACAAACTTCTAATTAGTTGCTTAGTTGACTTGAGTAATTCTAGGTTTAAAATACTAGAAGTAGTAGTACTAGAATGTTTTCGATTGTTTTTTATGTGTGTATATAATATTATTTTATCGGAATTGACCTTGAATTGTATTATTATCACTTTTTAATTGTAAATATAATGTTGTCAGATCTCAAACAGTTGTTTGTCTGTGTTGATTTTTATGTTTTATTTGATTATAAATAAAAAATTCAAAATTCTTCTGTTCTGCTTGTTAAAATTTGCAGATACATAACTTTAATTTTTTTTATCGTAACTTAATTTTTTGGGTACACGCTTGCTCTTTTGCCAGCGTATTACGAAATAATATTAAAATAAAAATATTAAAAAAATATCAGTTAACGTTGCATCTTTATTAGTCTCAAGATGTCTTCTATGATAAATTCTTATCTTACTAGCTAAGGTAAATTGCGAGCATCGTCCCAGGAACATCGACCTGAGTTTAATAACCTATATAAAAATAGACACAAGCTTTTATCGTACCTAACAAGGAAGAACTATCGCATTTCCATTCACTCCAATTATCGTAATTACGTTCACTCGTTAAGATGTAACTCATTCAGTTGTATGTATCGGGTACGCCCACCTCGGCCATCGCCCGCTAAAAACACACATTTGATAAATATTAATTACTTGTCTATGGAATAACACGTTTTTCTATTTATCTGTGGGTTTCCGCTGTAATGACACATACTGTTATCCCTCACATTCCCTTTGAAAAAACAAAGACAACTACAAGGCCGGTTTTAGCATTTCCAACGCCCTGGGCGAGATGTTTGCGGCGCCCACTTTTTCTCGGTTTCGGGAGAAATCTTCCAAAGAATGTGTTTCATAGAGGGCACCCCGGCGCCCTGAGTGGTCGACCATTTCACCCTACCCTTACACCGCTAATGGACAACAACACAACTGGAAATTCATAGTTATAGCTTACAGATAAAAACCAAGTTTGACCTTAATCCTAGTTAGGCTAGCGACGCTAATAAAATGGTTTATCTAATTATTATTTGGTAATCACAAAGAATTATCAAAATATTTGCATATTGTTAGTCGTGGAGGGTCAACGTCTGTGTTAAATATGACTCAGTTATATTTAACACCATCATAGTTATATTTTACGGTTTCACGGTTATTGTAAATTGGGTAAAATGAAAATAACCCAGAGGAAAACTTTAAAAACTAAACTCTATATTTTTGCATTAATATGGCAAATGGTGCAACTTTTACTGAAACGACGATTTCAATTTTTTGAACTTATATATTCATTGAATCATTTGATTAAATACCGTATTCAACTTATCATCTATTAAAATAAAGGATAAGAGGTTGCGTGAGATAGTGAGCGGGATTACTGAGAGAGATAACACAATCACATACACACTTCTACATTGTTTCCTAATTGTATAATGCCATACAAACTTTATGACACTTCACACTTTGCAGTTGCTGAGTACGACACTATTTTTAAGTACCTTCTGAATGACAATTCATAGTAACTTAATTAACTTATTTTTAATCAAACTTTTTTGTAAGGCTAATATTTTGATGTTATCATTTTTCTTGTGACTGTACTCAAATATGTATGTATTCCATAAATCATTGCAAACAAACAAATGACAGAATATATCCTAGTAGCAAAAAATTACCTTGACTAATGCTAGAATAATTTACCATCATTTTACGTAATCACCGTCTTTGTATTTGCGCACTAAGCCCCGTTTACACAAAGCTATTCTTGTAACACAATTTTTATTTTTCCCAACCTTGCCACTAAAAATTGCATACATGTACTAAGGGCTAGTCGCACTAGTGGAAAAGGGGTGTAAGTGCATGTCGTCTGTGATGTGCGTAATCAGAGTCAGGCGATGCGAACGCGACTACTCGCTAAGAGGATCATTATATAAATGAAGTCATACAGGTGGGCCGCGTGATGTCACTAATGGCATAAGTACTCCGCATCGTCGCGTCTCGTAGTCACCTTTCAAAAATTTACTTTAATATGTTGCGGCCCTCGTAGTCAAAATGATTTTTTTTTTATAATTTAGCTGATCTACATTCAATTATAACAATTCATAATAGAATCAGACAAAGACGTTGTCAACTTTAATTTACGAGCTATTGCTTAGCCATGATTTAATATTAAAGCGACGAAATGCGTCCTTAGCGTAGCTCCCCAAGGGGTACTCAGTTCATATCGAACTTAAACCCGGTAGGCAGGCATCTGCCTCAATAACTAAACGAAACGATTCAACTGTAGTGAAGGCAACAGTTAACAATAAAGTCATAAGTAAGAATCCCATTATTTTAGTTAATACACCAAGCAAATAATAAAAGCAATGATAATAAGGTTAGGGTGGGGCGGGCGTCGCGGCATGCGTGCTATGTACACAATTGAATTAACAACACGCGTAAGTCTTCGCTAAGGTCAAGGCCATCTCCCCGACTAGACATGTACCCACCTAACCATAGCAATACACCATATAACACTTATCTAACCTCCATGGAGGAATTTCTGTCATGTCAACTATGATTTATCTGTACTTGCATTAAATAAGCTACGAAATTAAGGAATCTATTTGAAAAAAATCTTTTACGGTTGGGAAACTACACTATTTCTGATCGCTATGTTTCGCGTGGACAAAGTCGCGGGCAACTGCTATTCAATACTAAATTTTGAAACATTAGTTACAAGGTTGAATGGAGAGTTATAAGAAATTGACTACGTAAATGTTTGAAGTGTAAAACTGGACTGGAAACCAAAGTAATTGCAACTCTTTGAGTACGGTATTAGCATGAGGTTGTGTTGAACAATCTATAATCCGTGTTTATTGGCTTGTATGACTCTTACATAAGCATATTTTATGTCGTCTTAGTTTTACTGTAACATTGTTATTAAAATTAAATTTACTGCTGTATTTAAAAGGCTCCAAGTTAAATAATTCAAAGTTATTCATGCGACTAATATTTTTTGGTCATGCAACCATTTTTAGTATTGACCCAGAAAACCGAAACGTTTCAAAACGTTGTTTTGTTTACACGGAAATAATTTTCTCTTAGTCTAAAATAATACACGTATGTAAATTTAATTTGTTATATAGTAATGTTTGTATGTCTAAAAAATATCTTGTGAAACGGTTTCTAAAGACTTGTTTTTTTTTTCGGGACGTTAAATATTTTAGTTTTTAACATTAGTGACTATTTTTTTAAAGTGGATAAGATACTCCTCTAGAACGTTCTAAGGTAGTACATTAAGGTCACAATTATTGTTTTTGCAGGACACATTCGGGCGCGCCAAGAATTGGGTGAAGGAGCTGCAGCGGCAGGCGTCTCCGTCCATCGTGATCGCGCTGGCGGGCAACAAGAGCGACCTGGCCGCCAAGCGCATGGTGGAGTTTGACGAGGCGCAGGCCTACGCTGATGAGAACGGCCTGCTCTTCATGGAGACCAGCGCCAAGACCGCCATGAACGTTAACGACATATTCCTAGCTATCGGTGAGTCGAAATACACCATATCATTCCAATAGTTATCATTTTGCTTCTTCTGTGAAATTTTTTACTAATATTATAAATGCGAATGTTTAGATGGGTGGATGGATATTTGTTTGAAGGTATCTCCAGAACGGCTGGACAGATCGATGAAATTTGGCATATATTAACATAGTCTGGAAGAACACTTAGGCTACTAATTATGTTTTTTTTTATTCCGCGCGGACGAAGGCGTGGGGGACAGCTTTTATAATAAATGTTTGACAGTTCGTGTGTTTTATTGACATTTGATTGTCTTATCTCACGTGTTTGACGATAGAAAGTGATCAAGGATGTAGTTAAAATGTATTGTTCGTATCCTTGGCGTTTTGTTGTGTTTGTAACGCACGTGTTTGTATGTTTGCAGCGAACAAGTTACCAAAGAGCGAGGGCGCGGGCGGCGGCAGCGCGGCGGGCGCGCGCCGGCTGGCGGACGGCGAGCAGCCGCGCTCCTCCGCCTGCTGCAAGTGATACCAGGCCGACACGGTACTGCCTCCGCACCTGCACCTCCACCTCCCCGACCACCTCCACCTCCCCCACCTTGTTGATAAATACCGATTGTTCTGTTGTTTGTTTGCAGTTGTTGAATGTGGAGGGGAGTGGTGCGCGCGGCGTGCGGTGCCCCCGCCCCGCTGCCCCCGCCCCCCTGCCCCGCGCGCCTCTAGCTCACTAAGGCTTTGGTATTTGTCAAATATATTTTGTAGCATAGCAACACTTTTGTTCCAACAGATGGGTGTTGCCACTTTGATTTAGCTAATACTTACCGCATCAGGTAACAACAAATAAAACTTTTATTATAATACGTATTCATTTATCAATATACTAGCGATGGTATTTATTGTTTATATTTTTTTTAATTCCTCGGTGTTGTAAAGTTTTAAAAAAAAATTGTCGATACATTATTTTCTGTATAGAAAAAAAATATATAATGAAATGTATATGAATTGTTAATCGTAACAGCTAAATATAGTTAATGTGGGATAGTTGAGGACTTTCTGAACGAAAGTCCATGAAATTCTACTTAAATAGTAAACAAAATGCAATATATATGGCAACACTTGATCAGTTGTCACGAGTTAAACTCAAACTGGCGCCGTGAGATTAGAAAATAATTTTTAACTACTTTAATACTATACGTTGAATATTAAAATTAACTGTAACACTGACTTAGCGCGATTATATGCGGCGGAGCGCGTCCCGAAAGCTACGCGGTCACCATAACTAGGTATATTGTAAACTTAATTGTAATCGTAACGAGTAATAAACAAAATGTTATATATAACTTGGTTCGTGTAGACCGCGATGATGATTCGCTTTTAAATTTTCATCGCTTTCAAATGGAAGTGCAAAATATTTTAATATTTCTGTTGGGAATAAAATGATTATTGCTATTCCACTGTTGAAAAATATAACTTGAAATATATAAAAATTAATGAACTTGTATGTTTTTTTCTGTAGGATTAAAATTTAAATGTAATATTAGAATCGCTACTTATCCCAACTAGATCGCGTCCTGTAGGAATTCTTTGGTGATGGTGCATTTACATGCTGCATGACTCGTTTCCATTGTCATGTCGGTCACGTCACGTCACATCACGTCACGTCACTCGAGTGTCAGTATACATTGATGTAGCGCATGCGCACGGACCTGTCAATGCGTACGCGTCCTTAGTTTACATATCTCCATAAATAAACATGCTTTTTTACGTATAAGATTTTTTTAAGCTCATTGTCAGAGTTAAAAATTATCACGTCGCTTCCATGTTGTTTTTATATTTTATAATAATTTTATACACGGCACGCTCCTAGCACTGGTGTTTTAGTTCGACCCTCCGCCCCTCCACCAGCTATGGCCGCGTAGGTTCGCATTGTTAAGTTCAAAATAATTAATATGCATAGAATGAATTAGATATAAACAGCTAACTTCAGCCTTTCGTACACAAGGCAATGTAAATCATCGAAACCCGACGATTTTAGTCTCTCATCGACTTACGCAATACAATTTATATAGAGGTTCATACACCACACAGTACCGCTTTATTCGTTTGTCAATGTCGATGCGATTTTTAAGATAATGAAACATATTTTCACGCCCGTACTGACAGAATATACAATTTACGTCGCCATGTGTACGGGAGGCCTTAGATGATTATAGTTTTGAACATTGCTATAAAACGGAGGAAAATGTTCTATATACGTTATATAACCCTTATGTATATGTGTAATTATATGTACGCTGTAAGTGAAGTGTAATTCGGATTTTACGTAGCTTTTTGTGTAGCAAAGTTTTCTACAAATTGACAAAAAAATCGCATTCCAAGGGAAACATTAGGTCGGCTCGGCGGCACACTCGCGTCACCGATACACCGGATAACACATTACAATAGTTTGTAGAATAAAATCTTTGTTTTTCTGCTAATACGGAGCTTAATCGCTTTTTGTCGACGGGCAATACTTTTTTTTAAATTTTTATTAAATTGTGTACGATCATGTAGTAGCTCTTTCCACTGTCACGATGTTAGAGAGAGAGAGGAAGAGAATGAAAGAGACGAAATTTAATAAACATAAGAAAATAAGCATACGGCTAATTAAAAGTTATTAAGGTATCGAACATCGTTCCAGTTTTTGTGTTTTATTGAGAAATATGTATTTCGACCTTGTAGACATTTTGTGTTTCTTCATACAGATAAAAAAAAACACATTTATGGCGGCGTCACGTGGTTTTATTAGATTTAGTGAAATAAATTATATATGGGATAGACGAGGCAGGTAACATCGAGACGAGTGCAGTCAGCCTCCACCACTACCTACAGTAGAATAACAATATCTAACTTAATCTTTGTTAGTTTCACAACTTACACGTGTATGTATACATATTGACATCTCTTTTCTATCAAAAGGAAAGAAAGGGATGACGATATGTTTTTTGCGTGAGGCCATGATAACCTACGATAACAATTAATAGTACTTTGTGTTTGAAGTTTCCGTCTTAAATAGTGCAATAAATTTGTCTTTTCTCAATATTGCCAGTTTTCAAAGTCATTATTAAAAAAAGGTTTTATTAAAAGATCATTTGATATTCTAGTTTCCCAATTTATAGATAAAATATCTATTGTTTTACAATATCTGTATTTTATTTAGTATAACAATAATCACCAAGCCGTTGAGTGCAATAAGTTACCTTGATGTAATCGCTTTCTTACTTTATGTGAAAATCTTTAGTAAATTTCATACATTTGCTGATACAAGATTCTTTGTATACGTGAATTACCATTATAATAATACTTGTATCGTCTCTGTTTTTCAAATAGAAATGAAAGGGATGACATGTGATAATATAAATGTTATTGTAGTGGAAGCCAACACTAACTGTAACCAGATGACGTAACGAACGTAAGGAAGCGGTAACTGATTGTGAACTTTATGTAGATTGCAATAGAGTAGAATATCTGATGGAAGAGGCAAATGCGCTCGGCTCCGGCGAGAGGACGTTGATGGAGGTCATATTGTATGTTTTTGTATTGTGTAAATATTTTGGATTTATTAAGATTATTATATTGAATAAAAAAATATTGTAAATGAATAATTAGTGTTTTATTTTTTTTATTTATCCCACATTCCTGATAACAATGGCACCAGATTTCACTTGTATAGGTTAATTTAAATAAATACAAAAAAAAATAACACATGTCTATTCCGATAAAGTACATCGTCGCAGGATTTGATGGCTTTGTGTATCCGTCATGTGGCATTTAAAAGGTTAATTATACACATAAAAGTTTGTTTTGTATTCATCTGACATAAGATACAAATGTAACATAACAACTGCGTATGATATTTGTATAAATGTAGGTTTCCACTGAACAAAACATATTAAAGATGACGAAGTTTTTTACATGTGTCTCGGAAGTGGAAACTCACAGTAAAACTAGGTCACTAATTATTTTTTAATAACAATATAAAATTGCAATTAAGTAAATTATTAATTTCTAATGGGTTTTTGGGAAATAGAAACTATAAAATATATATTAGTATATTCCAAAATATTATTTTACGAAAAGTTATATTTAGGAAAAAATATTTGCCGTAAATAAATGAACAAATACATATGGATATTATTTATTATTGACTAGTTATGTAAAAGTTTGACAAATATTTGTGCAACCAAAATAAGAACAATATAACGAAAGGAATTGACGAAAGTATATAAGCAATTTTGTATTTATATACATAAAAAATACAATATAGATGATATTTATTGATAGTTTCAATATGTTTATATATCTTAATGTATATAAACCAACATTATATGACAAATCTTTAATGTTACAAACACAACTTCAAAATTTACCTTTCATATAAATTTAATCCTATCATTTTTGTATATAAAGGTTTAATATTACATTAATTCAAAATTTATTGTATACATTAAGTTTATATTATTATGTTAAAATCCTTAATATATTTATATACTTAAGTAGTTCACTTAAAACCTTTTCAAATTAAAATGAATCCGACTCGAAGGACCAAAAGTACAAAGTCAAGCTACCGACACAATTAAGTCAAAAAACCAGAGATATGTATAGATAATGCGTATTATTATAATACAATGATAACAGCCTCTGTGTATAAGTACAGTCAGCAGTTTACATACTAAACTTACTTTGTAACGGAAAATTGTTCACAGAGCGAACCGTCAAGGATCTATTACCATGGGTTCCATGGTAATAGATCCTTGACTGAGACCAAAATATCTGTATAAAATATATCGTTATACATCTCAGTATCTTTGAGAAAACAGAGATAACAATTTGTTCTAACATGAGTTTTTGGTGTCAGAAACCAAATATAAGTAGCCCATTTGTAAATCCATTGACTATGAATATACTTCAAAGGTATATAATCGTAAAAATAGGATTGGTGGAAGGTACATATTTGGCAAGATAAGATTCCAAGATGAACTTGAAAACTAACACATAGAGATTCAGTTAGAACAATTTACATTAATTCATAATAAATAACTTATCGTAGTACAATCAAAACAATAGAAAAGTTCATCAATATTCAGTTGTACTAACCGATATTGTATGTTTATTTAACTACTTATATAAAGTTAAATGTTGATTAATTAAAATGCAATCAACCTAATGATTCTTTTACTACACGTAATTGAATGTTGACTCACAAATGGCAGGAAGTTCTGTGTCGGTCTACAGCTCGTCATCGAAGCGATCTCCGAGGAGATGGTCTCCATAGTCAGTGGCCTCGCTGCCCACAAATACGTGCTGGTGAGACAACACCTCGGGGAACGACAGCAGCTCGTCGTGGTCGTCATCAGCTGACGCGAACAGATGCTCCACCTCCTCTTCCGCTATTTCACTGCAAAGAAACATCACAAATATAACTCTGAAACCTGTAATTTATGATGCACATTAGTTACTACACATTTAAAAAATCCGACTCGAAGGACCAAAACAACAAAATATGTGTTACTAACTCGTTGTCTGGTATGATCCAGCGGCGCACCTCGTCCTCATCGAGCGCGCCGTCGCCGTCCAGATCCAGCTCGTGAGAGAACTTGTCCTGCTCCGACACCAGCCACGCCTTGTCGTGTGAAGCCGCTACACCACAGTACAAACATTCAAACTACAGGTAACACTGCACTGAGCTTAGCATAGACAAATAGACAAAAAACATAGCTTTCTAATTGTAAAAAGATAACCATATTTTAACAACTAATATTACCAGATAATTCATAAGCTGTTGTCAACTAGTGTATTACATTACTAGACCCTGCTTACCCCTATCTCCTAAGTACTCCTTAAAGTCGATCCGTCCGTCACTGTTGTGGTCACGCTCGCGGATCGTCTGGCTCACCAGGAACGGTTGCATCGCCTCGTGCTCTTCAGGATTAGAAAACACCTGGGCAAGACATAGTATTTCATCTAATAATTTTCAAAGAAAAATCACCTAATATTAAATATGCACTTTTGTATACATGATAGTTTTTCCATTAAAAATTCAATGTTGAAAATAGAACTATGAAATTAAGTTATATTGTTACCTCAAACTCTTCCAGGTCCAGCATTTCATCCCCATTCTTGTCAGCAAGTGCCCACATTTTCTTCTCCTCACGCACAAGCTGTACAAACATGTTTTTATTATTAAGTCTGTTAGTCATTTAAGATATAGATGCCAAATGTTTGCCAAAAAATCATGCACCATTTTATGTCCGACTAGACCTAAAATTGGGTTCTGTGTTGCAATTCCAAGTGGCAGAGATGCATGTTTAACTAGAGCCAATGTATAGCTAGAATACAACACATGCTATTACCATGCCAGTATCTCCGGTGTCATCAGGAGCCACTTCTTCATCATCGTTTGCGCCAAATGTATCATGCAGGTACTCTGCCCATGTCACTAGACCATCGCTGTTCTCATCTGCCTCCAGTAGTCGCTCCTGAGCTTCTTCCCGAGATAACTTACTGAATACATACAATTAAATAATCACATTTTGGCACAATGTAGTAAATATATTGGGTGCAATATTTGTTTAACATTCAAAATAATCTTTATTTTTTATAGGCATAAAGAATTTTATCTCCACACTTAATTAAGATAGTTGCTTGCAATCATTTTGATTGGTCTCCTGTTACTAGTTTTCTCCAATGTATGAAATTTACTTTAATATAATTTCATGCTAAAAAGAATAACTTAAAAAGAGTCATAAAATATAATCTTGATAATGTTCAAGTTTCCTTATGAATGTCCATGACTTCCTTAAAAATGGATGGATGGTTTTGAATGTCAGTATCTAAACAGAACAATATCTGTTAGATTTTTAAGTGTATTAAATTTTGTAAACTATATGTAAGTTTTATTATTTCTGTAGCAAAGACAAAAGATAATTAACATCTTTTTTAATTTTAAATTTCAAATAATTATTCCAATCATATCATAATTTAATGTGAATTACATTTTAATTTGTCTTTATTGGAATTTTGTTTTGTCAGGAGAAGTTGATCAAATATATTGAAATAATAATTCTAGTATTAGTTTACTTGTAGTTATTTAATTCTACAATTTAAACAATATCACCTGAATAAATGGTACTCACGCAAAGGAGTTCAAGATCCATTTTTTAAGTTCCTTGCGGTCAATGTACTGGTCTCCGTTGAGATCCATCTTAGGCAGCAGCTTAGCCAGCCGCCGCTGCGACTCCTCTGGGCTGAGCTTGTCATATTCCTCCGCCTCCTTTACACTGCCTATTGTAAAATAATAGGTTACTACAATAATGCTAGGCACAAGCAACAATAGAGCGTGTTTCACAGACATCTTGCGCCGCGCTATCGCATTCCTTATCGCAAAATAAACTACAAACCATTACAAAATCAACGAACGAACTAACGGCCGCAAGAGCCGAGTGCAACAACAAAATTATAAATTGTACCTAAGATCGCTTCGTGGTCGAACTCCAAGTTGTGACCGGCGTCAGTGTAGTGGTCGTAGTCTCGCGCGCGGTAACTACCATCGGATTCTCTTTCAATTGTATCGATATTGTGGCTATGAACTGCGGCCGTGGTACAGTGTAATATATAAGGAGTTATTAACAAAAACGATAAAACACATTTATAAACCATCGTTCTGCACTTCTTCTGTCTGGCCTATTTTCGTGCCCCGATTCAATAAAATGTTTTGTTATGCAAATTATAGTTCACTTCTTTTATTTTTTATAAATAGCATTCAACCATCGGCCGGAACAAGATAAATAAAACAAGAACTGACAATTGACAGATCAAGGGATGAACCAAAGAGTATAAAAAATAAACAAAACATTTGGTTTACAGAAACTCAAATAAACTCCACTGTTTATAAATAATTCTATCATATAATAATACCTTTATGGACAATAAATACAAGTCATTCTTTCATTAACACTATTTTATATTTCTATTAGGTCACGATATAATATACTTGCGTTTTATATCCATATACGTTACGTAACAAATTGATAAAACTGTTATACGTGAAGCAGATTTATATTCAACTTCAGCACATCGGGAATTTCGTCAAATTGGGCCAAATAATACAACCAAAGACCAGCATTAAACCTTTAATAAAACATAGCAACATGTTCTGTATTCCAAGAATGTGTTTCATAAGAAAACAAACATAATAAAAACGTGCATAGTAGCGATAAAATTACATTTTTTAACTTAATAAATTATTGGCGGCCATAATAATGAGAGTTACTCTACGACTGGCCACGTGGTTCGGGTAGTCGGTTAAGAACTTGGTGAGATGTCCGCGGACTTCTTTCACGACCATCGGCAAATGGCTGCGCGTGACCTTGTCACACGGGTTCAGGTTTATGATAGCATCTTCGAGATACCTGTAACATAACAACGAAACACGCTTACATTCATTTGTTTGTTTAAATGCGTTAATTTGGCGAACAGGCTCACTAATTTATTATAATTATAGATACAGATTTGTCGAAAGCAATAGACCTGCATTTGAGCTGCGTGTCGTGCACCATGTCGGTGGCGAGCTGCTGCAGGAGGGAGAGCAGCACGGGCTGGCGCAGTCTGCAGGGCGGCGCGAACAGGCGGGCGGGCTCGGCCGCGCGGCACGCCGCCATCACCAGCGTCAGGTCGGCCGCATTCAGTGCGCGCTCGAACGAACTGTTCACCTCGCCCGCGCGCATTAGATTGTGGATCTCTGCTGATTTCAACTTTGAACAAATTACAATTAATGCTTAGTACACCTAACCATGTGTACACATCGAGTTAAAATCTAGTTTTCTATCTTATATTTATTACAATCCGTTTTTACTGTATAAATCTGTTTCCACTAATCGTATCCTATTGTTGCGTTAATATTATAAGTCATATATGTGATAATAACCAGTTGATCTATAATAGACTTCTTGGGGTCTGGCGGCTGCGGTGGGCTGCTTGGAACGAAGGATGATGTGGTACTTGACACATCGTCTTCATTGCTTACGTGTTGCGCGCGGCTCTGTGTAAATAACACGTCGAATAGATTCTCGCGCCATAACCTTAATTCCTCGTGAAGAATTCTGAAGCAGAAATGAAACAGGTTTTTTAATTTATTTAGTCAATGAATTTGAAGGAAATTGATAACAATAAAGCTAAAATAAGTAATAGCTTTTTAAATAAATTCAATACTCTTGCAGTGCCCTTTTTAAATCTCTTAACAGCTTCCCGTCCGCCTCATCCAGCAGACTCTGATGCTCCTGCAGCGTCCGGCGCAGGTTCTTTGTTCTTCTGTGCACCGATGTAGACAAGAGTTTCGTGTTATCTTCCACTGCAAATACATTAGTCTTACTCAGAGTCCATCAATGGTCATAAATCAGTTCCTTAGTATAGTTTTCTCATGATAAAAAAATGTTCAAAATACCAACACTCTCTAAATGATTCCCGGATGACATTAGTAACGTGGTTGAGGAGATGGCGCTGCGATCGCTCCAGCGTGGGCAGGTAGTGCGCGGACAAGCTGTCTGACAAACTGCTGCGTATCGCTTCCTGCACGCACTGCTGAGTTGCCGATACCAACTGCTCTTTCAAATCCTAATTATAGGACACAATCCAAATTTGTTACCTCTATATATGGACAGGTTATAAGCCGGGGTATTTTGTGCCTATTTAAACTTCACGGTTTTGGCGCTGACGGTTGTGGTTAATAGTAGTGGTGAGGATAGGAACTATTAATAGAGATAGACTTAACTGTCAGGAACTTCAATAGGAACATTTAATTCGAAATGTGATTTTAAAGCAATGGCCTGGCCATTTAAAGAGATTGATGCAATACGTTTTTTTTTACAAAAACACAAAAACATACTGTCATATCTTTCACTTTCTTTGAAAAATTAATGATGATCTGTCTAAAAATGTGGATTTCGGAAATATACTCACATCACTTTGAAGAAACTTCGACAGAACTTCTTTTATATCACGCTCCAGGCGTTGCATGTCTTTAGGTTTGAGTGCACACAACAAATTCTTCGCACGAACATCGCTGTTTTCTGGCCTAGTGATTTTTTTTAATTAACAGATAATCTTAGTTAAACATCGCAAGATATCCAATGTCGGACGATATTTTCAAAGTTTAAATATTGATTTGGATGAGTGTATATAGTTTACATACTTTCCGAAGCTTACAACAGTGAATCAATTAATTATTTAAACCAATTTAAACAATCATTTTTAGTAATGAAAGTGGACTTACCTATTACAATCTTCAGTGTCACAATTCTTGGCCAAATCAGTATTTATTCCAGCTAACGCAAGATTATAAAACGAATTATTTAATTTCAATTCCGTTTTTATATCTGTCAGGATTTTCTCCTGATCGAGCAGATAATCTGTAAACAAAGAGTAGACAGACATAGACTCCATCCAGATCCCCATTTTATTATTTCAGTTTTTCTAAATAAACATAACTTGTCCGGATGTTTTTAACGGCCTTAAAAACAACTTACCGCTTAGTTTTTCAATTTTCTGTTCCAAAGTATGTAGATACTCGTTACTACGCGAGGATCCTTCCATTGATGAGTCTGTCAATACCGAATGATCTTCTTCCTCCGCCAATGTATCAATACTATTGATTCCTTTGTACTCCTTATTAGTAAGTTTATGAAAAGTTTTAACACTATTATGACTACCATTATGAAGGATGTTTAGGAAATCCAAAGATTTGGAACGCATCAAATTAGTACGTTCTAATTTTAAACAATTCATTGTTTTACGTAGGAACTGCTTTAACACTTTGTTTACAGTTTTAAAAATACCCTTAATAATCTTTTTTATTAATTGTAAGATTAGTAACCTCATTTAACTTCTATTTATTAATGTGGGTAGTTGATGGAAAAGCTCATTGATAAAATTTGATTGTTTACCTTCTTTGGTACATTTATCTAACGTCAATAATTTTTAAATAAGTTAATACTTCTAAATTAACGGCATATATTTACCTGTCTTAATTACTTAGTAATACTCTGCTTACTGCGAATAAGATCTGTCGATACGTTTGCCGCCAAACATAAAAGATTTGTCACTTTCAAGGTTTTGTTACTACTATTATAAATTTTTGGATGTACATATGCATGGATAGATGTTTATTAAAAGGTATCTGCAGAACAACTTGACAGATCTTGATGAAATTTGTCATAGATGTAGAACATAGCCTGGAAGAGCATGTAGTCTACTAATCAAGTTTTTTTTTTATTTCCGAGCAAACAAGGTCCGGGGACACAGCTAGTGTTTTATAAATGAAAGTCAAAATTCAATATACACACATTTATTACAGATATGCCATTCTAAACAATAACATCATCGACAAGAAACAACATTATAACCACTTACACTATATATATAACTATAAATATGTATATTATATACTTATCATTGCTATATGACTTCGAAGATATAGCTGTATTCAAATAAATCGAGATCCATCCTAATTCAAGATAATTCCAGACCTTCGAAGCCTAAACCACTAAACCACCTACATTATGCGTAGGTCACTGAGACATTTAGGCTAAATAATAAAGCCTATTTTAAACATTTTGCGATTAAAAACTCATAATTGGAAAATAAATTCAATGTAAGTCTACATTAATGACTATAGAACTTTTGAATTGTTCTATTATTAATGCGTTAAATATTGTTAAAAATATAATTTATGACAAAATCAGATAGTTTTTATCTAAAATTAAAACATCTGATATTATCGAGCATAAAAAAAAACAATAAATATCATTGGATCATAATTATATTTAAGGCATAAAAAATAAATGATAGCGATTAAAAAATAATAATTTAATGTGAAAATAATTAAATTCTAATTCGGGAAGCACTACAACACTCGCACAAAGTTGCCAGTCATCAAAATATATCGATATACTGGCAACACAGATATTAAAAAAAAACACAATCACACCAAAGTTGGCTGTGTATGAGCAAATATTAAAACCTACAAATAACATTACCTAGAGACTAGGGTCTTTTATACATAATACTTATACCATCAGTTTCTCTTAGTAATTTTAAAAAAATCGAAATAATATTTAGTTACGCATTTGAATTTATATAATGTTAAAAACTGGAATTTTTATTTAACATTTTTACATCGAAATGCAACAGGGTACGACATTTCAACTAATACCAATATTTGTTTAATTAGATTTTAGAATTTGTTTTAGATGTACTGCAAGAGGTTAAGATTTTGAGGTAGTACTTTAATAAGAATGTAACAATTAAATGTTGGTTATCAAGAAGTCATTTATGGTATTGCAAGAAATAATAATATATTGAGACCCATGTTCAGTACAATTTGGAATGCTTTACAATCTAACTTAAATAACATAGCTGTACATTACTGGAAATATATTTATTCAAAATCTTATTTAACAAATGTTATATTTTCAAAGAATTTTGATTTTCCGATTTATAATTTGATTTTTTTTCCAGTATATACAAAAATTGATATTACAAGTCAACAAAGACTTCAAAAACAATAAGCTAAATAAATACGACTTCAAGATAATATCTTTTTTACTTCTTGATGTAATTAAGGATACGTCAAAATAAATATCACAATATTAACGTATAAAGCATTAAATGGGAAGGATTTTATCTTAACAAAATTAACTTAGTAAAATTAACGCGTAAATATGTTTAAAGGTATGTAATGAAAACATTTATAAAAGATATGGACGTAAAATAGGTTATATCATAAAGGTGTTTACATTTTATGTTAGAAACATTTCGCGCGAGAAATGAAACCACTCCAGTGAGTACACGCCCTAACCTAAAACTTTAATTGGAGAATTTTAGGTTATGTTTACTCTATGACGTACATTAAAAAAACCGCGGGAAAAACTCGATAATTTTTTACATACTGTGTAATAGTTTGGATTTAATTAGCTAAATAACGCACACCTAATAATTATGATAAAAATATAGTAGCAACCGGGCGTTAAATAATCAAACGTAATTACAACCATTAGCTGGACTAACAAAGAGATATGTCTGATGAACAATACAGAACTCAGACATAACCTAACGAAAATGCTAAACACATCATAACAGAATATAAAAAAAATGTAAAATAGCATTTCATAGGTTCTATAACCAGATTTGGTCAAATTTTATGATAAAGAATCTGCTTTAATTTTATTTTTTTCATAATAATGATTAACTGTACAGATAAAATATTACAAAAAAAAAATATTTAGAAAAAATGTACGATATTTTAATGAATGATTACAAGCACTGAAAATTATGTTAATTTCTTAATATTTTTGTAACATTTCATCCATATTTTAGCTACTCTGAGGTTATAGGTAACAATCTTATATCAATATTCTATAATAACATCTATGCTACTCCTTTACCTATAATTAATTCATTTAATTGCATAAATATTTCATTTACATTAGAAATAAACGTATTAAATAATTTTTACTATCTACGACGAGCAGGATTAGAAAATATTAAATTGTATATTTTTAAACAATTGCAACACTAATGGAGGACAACCATTTTATTACATGGCAATATTATATCAGAATATATCAAAATTTGGCGGTAAAATATTTCTTTTGAATTAAACGGCAGCATATTATTATTAAAAGTTATTTTTTGGTTAATAATTTTTGTCAAATAATTGACATTGTCATTGTGTTGCTATTAAAAAAATCTATTATTATTTTCGAAAGCTACATTACTGTAATTGATTGATTAAATATTAAACACACAAAAATTCATTGAAACATTTTGGGAGACGATAATAACTTGAAGGTTGAGAAAGATGATAAATATATTTGCAATATATTGTGTTGGTGTGGGCAAGTTACGGTACAGTTGGTCACTTGGGCAGAGGGAGTCCTGTGAAGGCGACGGGCTGCTCGTTGGCGACGAGGTTGGCGCGCGGCGCGGTGCTGGGCTGACCCAGACCTGCCTCCAGGTTCGCCGCCGACGTCCTCATCTCCTCAGCCGACGCTCTATACACGAATATATTCAATACTACGGGGTTAAAACTTCGCTATGAAGATACATTGACGGACACGTGTCTTTAATGGTGAATTTTAATATAAAAAGTCTCGTTGAATGATCAATTAATGCGCTCAAATGAAGCAAATAGAGTCCAAATTAAAATATTTGTGCAAAATTAGATAAAACACAAAATTTATTATTCTTTACCTCCAATAAAGATCGCGGATGTATGTAAATTTAGCAAATGCTAGTTTTCAAGGCCGTGCAATCTATTTAGGAAGAGGACAATTAACTCTTAGTTAAACGGTGAAAGGCACACATAGCTGCCATAAATAAAGCATAAAATGAACACTAAAAAGGTTATATAGGTAACAACTAGCCATACCATAAAAAAAACAGATTAATAAAGCAATTTATAAAAGAAATTCAACTCCAGAGAAGCATTACAAAGATTTTAACATAGAGCATAGATAAAAAAACTAAAAGTTTTATATCGTGCAAAATATTTAGTTAGCGTGAAAGGTTAAGGGCGTTTGCCTTTAGTTAGGGCGCCAGACGTCGGGGTCCTCCATGAGGGTGACGCTGTGGTCGGCCGCCAGCGGAGCGCCCGAGGGCGTGCCCCCCGCCGCCATGGCCGCCATGTCGTCACGCGAGCCCCTGCCCCCGCGCGCAACCACAACCCACTCCCTCGGTTAGTGTTCACACGCACACATTTTAAGCAATATGTTTATCCAATTATTAACAACAATTATTTATAATTTTATTCATTAATTTGTTAAAACAACAACTCTATCATCAAAGTTACAAATTTCATCTTATGGAATTAATATTAACGACATTACAATCCATTCAAACATCACAAACCCATACAAGTCACATAAACAAACACACATCCAAACGACCAGAATGAAGTCAGATACACTAAACAAAACGAGTACAAGCGCAGAAAAAGTAAAACAAAAAATCTAACACGTACAGTCGCTCAAAAGACAATTACGACAGTACACAAAGAAACCAACTTCAGGCTGGTCCAATAATTCCAAAAGATATAAAAGGTAAGAGAATATACTGACTTTCTGCCGAGCGCCATCATGCCGTAGATGACTCCAGTGCCGAAGATCATGCCGCTGCCGAACCACGTGCTGAGGCTCACGAAGCACAGGAAGAACGGTGGCAGCGCCAGTCTGCACCATCACATCACATAATAAATGCGAATGTTTGTATGCATATGGATGTTTGGATGAATGTATGTTAGAGGTACCCCCATAAAGGCAGCATGGATCTCGCTGAAATTTGGCATACATGTAGAACATAGTCTGGGGGAGCGACAAAAATCTCGCCCAGGCACAATTCGTATAAGCAGTAATTCCAAACTACATAGTTCATTATAATATTTGCTGTTACAATGTCTTACCCTACGTAGAACACGGCCTTGTTCCAGTAGGGTCGTGTCTCCATCTTATCGGAGAGGGTCTGGACGTAGTCGATGCAGAAGCAGCAACAGGGCGCTTCGCAGACGATCACCACGAAGCCGGCCAGCATCTGCCAGATGCCGGCGATCAGGCAGGACACGTTAAGCGTCAGCAGCCCCAGGCAATTAAACACGCCCAGCAGGATGGCGACTGTAAACATACCGTGTACCATATAACTGAGATGGGATTTCAACCCACGACCACGTCATCCAATGTACATAACTTTAACTATTAGACTATTGGCGCAGTCTTTTTTTAATAATTAGCATTAGATTAGGATTAGGACAAAAACGTTTTTAACAGACCAATATTTTGAATTAGTGTGTTTTTGTAAGATTTATTTAAAGTAATTATATAGAACATAAGACTTATTAGATGTGTATAAAGAAATTTCGCAGCATTAAACTTGTTATCGCGTGAATCAGTCATAGTGTTGTGTTAAAAATAATGTACCACTTATCAAAATATGTCTTTCATAACACCGACAACGACGACATACATTTTAACCCCGAGTTTACACAACCAAATAAACAGAGATATACAACACATTTTCGTGGTGGTTTTTCGACAGTGGGAACCTACGGTGTGCCTTACAGATTACTAGTATTTAAAAATTAATCGTCCATTAATGGACACTCCAAACTAGGTCAACATTAACAACTTAAGTTACTGGGCCGTTGTAAAATGTTGTAATAGCAGTAAATTACTTTATGAAGCAGAAATTTTAACTGTTAATGACTTACGATAATCGCACGATATGTGATAGCAATTTTAAAATGAATGTTGTTGAAATAAGTAAAACACGGTGATGCACGGTGTATTTGAAATTTAAATTAATTTATATAATATTATAAAAATACTAGTTGTCGCCCGCGACTCCGTCTGCGCATGTTTAAAAATAGATAGTAGCCGATTATCAGACCTACTGAATATTCATATAACTTCATTGATTTAAATATAGAATATCTCTGTCATTTACTCCAAATGTATATTTTAAAAATATGTTTTTTGAGTACAATTCTTTTCCATTTTCAATGTAATTTGATAAGAATGTAACCGTACGTTTTCGATACTTCCTTAACTTTACATGTTATTTCTTTTATATTAAAGATAAAAGAGTAATTTAAATGATAAATATTAATAAAAGAAACATAATAATTTCATAAATTGTGCACACGAATTTGTCTCCAACAAGTGCGACGCTTATCATGACGCTAAACAAATTTGGTACGAGTGTTTAATTAACAAACAACACTAAATTAGGAAACGCGGTTTTTTAAATGTATATTTAAAGAGTATATGTTGGATGTTAGTTGAAAACATCATGTTTTTTACTACTTTTTATAGATTAAAAATAGAAAGTAATTTTAATAATGTATCATCTTATAAGAATTTCTTAGAGAAAAGATATAATCTTACTAATATTACAAATGCGAATGTTTAGATGAATCGATAACATTTGAAGCTATGTCCAAACTGGCTGAACAGATTGGACTGAAATTTGGCATAGGCATAGAACATAGTCTGAAAGAACAAATAGGCTACTAATTAGGTTTATTTAATTTCGCACAGACGGAGTCGCGGGCGACAGCTAGTATTAAATAAATATATGGAACTTGACTACATACTATCACCCATCTAACATTAAAAAACTAATGTTCTCCTTCCAAGCTTATAAATGTAATCCTAGCTCATTTCTTAAATTAACACACATAATGTAAAGTTTGTAGCAAACTGATATTTTTGCTAATACCATTATTTTTACACTGAATAAATCAAGAGAAAATCCAGAAATATTAATTTCATAGAAAATATTGAGTGCTTTATACATCTTACTAATATTATAAATGCAAATGATTGGATGGATAGATGTTTATTTGAAGGTATCTCCAGAACGGCTGAATGGATTTTGATGATATTTCGAGCACATATAAAACATAGTCTGGAATAACACATAGACTATAAATACATTTATAAGGAGAATGACTTAATAATAAGTCATTCATATAAACCTCAGCATCACTTTCTTAAAAAAAACAATAACAATTTGACCCCAAACAAACAGGTTTATGACACATAATGTTCCTGATTGTTTCCTTTCTTCTACAAACTATGTAAAATACAATTTAATAAATTAAGTGATGTTTACTTCAGGTAGGATATCTAATATCTAAGTGAATTGTCAGATTGAAATTATACATGCAGATATGTAAGCTATGAGAATTATCCTTAAAATATAAAATGCAATCTCTGTCTGCTATTTTGTGTTTTGAAGATTTAAAATGATTGTATAATCTATAATAAGGTATTCTTCATTTACATAACCAGGTTTACTACCTTATAGTCACAAACTAGTTATTTCCCCTTAGATACAGTTTAAGAATTATTTTTGGCATAACATTTACATATATACATAAGCCATATGTATATTTTAGTATTGTAATTTTACTCAATGTAACCACTTAACTAAATGTACTCAACTTATTTTAAATATTACTGTTATACTACTCCTCTTCACCAAGGAAAATGTGTTAAATTTTCTGTATATTAGCTAAATAATTTTAATAAAAAAGTAGCAAAAGTTCCTAAACATATACTGTTTATTGTAAAATATTTCCACCTGAGTGTAGAAAATTACTTCTTATTGAAAGTCTTATGTGTCCATCTCGATAAATTCGACATATTGTTAGTAAAAATGTTTGGATTCCACCCACTTTGATAAGATAACATGATACTAACAATTATTCAATAAAGTGACCATTTATTATGACAATAAGAAAGAAGAAAAGAGAGTGAGGACAAAGATATCGTACAACAATACATACTTAAACTGCCAACAGTGCCTAAGCCTCTTCCAGCGTAACGCATCCACCAAGGGACATCGTCTTTTTGGGCATTTTCGCCGCCCGGGCGTGTCATCAGCATAGTAATCTTGTCCGCAAACGACTATAATTATAACACACATTATAGTATCTGCTGTTTTTAAGTAAATAATCAAGAATATAATAAGAATTTAAAAGGTTCTTACCATTTTCGAAAAAATCAATTCACTGCTTTGCTCTGACAAGTCAACTGTCAGACAAGACAAGATAAATGAACAGATTACAGATGTTTCAAATGAAAGCTTTTGCAAACACAATATCAAAACGCATTTTAAACCTTAATGACGAGGGCTTGAATTTTCATTAAAAGTTTTTAAGCAATTTTTAGTTGATTTTTCGGTAAAACTGTTTACATCCAATATTTAATTTAAATACCATTCAAGTCATAATATAAATGACGAAGTCATCATAATTTTTCCAAAGTATATAAGAACAAAATTAAAAAAGTAAACTAAAATTCGATAATTTGTATGTTTTTCCACGACTTATATCCGTCTAACATTTTATAAATTATTATTTTTATTATGAGTGATTTTTGACAGAAAAAGCTTTTTGGAAGAGACCAAAACGCGTTTTCCAAATGTCGGTCGGCTTCAGTCAGTCATTCGAGCATTTATAAATTTATAATTCTTCTATTCTACTTAATTTTTGCAATAAAATAGCCTTACTTTAGTAAAGTTTTCATCTTTTGTTACATATGTGTATAGTTTAAAAAAACTGTGTAAAAATGCAACCGACTTCGATACTTCCAAAGTTATCAGACACAACTCAAACGATGTAAGTAATTTTAAACATAATTTTCATCAACAACTTTTCCTTTAAACTTTTATACATTTTCAAAAATCCGTTTCGAAATTGTTCTTTCTCTACTGTGTGATAGCATGATCAATGTTCTACAAATTCCAGTTAAATCTAGCTGAAGTTGGTTATTTCCATATAAGTAGTTCTATTGCATTATTAAGTAGTTTTGAATTTATATTTAATATAAAGGTAAAATAAAACTGTTTTGGAAGATTGGTTAAAGTTTAAAAAATGAAAAATTACATAAAAAGTTACCTTATAACTTTTTTTTCTATAATGACAAATTAATTCTACCCCTAATTATTACTTAAATGTCATCTGACATTTTTTTTAATTCGCCTTACCTGAAGGACATTGCACACTTTACAATCCTCCCTAAAATTTATGAACATAAGCATTGTATCTTATAATTTAAATTTGGTCTTATGAAACTATGTATTAATGGGTTTAATAAGTATTTTTGCATGTTACAGCTCCTTTTCGGAAGGAGATGGAGTGTGCAGCTCTGAGGTGTATGCCTCCGAAGTCATTGTCACCACTAATGCTGGTAACCACAATCATGGCAGCTCTAAAGTGAAGCTCAAAAATCTTGTGGATTACAACTGGGAGCCTAAGTTTTATCCTGGTCAGCTGCTAGCTGTACATATTGGTGGGAAGTATTTGGCTTATTCTATAAAAGGTAAATATCAAAATACATTTAGAAAAGTAATCGATACAGATAACATATTTCTTTATGTTGACTAACATTGTAATTCGCTATAAGTGTTTCTTGTTACAAATAAGTGTAAATTAAATACAAAAATAGAATAAAATAGTGGTATACGTCCAGGTGTAGGAGATATAACTTTTTCCATTGTTTTCAGCTCCCAACCCAGCCAATCCGGGCACATGGAATGGTATGGTTAGAGTGGTGTACAGTCCAGAGCCAGGAACTGATAGACGAACTTTAATCAAAGGGATGAAGGGAGAGGTGAGTTTGATTAATCTTTGGTGAGCTATGTTTAAGTGAAGTTTATTGTATAGGATTTGTAATATCTATATATTTTATATAAAATACATTATATAAAAACTATAACATTCTTCTTGGTAAATTTTTGGCCCATATTTTTATAGTTTGGTAATCAACAATATTGGACATAGTCAATCCGTTCAACTTCTTCTCTTCTCTCTCTTCAAGGCAATATATTATATTTTATCAATCTATTTATTTGCAGGTTCAAGACTTGGCCTTTGCCCATATTCAAAACCAAGTTGTGTTGGCGTGTATTGACGAAATGGGCAACTTTTATGTCCATGAAATTGAACTTACCGATAGTAGCCTCAAGTAAGTATGATTTAAGAATTTTGTATTAAGGGTATGGATGAACTGATGATTTTATTTAGAATAATTTAGTTTTTAAATAATTTAATTGATACTTGTTTCTCTTTTACTCTTATTTTTATTTTAAAAGAATAGATAAACTAACCATAAATTGTTATAACATTACAGAGTGAGTTTGGTGGTGGAAGTGCGAGAGGACACTGGAGTTGGTGGTAACACTCATCGTGTGGTGTGGTGCCCATACATCCCCGATGATGAGGACGAGGTACCTGACGATGACGTCGTCAGGCTGCTGCTCACTACACACGGGAATGTTGGTTAGTTAAATAATTGATTATATGTTACTGAACTTGCGTCATATTTAGAAGATAATCGACATCTTTTTTTAAGTTTAAAAAGTCAACTATGATACTCCCGCACACATATACTACCTTCCAAGTAAATGACGAATTTTGTGGATTCTAAGCCTTACTGAAACATTTGCTTATTGAACATTTAGCATTAAATCTGTTTTGAGAGTCGTTCACGAGTACGAGTGCATATTGCACGCAACTGCAATATGTATAAGCAATATGGTAGCCATCACTGGTATATAAGGCTGGTAGTATAAGGGAATAAGCAGTTTTGTGTGACAATGTATGTTTGCAGCTCGCATGTGGAACATGAAGACAGTGTCTGCGAGTGGGGGGCTAGAGCGTTGCGCGAGCGCGCGCGCAGCACTGGAAGGAGGCGGGGCGCGTGCGGCGGGTGAGCACGGCGGACCTGTGCTGGCTGCTGCCTTCTCACCCGACGGCACCGCCCTCGCCACTGCCGCCGCTGATGGATACGTTATGTTTTTCCAGGTATATCCATTCAAGTTAAATTGCTTAGTAAAAGTATAGAGAGAGAAGGAATAAACTGTAGGTATTTGGGTCATTTAGAAATGGATGGGTTGTGTAAAGGTGGAATATTTATTTTGTTATCCATTAATGTTTGTGTATGTATGTAGGTGTACATGATGAACGACAGTAATCTGCGCTGCCTGCATAAGTGGCAGCCCCACGACGGCAAGCCTGTCAGCTGTCTCTTCTTCCTCGACAACCACAAGAACTACAACACAGAGTGAGTTGTATTCTATCTATATTAACATGTATATTCTACTCATTGTATATCTTTAAGTTATCAGCTAACCTAAGTAAAAAAAACAAAGCTATCCCTAGAGCACACTAAATCTATTCTTCTTACTATTGTTATGCTAAATTTCACCCAAATCCATACAGCTGTTCCGGTATTACCTGATTACCTGATAATATCCATAATATTAGTAAGTTTACAATTAATATGTATGTTACAGCGTTCAATTCTGGAAGTTTGCTATAACTGGTGCGGACAACAACACATTGATCAAGGTCTGGTCTTGCAAGTCATGGAACTGTCTGCAGAGTATTTCATTCTCACCGACTATCAATGGCGAACCAACCCTGGGCCTGAAGGCAATGTTGGACTACAGCTCCAGTTACCTGCTGCTGTCAGACTTCAAGGCCAGGAGTTTGTATGTACTGAGCATGGCGAGTGATGTGAACGACGCCATGGCCTATTGTAAGAGCATCTCCGAGTTCCTGTTGCCTTATCCTGTGTTAAGCTTCTGTATTGTGGATGCTGGTAAGATATCCTCTTTATGTTTTTTATCAACTAACCGGCGTCCGCGACGACCCAAGGGATTAAAAAAATACTTAGTAACCTATGTTTTCTTTCAGACTTTCTTGTTGGATAATTACTTAACCTAAATATCTCGTACTTATTTTAATGTGTGACACTTTTGTCTGAAAGTTAATTTAGATAAATGTAGATGTAAATTTCATATAAACACACTGTAATGGTCATAATGTAATAAAAAGTATATATTTTCAGAGGAGGAGGTGGTGAAGTGTGAATCTGGCTGCGAGGATCCCTTCCTCGGCAGCAGCTCCAGCGGTGAGAATGGCGACTCTCCAGATGAATTTGAACTTCATCACGATGTAAATATAATTGTTATTTTAATATCATACTGCTAAAGAAACAAAATGTTAAATGTAGAAAATATATGAACTTAGTACTAAAGTAAGCCGTTGTGTCAGGAGGAGGGTGTGCGGGAGTGCGGTGCGGGGGGCGGCGGCGGTGGGGGCGGGCGACGTGTCAGTCTGCGTCTCTACATCGTGCAGCCCAAGGGTCTGCAGGAGGGTGAGCTGGTGTACTCGCCGCCCGAGGACTTCGCCCGAGGTCCGTTTTCTCACAATACCTCTACCCGTGGTTTCCTGACACCAAAGTCCCCGTTTAAAACAGTTATACGCTGATTTAGTATCAGATATAAGTAATATTTTTAGATGCTAAATTGCCTGATTATATTTAGGTATGGTGACGGAGTGCGAGGAGATGGGCATAGAGGTGGGGCTGGAGGAGGCGACGCCCCCCGCCCCTGCGCCCGCGCCCTCCACCATCCTGCAGCAGCAGAGCCAGCAGCTCAAGAACCTGCTCATGAGGAGTCAAGTGAGTACACCTTGTTAGCTGATAGAACACTGAACATCTTTTCATAAATGTTTATGTAGTAAATGAAGGCATACAAGGGTAATAATAATTAAAATTAAAAATGCATGTTTTTGCAAATATTTTTTTTATTGAATATGAAAATTAACTATATTATTGCCGGCTTGATATTTTTATGTATTAGACGCAGCCGGGCAGCCTGATGGGTCAGCGCGCGGAGTCTCCGCCCTCCATACCGCCACAGCTCAACCTCATGACACCGGATGCTTTCAGGTTATTATACATATCCTACATTGTTAGTTTCTTGCTATTTATTGGGTCAAAAATTGCATTCTGTTATTTTTAATATTACAGTTCCCCGGGCAAGCGCGACGAAGACGACCCGCCACTGTCGGCAACTCCCGATGTCGTCAATAAAGCCTTGCCCACAACTAATGGTTGGTTACGACAAATAATATAAACTTTAGTTTCATTTCAATCTAGCTTTGTCAGCGCAGATAATATTAAAAAAAGTAACCTATGTTACTCTCGCACACATCAGCAACTTCCCAGTCCTGTCAAAATCGGTGCAGCCGTGCCAGAGATTACCCGGAACAAACGCGGACAGGCAAAAATTAAAAAAAAAAACATTGGGGTGTTAAACATTCTAATTTGTTAACTTTACTGTCCCGTAATACGTGGTGTTTGCTTATTGTGATCAGGTCCTGAGGAAGCTGTGATAGCAGGTGCGGAGGGCAAGTCTCCGTCTGGCGGCTCCAGCCCCAGCCTTGAGGTGCAGCAGATCATGTCGCACAACGAACAGACGTATTACAAAGAGGATATGGTATGTCTGGTTTTATTTCGTTGTGCGCTATTTTATGAGACTCATTGTTCCAAAAACTACAATTGTATAAACACCTTGCATATATTATGTCAACATTGTAGTACATGTAAAATTAGCGATTTTCAAATATGACAAAAAATTCCAAATTATATTTCTCTATATCCCACAATTTTAATTCTCTTTGCTATACAAATAGAGGTCTCTGCCTACCCCTCTGGATTATGGTCGTGGACTTTGTTGTTGTTTCTTTCACCTTTTATTCGTAGTAACGATTGTTAAATTAGTAAGTGTATGTGTTTATTTGTGAAAATGTGTATGTACAGGAGGAGGTGGATTGCGCGGTGACTGCGGAGTGCGGGGTGGGTGTAGGTGTGGGGGTGGTGGAGGGCGGCGCGGAGCAGCTGTTCCCCGCACCCGACGCGTACAGCACGCGCAACGCACACGGCAACTCTCCGCCCGATAAACTCACGCGTACAAGTCAGCACTTCTCTTACCACATTATACAAATATTATTATTATAGAGCAACTAGATGTCGCCCGAGACTTCGCGCGGAATTAAAAATAATAATTAGTAGCCTATGTGCTTTTCTAGGCCATGTTTTGCATATATGCCAAATTTCAGTGAGATCCATGCAGCCGTTCATCAGATAACTTCAAAAAACATCCATCCATCTAAACAATCGCATTTAAAATAATTGAACATATTATGAATTAATATTTTTGACATTTATGAGTATAAAACCTGTAAAAAATATATATTTATACTGATTACAGACAGCGAGACAACATGGCCACAGATATCACTAGAACAGATCACGGAAGCCAACCAGCGCAAGGCGTCCAGCGACAAGGGCGGGCAGAACTTGAGCACGCCGCTCACAGACCAGATGAGCAACTTGAGCGCCACCACACCGCTCACTGCGCCGCTCCCTGCGCCGCTCACTGCGCCGCTCAAGCCCGCACTGAACCAGCCGCTCGGAGTGAGCGCCGCTCATACCACGCTCAGCGATGACGTGTCTCGAGCACGTCTAGATGCACTCGAACAGAAGCTCGATAAGTTAATGGGTATGTCTCTATTAAACCATCCTTTTATATTTTATTATTATTTATGTACAACATAACATTATAGAATTCAAATAAAACATAATTTTTTTAATTAAGCCTATATGATATGTGTTATTCCAAACTATATTCTATATCTATGCCATATTTTAGCGAGATCCATGCAGCCCTTCTGAAAATAATCACAAAATCCATACATCCATCCATCGGGACGGGAATATTTGTGATTGTGTGTGTGTGTTGTAAATAATGTTGTGTATGCAGAGTTGGTGACGGCGCAGACGCGCGAGATGCGCGTGCTGCGTGTGGAGGCGCGCGCACCCCGGGAGCTGCTGGACACGGCCCTGCACGAGCACTCGCAGCGCACCACCGCCGCCATACACACCGCCATGGCTGACGGGTAACCTCATTCAACAATAATAAACACTTTTACAAATCATATACTGATGCGTTGCTGACAAAAATGGTCGTGACAGACAGACGGACAGACAACAAAGTGATCCTATAAGGGTTCTGTTTTTTTCCTTTCGAGATACGGAACCCTAAAAAGATTGAAAAGTATTGGTTATGAACGATAGATCATTCAAAGAGTGTATTGATGTTATAGTTGGGAGCGTATCTCTGGTCTGGGCGAGGCGGCGAGCAAGCGTGCGGCGGCGGCGGCAGGTCTGGGCGCGTCGCGTGCGCTGGAGCCGCTCGCCAACGCGCTGCAGCACGAGCTCGCCGCCAAGCTGTCCGCCACAGACCGCCTGCTGCGCGACAATATTGACAAACTCGCCACCAGCAAGGTACACAACGACGTATCATTTACTGCCATACTCAGAGACTTTACGGCTACCTAAATATTTGTTTAGTGTATATTTCTCATACTAAATTTACACTATGGTGCTAGATCTAATCCTTTCTTAAAAACTATCTTGTGAAAAATGTGATGTTTATATAGACATTAATGGAGCGACTGAGCGGTGCAATAGCGACGTCCCTGTCTGAGATGGTGCGCGACTCATTCCGCGAGGCGCTGTGCGAGAGCGTCGTACCTGTCATGGAGAAGGCGCACGCGCAGATCTTCAGACAGATCAACCAGGCCTTCCAGAACGGCACCAAGGAGTGTAAGTTGAATAAATATTTCAAAAAAATTCTTTATCTAGGTTCTTATTTAGGCATATGGTTTTTTGTCACATAAATATAGTATTTGTTTTCCTACCTTGAACTTATATTGCTTCAACTGGCAGCGTCCCAGAATTTAATGTTTTTAGAATGTTAGTGTAATTTTGCATTTTATACAGTCGCAGCAAAAACGGAGTCAGCGGCGCGCGCGGCGGCGGAGCGCGGCGGCATGGCGGGGGCGGAGGCGCTGCGTGCCGCGCTCGAGAGACACGCGGAGGCACTCGCAGCCGCCACCGCCCAGCCCAACATCACCGCCACCATAAGGGATGTCACCCACAGGTGCACACGCATTTAAATTAATTTTAGCAGTTGGAATAAGCTAGTAATAAGATTTGTAATATATCGACTACTATTTATTTATTTATTCACACACTCAAAAGTGGTAAATGATCACTGACTATGTTGGTGCAGATTTTTCCTACTAAAACTTAGTGTGGTGCTATGAAAATGTCCACTAAGGATTTACTTAATGTTATGTGCAGCGTGCTGGAGAAGGAGCTGGCGTGGTGGCGCGAGCAGGCGCGTAGTGTGGCGCTGCAGGTGTCCCGCGCGCACTCGCCCGCCTCCTCCGCCGCAGCGCACAGCGCCGCCGACAGACAGGTACGCACAGGTTATTAGTGCAAACAAGGTTTAAAAGTAGTCTATGACATTTTTTTTTTACAAGAAAAAAGATAAAACTATTTCTTTCTTTAGTAGGCTTGTACAATTTGAAGGTTTAATTATGTTTTGAATATGTGCATTTCTTACAGAAGTCACATCGCACCACTCCGAGAAACTGCATCCAAGAATCATTGCCATTCCTAGTCAGAGTACTGATGAATTTGAACTAATTATTTGAGAATATAAATTATTTACAATGGTATTTGATTAGTTCGTCGATTAAATCTTTTAGATGTGTATAGAATGTTTCAATTCACTGTACGATTGTAAAATAATTACATTCGGTATTTTACGGTAATTAATGGACATTTAATTTTATTTTCAGTAGTTGAATAAACAAAAGATGAGATTAGATTGCATTATTTAGTTACAAATTTGTATTATTTTCATTAATATTTTCGTAAAATTAATTTATGTAAGCGTTATATTATTTTGAAGTAGGCAAAGTATGTAGATTAATTATATTATTTGTATACAGATGCAAGTGGCCCAGATCCAGTCGCTGATGTCCAGCGGAGACGTAAACGGCGCATTCCAGCTGGCGTTGTCGGCCTCCGACCTGGCGCTGGTGGTAGCGGCGTGCCGCGCTGCTGAGCCGACACGAGTGTTCGGTCCTCCCTGCAGGCTCAAGCAGAATGTCCTGCTCTCCCTTGTGCAGCAGCTCGCTGCGGATATGCAGCGAGATACGCAACTCAAACATAGGTCACGACATTCATATTTTATTTGATATTATTTTTACCTGATAAATCCAATTGTAACTTTTTCATAACATCTAAATAAAAACGATGTATTTGTACAGATATCTGGAGGAAGCTATAATGAACCTGGACACAACAAACCCAGTAACACGAGAGCACTTGCCTGTAGTGCTTCGCGAGCTGCAGAAGCAGGTGATGGCTTTCCTGTCTGCCAACCCTGGGCATACGCTGACGCGCCAGTTCCGCATGCTGCTGCTGGCTGCAGACTCACTAGTGAAGGCGGCAGTGTGACAGCGCTGCAATCACTGTGTCTGCATCAGTTATTGGACTTCAATGCACTAAGTGTGGACTATACAAGTGATTTTACTAAGGGTTTTGACTACACTAATACTTGTATTTGATACATACAATATGTGCGAGATGATTATATGTGTCAATACAAGACATTGTAGTCAAAATCTACAGTTATATACTACATAAATACCTATGTAACAAGTCTAAACTGTAAAGTGACAGTGCATCTAGTGTTAAATGTGACTGTGCCTAGTGTTCAAGTTTAATAAGTGCTTTGGCTTTGTGATTATAAGACTTTGGTATTCTTCTTTTGTGATAGAAGAAAGTGCATACCAAGCCTTAATAAGTGAGCAGTGAAAATTGGAAATTTATTGATTGATATTATGTTTGATTTTGAATATATTTTTATTTGGTAGGAAACTTAAGCTTGTTCAATTTGTTCTAAATTACGTTTTCTTGACACTGTGTTCTGACTTAAAGTTTTATTTACTTATAATATATTTTTGATACATTAAAAGAGAAATTACAAAATTTAGAAATATAGATTTCTAAATTGTTTAATACTTATTTACATAGTAATATGAAAGTTTGATTTATGTTTGCCTTTAGAAATTGTATAAACCTTAAATACTCAGTCTCTGTGCCCATGGATAAGCAATGATTGTGAACTTATATATAATTATGTTCCTGTGAATGTCTAGCAATATTAGTAGAGCTATATAAAAAAACTGTAGTCACGCTAGAAACAGAAGTTGGCTAGAAACAAATTAGGCTTATCTTAAAATGTATGAGGTGAGGTAGCTTAGCTGCATTATAAGATTATAAAAGCTATAACATATATTTATAACATAACTGTAGAGTAATTTTTAAACTACATTTTGAAATTTTTGTAATAATAATAAGCTGTATTACAATGACTGAAAAAAATAATAAAAAGATACCTGTGTTTGATTTTTCAATATACAATTTGCCTAAAATCTTAAAATATACAAACATTTTTCCCAATAAAGCTTTGAATGTCTATCTATCTGGTATATGTTATTTTGTAAAATAACATTAATATAAACATTTGTTAAAACAAATAATTATGATGAAAAAATGATATGACTTGTCTTATCATTCAAAGTTATTAGTCCACAAGAGGGTCAACTGTGCGGCCATCTTAATCTATTTTGGGATCTGCAAAAAAGTGTGATTGTAATTTAAAATTTTACAAGTTTTGAGTAATTTTGTATGCTTAAAATAAGATATACTGTAGGTTTTCACTATCTAAGAACTTGTGTAAACATTATTCCGTTTATATCCTTTGTAGAAATAGAGACAATGTCTTTATCAAAAGTGTTACAAACTGAATTACATTGTAAGAGTTTGCATTAGAATTGCAAGCATTGAAATTTGTATGTGTTTTTGTATGAAGATGACATTTTGTATGTATGCTTATATGACCTCGGATGAGGTGTAGATATGAAGTGGTTTTATAAATAGTAATTAAAAGTGATTATTATTATTATAAAATATATAACAGACTGCAAATATAGAAAATAGAGGCTTAATATAGTCTGACAAACATAGAATCTATGTAACAAAAATGGCTTATTTCCAATTTAAATATGATTTATTACATATATTTAACTTTATAAAGATGGGGATTGTAACATTGAACAAAAGTACTTAAGACTTTTACAAGTAAAGTTATAAGTACATGATATTTCTGTTCCATATTTCAATAAATAATTTCACATTAAAACCATTCATTTCAACTTTACAACGTATAAGAGATCTTTATTTTTTTTTAATAATTGCGATTTACCGAAAACCTCATGTCATATAAACAACAGCTTTAATGTAAAGCTTTGAATGCATATGTTATTTTGTAAAACATTTGAAATAAATTGTTGAATGACTTGTGTTTATGGAAATATAACACTGCAATATATTTATGTAGTTTTATTTGAGTGCGCAAAGTCAAATCATATTCACAAACATGATGTGGAATTTTGTATTTCAAAACATATTGACATGATGGAAATTTTAGTTCAGAAACAGATAATCTTGCGAAATAAAGAAGTTTTATAAATCAGTTAAGTCATTATCCATCAGTATGGAGCAGGTTGGATTTTTGTAAACAGGATTTGCATAAAAAGAGAGTGAATTTGGACATGACAGATGTAATGTATAGAAGAGAAGTACTGACCTTTTGTAGGGGTAAGGGCAGGTTGCTGATGATGAAATCATCAGCCTACCTCGGGTTACGGTTGTGAGTATAATATGAGTATGACCTGATCTGAGTGACAAGAAAGCTAAGTAGCTTACCTATTTCACAACAAATAAAATTTAAACATACATAAGTTAAATGAACTCTGAATGACGTCTTTATTATAACATGATACTTAAAATAGTTTACATTTTTTACAAATAAACAATAATTAATTTTAACTTAAATAATAAAGAATAACAATTCATGGCTTCAGTTTAAAAATCGCTCCGGTTATTGTGCCATGTCGTTGTACCAAACATAACTTTTTATCCGTTTCCAAGCAGATTGTGGGAGGCTTCAAATTTGGCTGTATTTTGCACGCCTGCTCTGATAATGCCACGATAATTCCGGCGGAGTCGACATGAGCTGTCCCTTTAGCTGCGAGACAGAGCCCCTGATGATCGGCAACTATACATCCGTTTATTTGAGGCGTAGCCATTATTTCATCCACAACCTTATCCAGATCTTTCTCCATGGTAGTGTTTTATTCCTTAGATGTTGTGCCTCAACTTCAACAAAGATGGCTTTGTTTTGCTAAAATCGATAAATCAACTTGACAGTGACAGATCGCAGCTAGCTGTCAATATTTTTTTTCTCGGTGAAAATAATAATGGTATCTGGTTTTCTGCCATTTTTTCGGAATACACATGCATATAACTTTAACTTTGGTTTTTGTTCTTACTTAAATACGGAAAACCTAAATTAATTTGTGTATTCATTTCTTGACACTCATTCCAAATAAACGTCTAAATCTTGTAGACAAATTGTTTTTCAAATTCCAAATATGGTTATTTTCTCATATTTTTATTAAAATGTATATTGCGAAAAAAGTGATATTGTATGGTATGAATAAATGTTAATTACTATAGTAATGTGTTCAAATTCAAAACATCAACTTTGCAGCCTTCGACAAAAACATTGACCTGCGACGTAATTACAAGTAATGACCTTAATTTATAGCGTGTACATCAGTTAATTACAGACATGTTAATTACAAAACAATTTACAGAACTGTAAAAACTACTTTCTTATAACCAAGAAAATATTTTTGTCACTCATTTTTATACTATGATACTCGACAGAAATTTTGTTTCAAAGGTTGTCGACCCCAGGTCTAGGACATTAAATTATGGACCAAGAGCTGGTGTACTGGCGGGGATGTAAGCTTAATTCAGATTAGAATTGAGGTCGGGCTTTCGCTGCTACAACTGTTCTCACAATATATCGATGTTGCTTAATCAATAAGTCGAAAAAAATGTTAATTAAAATTGCTTGTGAAATTAGCAAGGACACCGAGATGTAAGTTTATTTCTTAACACTTCGAACAACAGAAACAAGATAAAAACTTATTCAAGGTACGATTGAGATTTAATTCTGCGGGTTTGTGGTCAGTCTACTGTGGTCACACCGTCAAGAATCATCATCACCACACAGAAACATGACACTAACAAAAAACACTATTATATTAAACCTAGCCGGCCTCAATCAATAAAGACAGTATTAACTTCACCGTCGACCTCTGAATGTCTATTCCATCTATCAGAGCCAGTTTCTTATCATCTTTTGCATAAATTAGCAAAAATGTTGTAAACATATGGCTTTTTTTACAAGCAGCTTTATATCTGCAAAATCCTCAAGTTCAATGTTGATTAAGATGTCGCAACACGGCACAACCGGTATGGGTGCCGAGTCTGTTTTACTCTTAGTCAGTGATAGCACTGCGTACGTAAGAACGTCTTTCGGTCTGATTGCAAAAAACGATGTTAGAGACGCTCGTATATATGTTTTTATGCACTTTAACATTACTATCCTTGTTAGAATTAATACGACATTGTAGAAGTAAATCTCGGGAGGATGAAGTGCCTGAAAAGAAAAAAGAAATATGGAAAGGTAATTTTTTCGTGTTTATGTAATTCAAAAAGACGCAATTTGAGAAACATTACAAAAATACGTTACGGTGCCTTATTTAATTAACTAAAATATAGTATATTATGCTAATAATTCAAATAATCTCAAAGTGTGTGATTAAAAAGTTTCGGCATAAAATGCCTAGGTTGAGTTTATATATTTTTTTATTAAACTGAATAAGCTAGTAAAAGTAACGAACTATTTTAAATTGGTAATTATTGACTTTTTATCTTATTTAGGTTACTCCAAAGATGTCTTGGTCAAGTGCACTTAATACTAGGCTCTTCGTACATAATTCTACGTAATTCATCGAAACCTGGCCATTTTAGTCGCTAAGCGACTCACGCAAAGCAATGTCATAGAGATAGTGCACGGGTACGCGTCGTCGACTTTTGTTCTGTCGTTGCCGAAGCCAGTCGCTACCTATCTGTTTGTCAAGATTGTCGTGAAAAAAGTCGCTGCTATTTTCCTGACAACGTATATACAGGTGACGTTAGTCGCTATGTCTGTACTGACCGAATAGACGACTCTGGTCGACGATTCAACTTCGTGTGTACGGAGCGATGCAAGGATACAACGTTAGTTTCAAAGATTTACTTTGCAAATATTTAGTTTACTGAGTTTTAAGCAATAGACAAAACGAATTAGAAAAGGACCTTAAATTTTTCGAGATACTTTTTTACCCTTTATATATTTTATGATGATGAAATTAGTTGTATTCATTAATGTTATTAGTCTGGGCAATAAAATTTAAATATTTTTTTACTCATATAAATTAATACTACAAGATGACTTTGCATATATTTGCTGTATATTTTGAATTTTCGCCCACAGATTATAAATTAGGAAACTCTATTTAAATTAGATCATTAAGAAAATTAATTATTTTAATTAATTATTTTCCTTAAAATAAAACATATAAATTAATATTTAATCTTCGCTAATAGCTTATTTATGCTCTAAATCTTTGAATTTCAAGATATAGGTATTGTCAATGGCGCGCATTTGCCTCTGTCAAATTAAAACAAACAAATTCTTAACTTACCTGTATGATGGTTTTACAAAAATGTGTAAATTGAGCCATACGTTCATAGAGACGTTTCATTTTACGCGTCAATTTGGAATGAAAATGTGAGTATCTCAAACTCACCCATGTGATAACTGTCAGAATTTGTTTAGTACAATGGAGGATCGTTGCTTAGTCATTTTCTCTATAGTCGAAGTTCCAAATATATGCTACAAATATAATGTTTATAGTTCAATACAAAAAAGTTTATTTAAATGGTTGATTGACATAATTAATATGGCCATCCATTAGTGTAAAATGTTATTTAGCTTATTTAAAAATAGAAGAAAAACAACTAGTTTGAGATTTGTGTGAGATAAAATAATTAGATGTAAATTTGCATACTAAATCTTAGCATTACACTGTACTAAGTATGATGAGCGCTGGTAGCGCAGTGGTTGATTGCCGGACTTGGCATTAACAGATCCACATTCGATCTCCGCTAAACACCAATGTCTTTTGTTTTTTCAAATTTACCATGAAAGAATATATCGATATGCAAGCTGCACAAAATAAATTCAAAAAGGAGTGTTTAGACAACCAATGCGTACTTTTTCAGCGCGACTAAAGAATAGTCACTGCGAACTTGGAATAGGCCCTAAGCCTTGACATGAACCTTCTGTTATAAAAAAATAAAAAAACAAAAAACAATTGTTTTGTTTTCACATCAAATTGAATTTTATGTAATTTAAATAATAATAATAATTAACGGATATTTATAATAGAATAATATTATACCTAGTTTATTGACGACCTCTTTAAAATATGTTAATTAAATACTCCTTTACATTTTATAAAACAAAATACCTTCAAAATTAAATTAATATTTTCCAGTAACCGTGAGTGATTTTACTGCAGAAACACGTGTGACAACAACATACTGTTGTCTCTTTCATTCTCTTTGAAAATATAGAGATAAAAATATGATTTCGTTCATTTCCTTCGCCAGTGGAAATTGACGGTTACATTATGAAATGTCATAAGATTATCTAGTGCTATTTTTAAAATTAGAATGCAATTCGCGTATATTAATGTTAAATACCGCGATTAAAATGCGCCTTTTTTATACTCATTTAAGTTTTATATTTTTTATGTTGTACAACATTTTATTTTTAATTATGTGTTTTTGTAACTTGTAAATTGGCCTTTTTTAGTTTCTTATAGTTTTATTTCGGTCTCGGTGAGAGTGGCGCTTTATCAATTTTTATGTTTATCGTATAGACGGATAACTGATGTAGTTATTAGTATCAGCTGTAGTATTCGGAAGAGATGGGTCGACGGTTTTTTTTCGGGGTTTCGCCACCATGCCCAGGAGGAACAGAGGGGTTTAGTGAAAAGAACCCCACGTCCCCGCTAGGGCGCGGAGTATGCATAAAGCATTCCCCTTTGGAAAAAAGGGTCGACGCTTTTTATCAAAATATAAAGAGAATATTAGGTTGAAATACAAATTGCTTGAAAGCAGCTTCGTCGGAATTGTAGACGTTTATTTTGGTATATGCTGTGCGTTTATAATACCGTAACGGGCGACATTGTGTAAAAGAGAACTCATAACCTAATTATATATTTATTGTAGTGTTCTCAACTCGTATGTAAGATGTATTAAAATATGGGTTGTTGTAGCAAAACCAGCCGCATGTGACCTTCGACTTGCGACATGTAAAATCAAAGTTTGGCAATAATAAGCGCTTTTCGTTCTGATCTCTCTTATATCTTTCACTTTCGACCCTGAATATTATTTCGATACAAATTTTTAATCTATAAGGTAACCTATAAACACAAAACCACTTGCATTCGTTAAATATTAAATGTCATTTTTTATGATTATATTATTTATTTAATTTTTCATTGTTTTATTTGTTACAGCACCTCTAAAGCTTGTGAAGCAGACGTTAAGTAAAACAAAGATGGCGGATAATCCGGCAACATCTGACACGAAACATAATTCATCAACGAACATCGTGTAAAAATAATATAAAACAATAATGAATGAAAGATATGTTGTCAAATAAGTTTATTAATAGAATATACTAAAATATTGTCGCAATTTACAAATAATTTATTACCTAGATAATTACCATAAACAAAATAGTTTCTAAATATACGAATTAAAGATTACATTTTTCACTTTTTTAATACCTGATTAGAGATTAACCAATAATTGTAATTAGTGTAAAGTATATTATATGCTCTAGATATTATAACATTATATATTGAGAGGAAGAAGGGAAGTGCTAGCCTATTATTCAATAAAGGTAGAATTCGATTGTCAATCATAGACAATTTCACTTTGGCGTCTCTTTTAGAGTTTTGGCGCCTATTGCTACAGGCATGTTGCAAGCTTGCGGTGTGCATCTAAAACTGGTTTCAGAGACCAAATTGTATAGAACATATCATCATGTCATCCATATCATTATGTTTTGACAAAACAGAGATAAAATTATGTTTTGTGGCGATTTTTGTCTCAGAAACCCACTGTAAGACAACCATTTTGCGATTTTCCATACTTTCCATATTGCGAATTGCGACTGAATTGCTCAGTGGACGGATACAAATTGGCAAAATGTCTCGCTACTTTCTTTGTATTTTGTGGATTCTATTTTTTATTATATCAGTCAGATATTATGTCGACAAACTTAGAGAGTTCCACTTATGATCCATTATCTGCTGTGGTAATCACGGATATCGACAGTATTAAGTTAATACTTTCGCTAAAAATAATAAGTAATTGAAACGCACCGCTTTTAAAAAATAACGCCTGCCACCTCATGAAAATGAAAGATCAATCAGCTATTTGCTATATAATAAAAACAGGCGCGTAAAAATTCAATAAACAAATGATATTTTATTGGATTTTAATCAGTTAGTTTTAGTTATTTAATTCTTTAATTCAATATTTACTGAACATGATTAATTTAAGAAAATTAATACAAAAATAAAATAAAAGTTTTGTAGGTCAACAAGTTATGCAATTAGCCATTTGCTTGAGCACAGTAAATTCAATGGAACAGTTCGCGTCGCGCGGTCATGTTGTCACGACGCTTGTTAATCTAACTTTTTTTGTAACTTTGTTTAGTAAACAAAGTATAAAACAACAACACTAAATATTTTGTAGTAACGGTCCTGCATCGCTTTGAATTTAAAAATGGTTTTACTTATAATATTAGCGATAATTGGTGCCATCGCAGTGATTTTGTTCCTTATTGATTCTTTATGGAGTTTACTCGAGTTGGTAACTTCTCATTTGATGCCGTTCTTCCTTCCCACGGAGGTGCAGTCTCTGACGAAGAAGTTCGGATCATGGGCTGGTAAGATTTGAAACAGTTTTATTCATTAAAATTAATATTTTTGTCAAAATAGATGGGCCCTTGAGGCAAGTTTGAAGTATTCGCCTTTGACACTATTACCTTTAAAAACTAGTTAGTTTCCGCAACTGGTTGCATGGTTAGTTCTCCAATGTCTGTTTATAGCATTGCCATTGGTATAAAAAACACGTTTATCGTATTGTTTAAATCTATATTGAACGAACAATACACATTGCATACTTATTGGAAATATAAATGCATAATAAAAGATAAGTATTTAATTCCATATCTCACTAATGGATCGATGAAGATGTTTTTAGAAGGTATCTTCAGAACGGCTAAAGGAATCTAGGTGAAATTTGGCATAGCTGTAGAACATAGGCTGACAGTACATATATGCTATTAATTACATTTCATTAAATTCACGCGAACGGAGACGCAAGCGACTGCTAGTATAAAATAATACTTATTTGTACTATTAGAACCAAATTAGAACTAACCGGAACTTAGCGTATTCAATTAGCTAATGTTGAACTGTGGAAATTATATATGTAAATGGTAAATCGAATGAATGCGAGTCACAAATACTGAACTGCTTTTTAAATTGTTTACATCGCATTTATTATCATATATATGTTATCGAATTTATAAATATATAAATATATATTAATGTTAACAATTACATAAGTATTAATATATTATATATTATGAACTAAAATGTGTCTTTATTGTTATTAATGTCATGACCTGACGTTGGTACTGCAACTTGTTTTGCGTAACTTCATGCATGTTGGAAATACAATTTCACCTTTGAACTGTACTTAAGTCAAGATTTACATCGGCTCGATAGTTTACAATATTTATAGGTTTACGGTGGAAGTAAAACTGACTATTGCTAGTTATTCCGTTCGCTTTTATTTCAATATTTTCAAACTGTGAGAAACCATAAAAGTTAAGAAATTGATTACTTTGTTTACCCCAATTAGGTTATTTGACGTGAAATCTTTAATAATATTGTACGTTGGTTGGTGGTAAATAAAGCCAGCAATTTTATAGAGAATTGCAAAACTTTTCATGATTATTGGCCAAGATCGTATAATTTCGATTGAACTGCAATTGACTTCAATTCCAGCCGGGATTGAGCTGATTGCACTTTAAATAATCACGTGGCAATAAAATCATTATGGTGAATACAGAGTGTTTCTTAACTTCAAATTAGGATAGCGCACCCTTTTGGTTTGGGTTGGAAACAGGGGCGGATTTCGGTATGGTGGAGGCGAATAAGACAAAAATGAGACTACATTGAAGGTCGAAATATGACAAGCATAAAGTTTGAAAATGTTTTGCTACACTTAGTAAATAGTGTTGTGTGGATTCGGAAGATTTTTTTTGATTTTGCACGATACTCATATCGTGTTTAGTTTTTTTTAACGAAAAAACTATTATACTGCCTGTATGCCTACTTATACCTACTATAATATAAAACGTGAGCCAGTACGTTTCTGCGCTCTGTTCTTACAAGACGATCTTTGCTATAATTTTACTTAATAAATATCCATAAAATAAGTTAATAGATTTGATCAAGAAATTTTCGTTCGTTAGCCGCCATGTTGTTTTTTATTTTGGCGGCAATCGGAGTTGTGTGTACAATTTGTTTTATCATGGATTCTGTGTGGAGTTCTGTTGAATTGTTGACGTCATATCTCAAGCCGTTTTTCTTACCTTTAGAAGAACAATCATTAATTAAAAGATTTGGTTCTTGGGCTGGTAAGTAAATTAACTATTGACTGAAAAAAATATCTGACCCGATGAGCATAAATGCCACTAAATAACAATTGCTCATTAACGCTAAATTAACGTCAATGCCTTAAAAGTGTTGCAAGATCATTTCGTAATGTAAAGATCGACAAGGATATCTGACCCGGTGGGTGTAAGTGAAATTAAATTATAATAGCTCACTAGCTCTACTGTCAATGTCAAAAAAGCGTCACAAGGCCCTTTTCGTAGTGTAGCTGTCATGTTTTTTCTTTTATGTCCATGTAGGTTTTATTATTGATAGAACTAACCACGATAGCAACTCCTCTTTCACTGGGACAGATATCCTTGTTTGACTATAGCTATTATGTTTTTTCTAATAAGTTATTTTCTGTACATTTATATTTCCCAAGTAAACTAATCGCTATAGCTACGCTTCCCTCACCCGGCCAGTAAAATTTACCGCTCTATATTAATTTTCATTTAATTGTAGTACAGATATAAAAAATATATAAGTACGCTTCGCTGCGTTAAAAAAAACTGTTTATCATAAAAAATGTTTTTCTAGTTTTATGTAAAAGGTCGAACACGTTCAAATATGCACGAATAATACGTTGGTTAAGTTTTGAATGACGTAAAATGAACGATATAAAAAACGTTTTCCTTATTATGTCAACGCCAATAGTCTGATCTTTTACTACAAAATAAGCAAATCGTTAGCCTTCAATAGTTTGCGTAAATATTGTTTTTTAAATTCAAACATCATAATAAATGAAAGATTTAAAATCAATTTTATTTCAAAAACCTCTATGAGTTTGGAGAAAAAGTCTTTTAGCTTATAGTATGAATGAACTTTTAATAATATCTCTTTGGCTATAGGTACTTTACGTATCTGGCTAGTTTTGGTATTATTAAAAGTTTAAATTGAAAAGAAGATAATTTCAAATTCAAATTAAGAAAGTGTTCCTTTTATTATTTGTTTTTCTTACAATCGCAATGAATGTATGTAATTAAAAAATTTGCTAATTTTTTTAATACAAAAAGGTAAATCCAACGCAAGTCGCGAAAAAAAATTGCGATTTTTATCAACCTAGTGCAGTCTGTGAGACTGGCACTTTGGTTTAAGCGTGAGAAAACTAACTGACCACAAAAGTTGATTATGGCCCACTTGTTTTTCATTTTGGAAGAAACTTTTTCCCCGACGTCTTATTTTATGGCGCGGATTCATAGACATTTTTATTTTGAACGTATTGTACACTCCTAATAAAGTACATACCTGATACGAAATTTTACGCCGATGAATTTAAGCCTCGTACATCCTTCATTAATTATTATGAAATTGTTCATTGTTGCTTTGCCTTGTTTATCTTGTACCCCAGATCTCTGTCTTTGCCATAGGGATAATCTGCTACTGGGTTTGCCGGCGTAATCATAACTAGGGCTCCACCTTTTACAAATCTTTTAAGAACTGATATTGGGAAATCGTAAAAAAACATTAAAGTTTAATAAATCTCAAGTCGATACTGTGTATAATCAAGGTCAATTTACGAAATGATCGTTTGTTGACTCTGCCATCGGATACAGAGGGATGTTGAAAGATGCTGAGGCAAGTTTCGAGGCGTCCGTCGCTTGCCCAACGTCTTTTATCGCACGTGCCCATTTTAAAACTGTATGTTAGCCTTTCATAATATCAGTTATTAACAATGGAAGAATCTTCATCTTATAAGAACAATCATTTTACAATAATAGGTGAAGCAAAAACTTTGTAGCGATTTATAATAAAGTCGCGTTAACGGGTGAACGCGATACGTAACCCATTTATCGTTAACCTGGAGAAGAGGTTGAGTCGTAGTCGTCAACTAATCTCATCGGAAGCTACTCAAGTTAGAAAAAGAAACGCATAAACCTATACATATAGCATTTTATCAAAATAAAAAATATCGATTTCCTGTGAAAGTATTTTTATTTCAAAACTCTAACCGTGGTTTTTCAAGACCAAAATCCACGTTTGAAGCAAATTGTTATCTCTGTTTTACCAAAGATGAAAAACAGGAATGACGATTTATTTTAATCAGATATTGATGTCAGAAACTCACGGTAAGAAGTTTGGAAGATATTGCGACTTTAAAACTATGGGTACTACTTTCTTTTCGTTTTCTTTAGAAAGTTTAGAGAAGTATAGGTATACTTATCCGTTACGTAATCGTCTCCATCAGTTGAACGCAGTTGTTGTCACTGCGTATACAATTAACTTCCTTATAGCTTACATATATATTTGTCACTGCTTTTAGTTTAATGTTTACTTGTAATATTTACTTTCTTGCGTAACACACACATAAATGACATCAGTATGTTTCAATTAGATACTCAATGCCTGTTTATCTAACACTGGATAGGTCTTCTATGTACAAAAAATTCAACCTGTATCACTTTGGGAATCATTGCTTAAGTAATGTATTACGCAAATGCGTAATTTTACAATTACAAAGTAGGTTTAAGTTTGTAAAAGCAAAAGGATTTAAACGGTAAAGAATACGGGCTTCGATCACGTGGTCGAGAGTTCGATTTTTGAATTGTCAATTGTCTTAAACCATATCCTAACAACAACCGTAGAGCTTTGTTGGAATGGTACACAAATATTTTAACAAAATCTGCAACAAATATGATTTCGATCCATTCATTACGAGAGTATCCTCGGCACGAAGGTGCCTAGCACTGGACTTTTTCAAATAAAATGTATACGTGAACTGCTACTACTAATATTAATGTTCTACTATAATTTAGTTTTTAACTACATTGTTATATATTACTATAGTTTAATAGTTGCGATACTTGTTTGTTTGTTTGCTCATTATAGATATAATATTGTTATAAGTGAAGACTTGTCATTGGCTCTCAGTTGTCTAGTCTATAGTTAATAAGATTATTATAGCTGTAAGTTTTCCATGTAAATAAATAAATAAATATTAGTAAATTTTTGAAAATGCGTTAATATATTTTAATTAAACAAGGTACAACCTTGCAGTTTGTCTTTTATTGTTCGCAAAAAGCATTGTCTTTATAGGAAGTGGTAACAGATGCTGTTCAACAGTTCTTGACCTTGCTTGCGTCGTGCAAGAGAAACCGCAGATCTGTTGCGTCAACTTTCGCGAGTTATTGCAGCCTCACGGTACTACGTGAAAAGGTTTTTGTTAATTAATTATTCAATTAATCTGACATGCACGAATATAATTAAATGTTCTCATGAAATGTTCTTAATTCTGTGAAAAAATCTTCATTTAAGTAACTAGTGAATCAATTAAAAAAAACTATGTTCAAACATAATTGGGAACATACGAGGCTTACTCTTTCAACGAGTTAAATCGAATTGTTATAAACTGAGTTACCACAATTCGATTTTCGATATTCGATTGATCAATTTTCGATAAATGAAAGTAGCTATCCTTGTCCCCCAAAGAGTGGACACATATGGCGACATTGTTTTTGACAATATTTCAAGCTATAAGTGATGTGTGTTACTTTTATATTGATAATTATTTCCTGAGCTGAATAACAGATATTAATTACAACAAACACATATTACTACTGCAAAAAATAATGTTATGTTAATACCGTTTTATTGAACTTGAAACTCTGATAATTTGTCAACTCTGTTGCAAAATAATATTCGGTAACAACGGAAACCGCTGACGCAGCAAGTTTGCGCCAGTCCTTGCAGTTCATGCATTTAATTTGTTAAATATATTTTAATTATATTAAATGGATGTGACTAGGGCACTAGCTGTCTCCTGCGACTCTGTGCGGAATATAAAAATCTTAATTACTAGATTGTTTATTTATTTATTTAAAAACTGCATAGCATCATTACAGTATACAACCAATTTGACACTATACACACTTTACATAACAGTTTACTCGATAACATATTTTATAATAACAGTAAATAACACATAAAAATGATAAATCAAAAAATGAAAAAAAAATACACAGATAAACATTATGTGTTCTTCCAGACAGTGTTTAACATATATGAGAAAACAGCGAAATCCTTTGAGCCATTCTGGAGATACATAATGATAAAAATCCATCTAAACTTCCGCATTAGTAATATTAGGTATTGAATGTTGCTGCCAGATTTTGTACTTCGTCAGTTTAAAATCCTACTAAATATTAGCAGATTTTTTTGTAAATTCACTAATATTTTTTTTACCATTCCAACTAAGCTCTAGGCTTGTGCTAGGATATGGTTTACGACAATAATCGAATGGCGGGATTAGAACCCCGATCTCGTGATCGGATATCTGTACTCTTAACCATTAGGCTATTGACGGTTCATTAAATTAAACATATTGCTTTTGTTTATTTAACAATATTTTTCAATAACAATAACTTTGTAATTTGTGTATTTTCTATGTGTTACAACCACGTTCTATTGACTCTGACATTCTCTTTGAACAGTGTCAACAATATGTGTCCACATGTGCCACCCAATTACTGGTTTTGAATAGGTACTTAAATACGGTCGTGGTCATAGCGATGGTGTCATTCATTGGTTTACCATAAACGATAGATGTTTGTAACAACGTACAATATCGAATGTCTTTTGCAATACAAGACCTTGAAATTACACTTTGGGTCACGACTGTACCTCGTAAATGTAAATCATATAATTACCTACACATTGTTAGCTTTAAAAGTACTTTTACTCAATACTAAGTTTTCAACGATTGACGTAGATTGAGAAATATCGCAAAAAAACATAAGTAATAAAAACTAAAAACTTAAAAATACTTGTATCTCTTATGACATTGATAAATATGTATAAAATACAAATATTATCGAAATATTGTGTAAAATACAAAGTGTCAATGACCATGATCTTTTAAAAATCTTCCGAAAAAAAATAGATTTGAACAAAATTAATTTGACTCGTACACTGACCTATAATAGTTCTGCAAATGCCATCGCCTATCCATTGATAGAGATAAGTGGACACGTACAACCAATTACATACATAAAATTCATATTCTAGTAAATTTATTACATGCGTCATTGAATTTGAAATAGTTATAATTTAAAATAAGCACGACAACCAGAAAGTGGTTTTGTGGAGCAAATATTTTATTGCTGAATCATTGCATGGAATTATTTCGTAATGAAATTTGATGTAATAGTAACCTTGTTCGTATTTAAAAAACAAATATTATTTGAATTTATTACTTGAGTCAAAAGCTGTCGTGAATCTTTTTTATACAAGTACTAGTTGTCGCCCGGGACTCGGTTCACGTGGAATTAAAAAAAATAGTAGCCTACATATTCTTCCCGGCTATGTTTTCATGTATGCTAAACTTCACCGGGATTATGGTGATACCTTCTAAAAACATCAATCCATATAAATATTCGCATTCATGACATTAGTAAGATAGACCATGGAAAGTGACATATCGAGTGACACAATCACTGTACTATGTTATATAACCAACACAAATGACATCCGCAACTATTGCGCGTTAATGCCTGTGTTATGTTTTGAACGAAATTAAATATATTTCTTACCATGTGTAGCTAGTAGATACTTAGCGACGTTACGGGGTGCAATGTAACATGTTACACTGCTAGCTTTCATGTAGTGTTACGAGGCGCTCCATGCGAATGTTACAACTCGTACCATTACACGTCGTAATGTCGGACACTACCCAGCTTAACCAGTACGGCTGAATGGATCTGAATATAGAACTGAGATAGACTAAAATAATTTAAATCCACACAGACGATGTCACTGGTGTTCTATAGTAAATGTTCTTGTATATTGTTTCTAGCGGTGACTGGCAGCACGGACGGCGTGGGGCGGGAGTACGCGCGGGAACTGGCGCGACGTGGCCTCAACGTCGTCCTCATCAGCCGCAACCAAGACAAGCTGAGGAATGTCGCCGCGGAGATCGGTAAATACGCGATGCATTGTAACACCAGATATAAATATGGAAAATATGGAGAACTGATCGCCAACCTTCGCTAGTCGGAGAGGTACCTCAAGAAGAAGAAGAAGAAGACCAGATATAAAGATGAGAGTTATTGTGTTTATATTTACCATAAATACTTATTTAAATCTGACTAGGATATTGAATTCATGAATTATCGAGATTCGTCAAATTCAGACGTTGTACTATCATTAACCCGTAGGTTCTTGATGCCTTTTTCTTTTCTTTTTTTTAGTTTACTCTCCATGTTTTATGACATACTAACATCAATATATTGTAGGTATTTAACTTCACATATGTAATTATTACAGAGAAAGAGTCCGCTGTAAAAACTAAGATCATAGTGGCCGACTTCAGCAAGGGCGCAGAAGTGTACCGCCACATAGAAGAGGAACTCAAAGATGTACCTCTAGGAATCTTAGGTGAGCGTCTTATAATAATTGAACGATATCCTACATTATTGATTATTGGTAATTAAAGTAATTAAAAGGTGACTAATTACTTGAACATTAGAATGCAATGCCGAATTTTGTGTATTTTTAGTGAACAACGTGGGCTGCCAGTACGAGTACCCGGCGCGGCTGTGTGAACTGCCGGCGGCAAAGGCATGGGAGTTGATCAACGTGAACGTGGGCGCCGTGACGATGATGTCGCGGCTGGCGTTGTCCGGTATGGCGGTGCGCGGCCGCGGCGCCCTTGTCAACGTCTGCTCCGGTTCTGAGCTGCAGCCGCTACCACTCATGGCTGTCTACGCCGCCACTAAGGTACCGCCTTCTACTACGAACTGTACATCTTATAAAATCTAAGTCTTCTAAGCAGTCTCCTGTGATAAAGATGGTGAACTTTTGTTATTCTATTCACCGCTGACATTGACGCCCTCTAGATCTCTACTTAACACTTCATCATCATAAGTCTACTACTGAATATAGGCTTTCACCAATGCCATCTACAGTATACGGTCTTCTACATTCCACACACATCGGCATATTGCAATCCACAAAACATTAATAATGTAATTTGCTAATGTCTTAATTAATATGTGTGCAGGTATACGTGCGCAGTCTGACCCTGGCTATCCGGGAAGAGTATGCATCACATGGCATCTACGTGCAGCATCTGTCACCGCTGTTCATCGCGACGAAAATGAACGCGTTTTCTCCGCGGCTTGAGCGCGGTGGTCTGTTGGTACCGGACGCGAGTACGTACGCCCGACACGCTGTTGCTGCGCTCGGTCGCGTGCACGACACTACGGGATACTGGCTGCATGGCATACAGGTGACTCTTCCTAGCCCTTTGTCTTAACAAATACGCGTGCTTTCGCGTTAATTTTATCGTCTGTCGTTATGCGTCATAGGAGAAGAGAAGCTCCTATTTCCTTTCTTGTAAGTAGAACCCTACACAAGTTCGTAATTGGTGCTTTGTGGTGATAAATTTATATGTTTCTGTATTGTATGTCTAACAAACTTTAAAATGTATTTCCAGTATTTCTTCATCAAAGTTGCTCCGGAGTGGATGAGGATCAAAATCGGCATGTACATGAATCAAGACTTCAGAAAGGAACATTTTGAAAGTGTCAGATCGAAGGCACATTGAGGCGCACTAGTACAATGTTATACTTTTATTTAGATGCATTTTAAATAATTTTAGGATAAAAATTATCGCGTAAAACGATAATATTCCACTGTCCTATCATCTGTATAATAACAGTACTGCTATCTCTTTCATTGTTATTGAAAAGAGATAATGATATGTTATACAGAATGTTACAATAGGCGAAATTCACGTTTTATGTTTAAACTTTTTGGTACCTTACATTTTAATTTGTTGTTTATAAATTTTCTTGTAAATAATTAAATAATTGTTGATTTTTTAAATCTTTTGTGGCTGTTGTTTTATATTACTGTTTAAATGTGACATTCCTGAGTTAATTTGTAAATACTTGGAGTTTACTTTTACCGCTCAGCCGCCATGTTGCTTCTCGCAACAAGACAAAGTCTCTATACCTAGAACATGATAGTTTTAGTTGTTGACGACTTTCATTATTTTAAAGCGGTAATTATTAGTAAAAATGTAATGTAAAAGTATTGTTTTACTAACTTTTCCATATTATAAATATTTGTATATACTTATATCTAATAAATAGACAATTTTATAAATAGTTAGATTAAATTGGTAGTTAGGGGAAGCGACTGTTTTTTTTTAATAAAATAAACGAAATTAAACTTTTGAAATCTTATTTTCCCCAATAACCACTCACCTCTATTTTCCATTGGACAGGCTATAAACCATGGTGTTTTGTGCCAATTTTGTTTCCGCCATTTTGGCGCTGATAGTAGCGGTTGGTAGCGGTGCTGGAAATTCGAAACAAAAAATATAGTTAGAATAGCTTACAGTAACTTGAACTGGCGACGCTTTTATGTCGGAACGAAACAAGCTGTTCACTCGTTCTGTCCAACGGATGTCTAAAAAGATAAAAATGTACTTCACTACGAAGAAGATCCTATGTTCAATTCATCAAAAGAATAATGTCAGATAATTTCCATTTATTTCTAGATGTCAGAATTAAAGATTTTAAAAACATTATTTATAATTTAATGTAACGTACAATGATATTTTAAGTTTAATAAGTTGCTATATAAAAATGACTTCAAACATTAGTTTAAATAAAGGTATCCCAGTATTCAGGGATCTGGAATATCAATCGAGGGTGCAAGAAAATGAGGTAAAGTATCTGCAGCATCATATATAGACCAATAGAAATAGTTTGAGCCACCGCACCCTACCAGAAGAACACAACTATAAGAACAAATGTAAAATACCTCTTTTTCGCGCCTGTATTCTGCGAGATCGTTTTGTTACACCGGTTTAGTCTTGCCATACATTTAACAAATCATTTTCCTATCTCTAGCACAATAGTGCTAATCTGAGACGTCTGTAAAAGCTTAATTCCTTAACCTAATTGTTATTCCGAAATTACCTCATAGTTAACTAACTTATTACTTACTCTAAGGTTAAGAATAACATAAGTTACAATCAGGGCAAGTAAGAGGCATTCAATGCAGTGAAAAGAAAACATGAGACCTCACTTCCTTCTTGTCTCATTTCTTCAATACCCCATTCTATTTCTAGCACTAAGGCATGCCTAAGTACTGGATTACTGTTTATTTCTTTACCTTTCAAATAATATATCTTTTCCAGATGGAATATCCACTGTGGTGGAGTAAAAAGCAGATAACCGAAAGCTTTCAGAACTGTCCCGAGGACACGGCATGGAACATCTTCATATGCGTCTTTGTTCTAGTGTCGATAGTGTTCCTTTATTCTGATTTTATTCCGTACTACGAGATCATTGACCTCTCCTATAACGTGGTCTATGCGGTACATGTTCTCGGCATCGCTTACAATCTATACGTGAATAGAGAAAATACTGAAATTACTTGCTGTATTATTTGTAAGTTTATTAATGGCTCGAATTCTTTAAGGGGTAAAATTTTATCTATGGCATTTAGGATTTAGCTTACTTATTTTCTGATAAACAGTTTTCTTTATCTTGTAACACACAATGGTATGGACTTTAATCACTAGCTGTCGCCCGCCACTCCGTCCGCGCGGAATTAAGAAACAACTTAGTAGTCTTCCAAAGTATGTTCTCCATCCATACCAAATTTCATCGAGATCCGTTCCGCTGTTCTGGAGATACCTTTAGCAAACATCCATCTAAACATTCGCATTTATAATAATAGTAAGATTTACATTAACAGGTGTTTGTTTCAGTTGCGTTTTTCATCGACTTCGCCACTTATTTGCATTACTTTGTAACATTTCCTTTCCATCCGAAGGAGAGTAAACTGGCCGCTTACTATCTGCGTCTGCACAGGCCTATCAGATATCTTTGTAAGTATTTATAATTACTTAGTGTAAAGTTTTTACTAAAATGTAGAAATAGACTCAGGAAAGTTCCTTAAGTCTCTTGATCAGAAAAACCATAAAATTGGACTTTTTTTCCTTCATTTCAGTCTGGCTAATTCTAGAGAATAAGGCGATTGTCGAGATCATATTTCCTCAATTTATTTCTCGAATTTTGTCACTCAGGGGCACTGAACGACTTCGACTTCAAAAGCAGCATCATTGGCACTGCACTTAAGAATTGTTATATTTTCTTGGTGCTGCGAGTCACTTGGACCATCATCTGGATATTTTTTCAAGAGGTTTTCACTTGGCATTAAGGTTTTTATGAAAAAATAGTCATAGTTAAAAATGAAGGTGTGCTTTACCGACATCAGGAAGTGGGAGACTACAGTGACTTGGTGTGGCTGCGCGCGCACGACCAGAAACCAATGAAGCATGAGGCCTTGAGCGACCAAAATGTCAGCCTCTTCTTTGCCAGCCTCTATCTCGTTAACAAGATATTTATACCTATTGGGTAAGACTGCAGTGGAAATAAATTATTTTTAATTCAATTTTAGTTGCAATTAAATTAAACAGTTTTCTCTTTCTGTCTTTGCTCTCTTTTTTTTGGTAAGGCAAAGTACAATTGATATTAAAAGAATAAACTAGTTCTTGACCACGATTCTCTGTTATCATTATGTTAAGAGGAATGTGATTCAAAAACATTATGACGTACCACTATATTCGTAGTGCAACTCGTCACCCGCATTCTGATACGGAGCGCGTGCTGGCGCTGTTTGTGACCATCTCTGGATGTCTGACGATGATAGGATCGGCGGTAGCGTCACTGTCATTAGCTATTGGCATCTACATGCGTCCCGAGGAGGCCTTCAGAGCACGGTATCGACTCATCATGAGGGACATGGTAAAGCTAATTTGTAATAGGTTGATATAAAAGTAGAGTGTCAATAAAAATACTATAGATAGATTGCCATTGTAGATGACGCCGGTAAATTAGTTTACTGTTTGTAGAAGGAGTCCAACGTGCCTCGTAGCCTTAGCAAGACAGTGATGACGTTCTACAAGATGTACTGGCATAAGATGCGCGCGGTGTCTAGCACGCAGCTGCTGCCCGCATTCCCACCTTGGTTGCCCACCATCGTCTACACAGATATCTACTTTAAAGCCACGCAAAAGGTTATATATTTTGGTGGTATTTCATGAAGAGTATTATACTTTAAACTCATGTTTCAAAACCAGAAAGCTATAATTAATGTTTTTTTTTGGCTTGATTACGCGAAAACACATTCGCTGTTATTTAGTTCCCAATATTTTCTTTGTCTTTAATGTGCTTTTTCACTTGTCATCCATGTTCAGAGTCGCATCCTGTGCGACCTGTCGTACAGCTTTCTGTGCGAGGTGGCCAAGACTATGCAGACACTGCACTACATTCCCGGTGATGTCATCATCAAGCGCTCCACTAGGAAGTCTTCTATCATTTATATCACGTACGGAGACGTAGAGGTAATCCTCATTGTTAAAATTCCATAAAGGTTATTTTCGTGTTCATTTTGGACAGCTGGCAAATGCTTTCTCTCCTGGAGACGTGGATTGAATTTCATACATCTTTTTGCACGAAACAGTTTGTTTTATTGCTTTATCTGGTGGTAGATGCTGACGGCGGAAGACGACAGCACGGCAGTGCTGCGACTTTCGCGCGGCTCAGTGCTGTCGTCGTGCGCGGGATGCGTGCCAGCTGGCTGCGGCAAGGCGCACGTTGAGGTGCGAGCCGCTACCTTCTGCACGGCCCATCTGCTACACGCACGCGACCTCTGGCGCATCGCGCTCAAGTACGGCAAAGACAACGGGCAAGCGGCTATCATATTAGCCTCGTTTTATGTATGCTAATATCTTTATCAAAACCATTATTACTTATCGTTTCAAACGGAAGACATTGACTACATTCGAGTTTGTTTTCAGGAACATTTCGAAAGAGTCAAAAGACATTATTACCTAAAAACTCCTGAACAAGCTATGTGAGTTTTTTTAATTCTATTCTATACCTACGTACAATAGGCAGTTTGTGGCACTGTTATTGCGTTGTGACAGGTACAAGAGCAGCATCCGCGAGTTCAAGCGCAACCTGATGAGCCTGCAGGGGTGCCGGGATGCGGCAGGTGGGCTGCTGCTGGCCCGCACCGACATCATGCTTGACATCGCCGGCTGCTACATCATGAGAAATGTCACTACTATATAATTATAACTACAGGTATTTCTGGTCCTATTAACCTGATATTTTGTTACTTTCGATCAGAGAGCTGACGCGTCGCTGACGGACGAGTCTGACGACATTTGCCTGCGCTCGGTCTTCCCCTGCATCCTGCAACCACGCTCCGTCCTGCTCACCCTTTGGAACTCCTTCGTCTGCTGCGTCATCGTCGCCGTTTGCTTTGTGAGCTACTGACTCGTTACACTGTGCTAATGAGATGACGGATAATACTTTAACACATTGCGGTGTGATAGCTAAAAGTATACTCAAGAATACCGAAGAACGTGTTCTGTGTCACTAAGAATTATTTACTTGTTTTAGACACATCCGTACTACATCGCCTACAAGGGAACGGTGCCGATACAGTTTAGGTTCTACGACTACGTGGTGACATGTATTTACTTGCTGGATCTCTTTGTGTATCTCTCCACGGGAGAAAGGGTTGAAGACGGTTAATATTATCTAAAGAATTTAAATAGTTTTTTTTAAATAATTTAAGATAATGATTTTGAACATAATTTTTACAAGGTGTGCCGATAACGCTGGCGCAGACGGCGTCCCAGCAGATCCGCAGCCACTGGTTCGTGTTGGATTCGTTGGCCACCGTGCCCCTCCTGGAGTTCATACACGACGGACACTTTGCCGGCATTAACAAACTTCTTAGATTACCGAAAGTGTGCATTTTAATCCTAATCTAGAATGTACATTTGTAATGTATTAAAGTAAGAATAAAATTATGAGAAGCTTTCACATCTTTGGCATCATTATAGTTACTTACCGAAAATAATATTTAATTACTTTTCAACGTGATATTTTTGCAATTTTTCTGTTATCATTTGTAGGTGTTCCGCATGCTAAAGTCTCTGGAAGACGAGTGGGTATACTACAGTAACTTCCTGCGCTTCTTTTCTTACTCGCTGTTGCTGGTCATGTCGTGTTACTTCGTCGCCGCCTTGCAGCAAGGCTTTATGTGCTTCTGGTTAGACTGCCACTATTACATTTGCCATTTAACTTACATTAATCCCACGTAACATCACAGAACGATATTACGAAAAGAATTATACGTATCTTCTCGACGTGGAGTCATATCACTATACTTAAAGTATTTCAAGCCGTTGTTGTCAAAGTCGATGTTTTTCATGTCCAGTTTCGGTCACTGCTCAGTGACGAATTTAACACACCCGCCGTTCTGGGCACACGTACCGCCCGATGACGCTTCCATCAACAACACCCTCACCTTCGGATTGTACTGGGCCATCTCCATGATCACCGTTACTTGTAAGTATGTCTTACTGACATTTTTTACATTCAAAGTTAACTAATCCACCCTCACCTAGTTTTGCTTTTTGTGTGACCTCGAGGTGTATAAATTGTTCTTTTGTCTGTGAAGGCCACAAGGAGACGGGTGCGATGTCTAACTGGAACAATGTGCTTTACGCCATGCTGGTGCTGGAGCTTTGCATCATTCTGCACATCTTCATGGACGCTGTCTACTCCGCCACCATCATGGTCGCTACTGCGCTGAAGTAAGTGATAGAATTCTTCAGTAGATCATTTCACACAATAGCACCAAGATGGTTAAAAAATTTACATAAAACTTTGAATTATTTTGTTTTTATAGAGAAGACTACGACGCGAGCATCACAGATGTGACTAACTTCTTGATCAGAAACGACGTAGAGCCCATTTTGCGACAGCGCTTCATCACGTATCTGCAGCTCGGCTGGTACACCGATAAGGTACCAGCTATCTACGAAGTTACTATCTATCTAAAGATGTTCGATGGTATCAGTTACAGTATGATTTATGATTCCAGGGATATCGGATGACCAATAAAAAGAGTTCGATATACTTCGACCTGCCGCCGCATGTATACCAGGATATTGTTAACAGACAGCGTAGTAAATACATCCTTTGCATACCTTTTATGAAGGTAAATCTTCCTTAATTTATTTAATGGCGTTTGTGAGAATAAGAAGTCTATAGTTGGGTCATTTTAGCTTAATGTTTGTGTTATATTAACCTTATTTTAAATTCATTTCATTCATTAAACCCCGCTGAGATAGTAATATCACAATAATCGTTGTTGCAACAGTATCTGAGTAAGGAAGATCTAAAGACGGTGTCGAGTCAAGCCAACATGTTCTACACGTCTCCGAATGAGATCCTCTTGAACACCGGCGACATCAGCAATGAAATATATGTCATTAAGCAAGGAATTTGCGAGGTGAGGAGTTGATAAACTACTATAAATGGCCCTTTACAAAAGAAAGATGAGTTCAAACACCCAAAAGGTTATCACCTTGACAAGACAATTCGTATTAATAATTTAATATAAAGTACGTAAATATTTTCAGATAATTGATCCTGACACTAAAGAGGTGATCAATGAATTGAGACCGAGAAATAATTTCGGTGTGCTTGAGTGTGTTCTACGTAAGTTGTTCAATGCACCTCACATTACACTTTTTCTTACATTTTATACTTTAACTTTAAAAATATTTCTTTCCTTGTTAAAGGTATTCCAGCATACTACACGGTGCGCGCAGCGACGCATGTGCAGATGTTTTCGATATCGCGCAAGTACCTGCTGAAAGCAATCGAGATACCACAAATCAAGGACGCCATCGAATTTGCTAAAGAACAACCCGTATATATTTTCTCTCCTCTTTTCTAAACTAAAAAGACCTCTTCTGACCGTTTTGATTGTAGAAAGTAACAAGAAATACAAGCTCTGTCAGCTTACAGCAGAAGTGATAAAACACTTTGTAGTTAATTGTTTTAATTGACTTTAATGAATGTCTCTGGTTGTGTGGTGGCAGGAATACTTTAGCCTGCAGACGCGGCGGCAGCCCTTCGTGTCATACATGCCACCCGCGCCCATCCCTAATGTCGAACGATTCCGTCTGCCCCGAAAGCATGAGCACGACTACGCCTTCCTGCAGCCATTTAGGAAGCTCGGCTTTCTCTCTGTATTAAGGTGATGTTCGAATAATTACAGAAATATACTAAACGGTAAAAGCATCCATAAAATGTAACTCTAGTACCACAATACAGATATATATTCCCACGATTCACGATCCGTCCGGACAGCGAGTACCTTATGCGTGCGGAGTGGTGCCGCGGATGTTGTGCTGTGATGTCCGCACTGCTCATCCCTGGCTATCCCTACCTCAGTTTCGATTCTCTGCCCCTCTACTTCACGCTACTCCTGCTCGACTGCTCCGCATATTTCGACATGTAAGCGACTTCCACTTACGAACTTACTCGTTAGTTCTTAATTCTTACAATTCTTTGTTACTTTGTGTCTTAGATTACAACGTATGCTGGTCGGGTATTACAACGAGAAGGGTATCTTGGTGTACCACCCAGCTAGCACGGCCGACCACTATATCCGGGGCGCCTTCCTCATTGATCTTTTCAGCTGTCTACCGCTAGAGTTACTCGAGACAATCCTCAAGGAACTATACAGTAATGATGAATTTTGTTACTGACGTATATATGGTAGGAATGAGGCAGATAGTATGTGATTTCTTTGTGGTGAAGGTGACAGGTACCGTGTGGCGGTGTCGTGGCAGTACCTGATGCTGAATCGGCTGCTGCAGCTGTACCGGCTGCCGGCCGCCGTGCAAGGCCTCGATCGGTATATTCGACGCGACATCGTGCTTGTGTTAGTACTGAGGGCTACAATGTTATTTTCTAACCATCGAGAGACAAGCTGATTAAAAGTTCCTTGATGTTATTACAGTATCAAAGCGACACCACTGTTCCTGATGCTTTTGAACGTGATGACCTGCTGCCTGGTATTCCACTCAGTGGACATCTACACGTGGTACAATGAGTCAGCGCTGCTGATAGAGCCCCGAAAAGACCACGGCGGTTCCTGGGTCCAACTTTTCAATGATAACTGTTAGTCATATATGTGGTGTAGATGTTAATCAGTTTGTATATTTTGCAAGATGTTGCTGCAGGTAAAGAGGGTTTCCCTACTCGTTTGCACTCTTCACAGAGATATGAATGACCGATCACATAACAATCCATGTATCTATTTGTAATTATCTGAATAATTAAAAACTACTTAAATACTTGTAATTATATTTATTAACACTATTCGATGAAATAACTTTTCACACTGTTGAATCCAGTCCGCTTCAATATAACGGAGGACATTTGGGACCTACACCTGGCAAGCTTCTTCTGGGTGACATTCGAGGCGACCACCACCGGCTATAACGTCATCAATCCTAGCAACTTCGACATCATGAAGATTATGTTTACCGGCATGCTCGTTGGTAAACTTTATTATTAATATAAATATGAGTATAAATTTTGTTTTTACTTAATTAACAAGCGTAAGTTTTGTGTCAATGGATATTACTTTTCTCAAACTCGCTGTTAAAAATCTTAATCGTAAAACTGGTGCAGGAGCAATGCTGACGACATACTTCTGCGTGCGCATCATCAGCATCCGGTCCAACGTGAACAAACCGCTGGCCGCCTTCCAGCAGCACATGAAGGATATGTCAGCCTTCATGCATAGAGAGAACCTCAGTCCTGACTTGCAAAAGTAAAGGAAACATACACTGCAATGACACTTGGATGAATTATATTGTCATCCCTTTTATTATCTTTGAAAAGATAGAGACAATACGTACTACATATAATTATTGTCGTTATATACCTCGTACTCTGTATAATTATTGTCATTTTGTGTTGTGATTGTTTTTTTGAGTAGAATTTTAATATATTTTTATGGATCAATGAAATATGTTTCAGAGACGTGCGTGCTTACTACGCATATAACTGGGATAAAATGGGCGGCTTGGACTACAGGACTGTACTGAAGCTTTGCGATCAAATTACTCTCAGAACTGACGCTATATTGGATATCTACGGTTCCACATTTGCTATGGTGAGTTTCGTTTTAAAATAAAATCAAGTGGCGCTGAGTACGGAGGCTCTTGAAGATTTTTCTTCATTATTGTCGATAGTAGATTGTCTTTTGCAGTGTATTCAATTGTATATTGCAGTGTCCAATACTTGGTCAGTGCGATAAATCTCTACTCCGTATCATCGGACGCGCAGTACACAGCGTGCACTTCCTTAAGCATACGGTCATTGTGGAGAAAGATGACGTAATCAAGGACATATGCTTTGTGGACTCGGGCAGCGTTGAGCTGATTGGAGGTGCACCTGATGCACCGTCCTCTGTTATGCTAACAAAGGGCAGGTACTTAATATAACAAAATTTAAATACCCTAAAATAACACGGTTATTTCCATAAACGTTGACAAATTATGCAGAAATCCTAAGATTTATTGTACTAAATAGATCAAACAGGTACCAAAGAGAAATCACAAAAAGAAATAATTTATTATAGACCAATCACGAAATTCTTTTAATCTAGGAATGTTACTCAATTATTATCTGATAATCAACCGTATTTATAGTATATTCGGGGACCTGGACGGCGAGCTGTCACATCGCTCCGCGGTGTCATTGGTGTCGCTGAGCAAAGTGCATCTCCTGCAGATCAATGCCAACACATTTTACAATATCGTCAGTGATTTTCCTGATGTCATGCAACTTATGATGTCATATCGACCCCACAATGAGGTTTGCGTTACTTCCAGTAGGTCTTGTATTTTTTTCTTCGCTTTTGCTAATTTTATCATGATCAGATTACATCGTGTTTGGCAGTTTACGAGTACACAATTACTATGAACTATTCTTCTTATAGATTGATTTAATTCCAGCGGTATTACAGGTGTAATACGTAGTCCTTTGTATTGAGAGAGGCGATCGGTGTTTCTTGCTTTATTCTAATAAATGTTTAAATTTTCAGAAATACATCAAAGGAAGTATGGACAAGGATTCTGTAAAAATTACAAAAGACAAAAAACTTAGTCTCTCCAACTTGCATCAACGAATTGGCAAAGGTTTCCTTAAACACATCCGTGTGAAGAACGTTTACATACAATCTTACCTCATCATCGTGTCTCTGCTCAGTGTAGTAGGAGACACGTATAATGCGGGATTTCAAGATAACAACATGTTGTTCGTTTTAGTGTTGTACGCACTAGATATGGCCTTCTGTTTGAAGTTTCTAATTCTGTACATATTGCCTTTTATTACGAGAGATGATGATGTGGTTCACAGCGTTTTAAGACCTAAAGTGCATAGGTAAATTTTTAACTATAGAATGTAATGTATTCCTAACCTTATTCTTACTAGGAATTAAATTATAGGAATGGTGCCTGATGACAAAGTTTGATTTTAAGGTATTCAAAACTGGAGACAAAGTTCGACATAGTATCTTGCCTGCCGACAGAGCTGCTCTGCTTCTTGAGCCACGAAAATCGAGGATTATTGTTCTCTTTTCTACGCCTCAACAGGATCTTTAGAGTTGTAAATTGAAGTTTTTAATGTTGTATTTTAGCATTAATTAAATGAGACTGTACTTAGCTACACCCATAGTAAATACTCAATGACTTTTTTTAGACGTAGAATATTTTAGAGGATATAAAAAATCGTAAAAATAAAATACTGCGATTTCTAATCTGTAGTTTTTCAAAGTTAACAAACTTACAGGTGACCCTCTACAAGGGCATTTACCGACACCACGAACGTCTGGGGGTAAACATGACGCTGATGACGGTATACACGGTGTCCGTTTGGTTCTCTCTCTTCGTCCACATTACCTCCTGCTGCTGGTACTTCATCGGATATCTGGAGGACAGAGCAAAGCCCAAGTCCTCATGGATTTATAAAAGTAACTACTTTGAATTAATTATTTCATACTATATAGTACTTTGAAAAGTTTTATCAAAATGCAAGTTTTATGGAAGACAGTTTATTAAATTTATGCAAACAGACACACTGTTGAAAATCATGGCTATAACGAAAAACTTACTACTAAACTATAAGACTTTGAACTTCTCGTAAATCTGTGAAATGCTTTGACTGGGTAAAATATGTGTGACAGCTTGCGCACAATACATCCTGCTTTCCATACTGTGGCGCCATTTTGTCGTGGCAATGACGTAAATACCCGAATTTAACTTTCTGCTATGACAGTTGCCGAATCGCAGAATTTAAATTGACCAATATTTAGCCTGGAATATTTATGAGTTTGTTTTTTTTTTTTTATTATATTTTAAAGTTAGCAAAAACTAGTGCCTATCGTTATCTAAAAGAAATCTAACACCGGCTTATAGTAAATTATAGACACCTTTTGTTAATCAATTCCGAGCAAATGTGTAATTGTTTTTTATTTATTCCCCGATTAGGTAAAGTTTGGAGAGTAATGTTTTACGCAGACCTGTAACCTAAACGGTTTGACTGATTTTATCATTCGATTTGTATTCTTTCCCTGGATTAGTATAGAGTTGGTATAAGAAATGTTAATAACAGTGTACATCAACGCTTAGATGACGGCAGTTCGTGGTGCGGTAATCATTACCTGTGCTCGATGTACTTTGTGCTGATGACATTTGCACAGAATGGAGTCGGTGATATATTACCGAAGAACAGAAGCGAGGTAACATGTCAACTGTATACCAACATACTAACAAAAACCGATGTAATGTAGCAAAAGAGCAAGGGCTAAAATCGCTGAAATAGCGAAGTGACCGTTCCCCTAATAAATCCCCTTACCCGTCCCAACATTTAATGAAGAATGACAGAGATGATAAATTGTATGCTATTATTTCATCAAATATCAATGTTAAAAAAAAAACTATGAACTGTGAATCAATGATTTTAATAGACTTGTTTGTTTATTAGCATTCTGTACACAATATTCAATGTGCAAAGCTCCGTCGACATGGAACTGGCAGCTTGACAAAAGCCAATGCATCAGTGACGCGCGACCGGTCTGTTTATACGCTTCATTCCACTCGTTCTTTCTCCATTAAACATAATCTGTAATAAAAAAAAAGTTCAGTGGAATTTATTATTGTTATTGATAAACAAGCGCTATGTCAAAAATTTCTCCCGCCACTTACAACAAAAGTCAATCTATGATTGCCAAAAGGAAAATCATGACTGGTCCTGATTAGCGCCCATTCACATCCCAAGTTTTACGCAACACACACCTTTTTTAAATACTTGCCTAGATTATCGTAGTTAAATGATTAATTACATTAGTCTTGTTTAATTAGTTAATAATTTTGTCTGTTTAAATTAAAATATTTTAATACAATCAAGATGTATTACGGGTAATAAACATTCTTATAGAATGAATACATTGATGCCTCATAGTTGAAAGAAATAACAATTGCTTCCTATATAAAAAATGAATCGCTTAAACATGACGATTGATTTATTAATCTATTATTAAGAACAACAAATATGATGAGCAACTGTTCCAAAAAATTGATACATGTTTGCAGGTGGTGTTTGTGATAATTCTTCAAATAGTGTCCGCTATGGTGTTCCTGATTTATGTCGGCGAGTTTTCGAACATATTTCAACATCAATCTTTTCGTTCTTTTGAATTTTTCTGCAAATATTTAGAGCTACAGGTAAAAGCACTCAGCTAACGTAACATGTAATGTAATAAAATTGCGGGGAATCAGCAAATGGAAACATCGATTTATTTACTGAACGAAATCTGTTCCGTACCAAAGAATCTTTCGTTTTGTGCGAAATGTGACTTATCTTTAACGAATAATTAAATCGCAACAAAACAGGAGTATCTGAAGAACAACCGCGTGTCAAAGAACTTGGTGAAGTTGGTGAATAAGTACTCGCTTCACGTGTGGCGTCAGTCGCGTGGTGTGCAGGTGCCGCACTTTCTGAGGACTGCGCCTCAGTGTTTGCGACTGCGGCTCATGTCTGCTGCCTTCATTCACCACTTGAACAATGTAAGATATCCACTAGGAACTCTTCTGTTATTTGCTTCTTATAAATGCGAATGTTTGAAGGGATATATGGATGGATGTTTGTTATAAGGTACCACCAGAAGGGCTATTTGGATCTAGCTCAAAATTGGCATGGATGTAGAACATAGTCTGGAAGAACATATAGGCTACTAATTAGAATTTTATTTTATACCGCACGAATGAATTCGCGGGTGACAGCTAATAGTTTATAAATTTTACCAGAATTTTATTAATTTATCAAAATTACACTTCAGAGCACTGTGTTTAAGAACTGTGAGCCAGCATTCCTCAGACAACTTGTTGGGTGTCTACATCTTTACACTTACAACGAAGGTAATAATAATAAAAGTGCTAGTAGAATATGAAAATATGCGTGGGTAAGACCCGCCGAGTGGTAAACACGCTTTTACTATTTCTTCAAGGAATGTTCGTGGTGAGACAACATGAGATAACAGACTCAATGTATTTTATTCATACGGGCCGAGTATCGGAGAGCAGGGAGGAGGATAGTACAACTAAAGTTTACCATCTTGGAAACTGTTTTGGTGTGGTATGAATTGCTATATTATCATTTACATTATTTGCTACAAAAATTGTATTATATTTACGTGTTATTTGAATGATATTTTGTTAAAGATGCAAGGCTTAACACATGATCTCCAGTACAGCCACTCGTATCGTACAATTACCAAATGTCAAATTCTCACATTGAACTTGAAGGATTGGGAAGGTCTACTTAAACATTTTCCTAAAAGCAACGACTCGATGGTTTTACCGTCAAGTTTTGTTGGTGGTCCTCCCGGTAAAAAAGACAGAAAAATGTCAAAGGACAAGAGAGAACGCAAAGTTCAAATCGTCAACACAAACGATCACCCGCCATCAGACAAAAGGGTAACCTCTATAGAACCAATGACTTTGTCTCCGACCGAAAACAAGTTAACAGAGCCAGAACCGTCCGCTTCACCTCTTGGCGCGTCGCCTTCGATAATACCACAAAAAGATGATGAATATATTGAATCGACAATGGCGACCGATTCCAAAAAATCTGATACCAAAATTACCAAAACAGAACAAGATGTTCGACCACTGAAAGTGTCCAGTCAAATTCAGATGAGAAGTGCATCTGAGGAGAGACGTGAATCGCCCGTGATACAGGATGAGCTCAGAGAAATAACGATCGGCAGGAATTTGCGGCCAACCGAATCCACAACAACATTACAAAGTAAAGCCTCAGATATTTTTGATATTGGTGGTGAATTTAGCAGCGAGTCTATACAAGATATTGATAGCTTACTTCGTGTGGAAGACCAACGGATAACCGCTGACTTGATAGCTAAGCTTAAAAAAACTAGTAAACCGTCAATCTCAGAAGTAACAAAGGGTGATGAGACAGCAATGTCTGCCGAGTCTGGTTTAATTATTTCCAAGTTAGATATGAAAAATGTTGATGATTATATACTTGAACGTCAGGAAGAGGAGGGGGAGCCATTGCAGGGTTCACAACAGGAGGAGATAGTACCGGTTGCACCACACGATAGATTGCAATCGACCGAAATACAATCTACTTCACGAGCAAACCGACACTTTTTTCACGTCCATTATAAAGATGATGACGAAGAAAAAGATAATAAATCTGATGAAAAGCACAATAAACAGGATTCCTTAGGCGAGGCTTCAAGAAAAGATGTACTAAAAGGTATCAAAATCAAAGATGATTTGGATACCCCAAACGAAGATGCAGAATCTGAGAATGTTTCTAGTAAAACCAAGATAGAAGAAAACATAGAAGGAAAAGAAAACAAAGAAAAAGAAAATATGGACGATAAGGAAAAGAAAGAATTAGAGGAAGAGGAAGAAGAAAATGATGAAAAAGAAAAGGAAGAAAAAGAAAATAAAAAGAATAAAGACTTTATAGATTCTATAGACTAGTATCTATATAGATAATATTGTGTTTTCCACTTGAATGTTTTTGTTGTATGTAATAAATACGATTTGTTAAAAGTTTAAATTATTTTTCAATTTTTACTTGGAAAAAAAAATTAAAACGCAACTTGGGAACAAAAAGTAACTTTCATTCTAATGTGCGTAGAAAAAAATCAGACAAAAAATGCTGTCAGGTTAATATCAATAAGCTACATATATTCAGTAAATATTTTCAGGAACAGTGTGATTTTATTATATTAACAAAACTTTATACTTGCGTTAAGATCTTAGAGTTAATCAAGTATGATAAAAACATTAATCATTGTTCATTAAGGCCTGAGAATATATTGGGGCGATATTTATCAATAACGAGCATCGATTTGGAGGCCCGCCAACTTTGAACTATTTCGGCGTATCGTAAGCGGCGAATGGCTTACGCTGACCCAAGCACGAAGTCCGCGGATCGTGGTTATTTTAGACGGTCGATCCGCACGATAACAATGTACTGATGCATCAAATCTCATTGCATGCCAATTGATTTTGACAACGTTATTAACCATGCCTGTTATTTGTCTGATAGTTATGAAAGTATTTTAGCTTGTTTCTTTTAGAGCGCTTTTAATTAATACCTAACTTTTCCCCTTAATTGCTAATTTGGTGACCTTCTTCAAGGTGTAGACGCTGTGGGGTCGTTGCGGTGTAGTGGTGCCAGGATCCTTATATGTTTATCAAAGTGTTAATTCAAAATGTAGGGTTGAAAATAAAAGGCAAGATACTAAAAAAAAGTTTATTACAAAACTCTTACACCATAACGATAATAATCTAAAGACAGGTTGATACGCATCGAGCAACGATTACAAACTAAAAACAGGTAATAAAAACGTGTCGTTCAAGTTAATTGGAAGCTTTAAGAAGATGTCTTTCTCGTTGTGTGATTTGCTGGCAGCCAAGGCCTCGTTGATTAGGAGTTTGGGTTAAATTGGAATGCCCAGCACCTTCCGTGTCCGTGGTCTTATGTGCGGTCTGCTCGTTATGGTCTTCTGGCAGTTTTGAGTTACGTTTCCTTCGATGTTCTTCCGGTTTAACGGATATTTAAATGCTTGGGTATGTGACATTACTTAACATAATAACTTAGATACTAAAATTACGGCTCTCTTATGTTACATTCATTTTAATTTTTTTTACTATTCACCTGCTTCATTGGTCTCTTGAGTTATACCCGCCACACCTGTAACAAAGAGATAATTGTTGTTAAATCTCATGTATGTATAAGTAATGGACGCATGGTCAAAGATTAATACGGTCAAGGCTCCGGGTCATTAGTAAACGAATTATTTAGTAAATTGCTAATGAAAGTTTGTATAAACAAATTTAACGATACATAATACAATGTTATAAAAAAAACGACAAAACATTGCGTGTACTTATATAAAAATTTATCACTTAAAAAATACGATTATAAAATGGTGTAATTTATGTTAAAAATGGACCAACTATTTGCGTGTAACAACGATCAGTCGAATGTTGCCGTTTTCGGTACCGGGGATATTTAGAAACGGACGCAACCTGGCCTGGAATTATATTTCTGTAATTGATGGACCGTTTTTATTAGCCGGGTAATGACTGGTCTGATTCCGCGCTTTTTTTCAACTGTTTTATTAAACTGATGATGGCTGGATTGTCGTAATTTGTTTCATCCTTATTGGCAAAGGTATTCGAATTATAATGTAGTAAAGTAGTTTAATGTAGTTTTCAATGTAATCCTTTAGATATTTAAAGAATTACATTAAGAAGTGTAAGGGACATTTATTAGTTAATACTGTACACAATATAATGTTTATAAGAATAAGACATTACTATTATTAAAAAGAAATCCTAATCCTAAGAAAGAAAACTATTTCTAAGTGTATTAATGTTGACGTCATCGCCAATACCCATTGGGGAACCCTTTTCATAAGATATGCGGTGTCGTGTTGTGAGCCGTGTGCGGTGTGATGGCCGCGCTACGCATTTAGATGGCAATGGCGTCCTTGCCAAGTCACTCACGCAGTTGCTGGAATTCTGTTACACATTTAAATAAACCAATCTGGAATTTGAAATATTTATATAAAGAGTAGCAGTATGTAGGACGATTGTTAAATTTGTAAAGTATCAATATTTTACAAGCATTTGAAATAATAATTTTCGAAAACTTTGAAAGACTAAACAGTGTCGGATCCATTTTAGCTTATTAATTACTTTATGTTTAGTAATATTTTAGAGAAATTTAAATCTAATTACAAAATTTATTTTGAAACATATTAGTCCCGAGCCCAGGGTACCATAATATACTAGGGGTACACCGGGGGGGTCGATAAAGTGCCGATTTTTTTTCTCCGTTAATCAACCATTCTTTAACCAATGTTTAAATGTTATATGAATGAATAGATTTAAAAATGTTTTAATAATTATTGCTCTTCAGCTATTGTCATTCATAAACAATATTTAATTTTCAATTTATCTTTCAATGTCAAATATTTGACAGTGAAACGTCAACGGATACGTCGACGCCCATCTTTAAAAATGTGATTAATAGTCACAGCTTCTTTTGTGTTCAGTTCGGAATTATATTGGGATAATTGATGTGATTCTGCATACCGGAGCCGCTTTGAGAATGCTCAGATCGCTTTTAAACAGTCTTTCCGGACGTTTCGGACATTTTATAGTGCGCTATAATTTTGCGCCACGACATATCGCGATGTGGTTATTTATAAGTGTTTTAATTGGTTTCTATAAATGTCATAACTTAGATTAAATAATTTCAGAAAATAAAACAACGGTAACGCTCTCTATATTAACCAAATACTTCGTAGTTTTTTTGCAAGAAAACAGAAACGTTTAATTTGCAACAATAAAAATATTTGATACATAATAAATATTGAATTTTGATTATAACCCAAAAGAGATTATTTATTACTAGAGTTAAAGAAGAATAAATAATGTTTAACAAATTCTTCTTCTTCTAGCTCTACAGCCCTTTGTGGGCCTAACAAACAAAAAAAATTAACAAATTCTTAATCGATTAAAATTAAACGATTATGATATTTACTCATGATTTAACTATTACAGCATCCTGTAATCCCAAGTAATTACAGAACATCTCAGAACATGCAAAATGTCGGATTTTAACGAAGCGGGAGAATTAATGAGCGCGCAAAAGCAGCTGTAACTGGAACTTCTATAACAACCGCAATAAAACCACGATTGCCTCATTTATCGCAAATACATGACGTCAACAAAACTCATGTACATTTTAATCCGAATTTAACGTAATAAAAATAAAATAAACATTAATGGAATGTAAAGAAAATCAATTCATAGGAGTTCGTATAGAAATTGCTATTGAACAATAATTGCTAAAATTGTTTGCATTTAATAACGGTTAATGAGAAACTCAAATCTTTAATTGTAAATGAACATAATATTCGTCTTCAAGATTGTAGTTTTATCTTTTTCAAACGGTTTTTAATCAATATGCCGAGATCGTCATTTGTCAGGCGAAATTTCTTTGTCTAGTTTAATGGTATTAAACCACGTTCCTAACCTCTAAATCACGCAAAATTACCGGTATATTGAAGGATTGGAGAATGTCCTTTCAATGAAAACAAACATTTACGGCAAAAAACTGAACGTTTTTCTCTATAATACACGTCATTAGCACTGGAAACCAAAATAAATCTAGTAAGAAAATATAAAAATGCTCCGTAATTACATCACAACACTTTTACATAAATAAAATTAAAAACTTTGGCGGAACTCGGATGCATATTTTCAGTGAGCAAACGAAACGATAAAATAGAATAAAAAATCCCATTAAACTGTTGCCAAATTACAATATTTCATTGCACTTATTTACGTATCTACGAATTCAAAAATGTACCACATTTATTTCTATTTATTATAAAAAGTACAAATAGAAGACATGTTTTTGTTAGAATATATCATCTCTCTGCCAAACTAAATCAGGATAAATGTTAAAATTGACAAACAAAGCTTAGAGCAGTAGTTAATTAGATGTGAGAGGAGTTTTTAATATTAATTAACCGTTTTACGCAGAAAAAAAAAATGTGATTCCAAATACCTTTAGTACACACAATTTATTGAGTAGGTGGGCATGTGGGCATTAAGAACAGACATGTTTACTACACACGATTGCGTTTCATACGTCGCAGAACGTTTTAAAAAACACTTGGCACAGATACAAAATAATTTTTTATTATAAAAAACGACTAAACTATATCACCTATATCACATATAACATATGAAATTCTTGAGATAATTTTAGAACAGAGGATGTAATCGGGAGTTTCGAAGGCGCCATCAACAAATATAGAATTAGAAACTGAAATTATATCAATGAATTTTGGCTTGAGGTATTATTTATTTTTGGCGACATCATATATAAATGAATGCAAGTCTAATTATAAAATGATCACTCTCGATTATTCGGTCCATTGCTCTGCTATTTGTGAACTAGCAACGCATTCATTCATTTATTTTTATCAATAGAGCCAATAGCAACGTATTACACACTGCAAGATTAAAATATATTGAAATGTTGTTTAATTGACGTTGAAGTTAGTTAAAAGCAAACTTAAGTACCATAACTATTTCATTGTTTACTTTTGTTCATATTTCCAAAAATAATAAAGTGCACATTGATTTACATGTTGGAGAAAAATGACTTGTATAATTTAGCTATTAATTTTGCTCTAGATTTCATTTTCGTTAATGAAAACAAAGGCAATCACGATCGCGATTAGTTTTAAGAAAGATATAAATTTCGAATCATTAACAATTTAGTATGTTTTCACGGGGAATATGTTTGGGTAGAAGTATTACAAGACCTCAGAACATCCCGGAGTAGAGCAGCCAGAGACTGGCCAGCAGCAGCACCAGGATGAGGTAGGTAGCGATGAGGCTTGTCGTCTCGTGGTTGGGCATGTTGCAGACGGCACCGGCTGTGCACTTGACAAGTCGCTCCAGAAAACTGACTCGCCCCACGAAACTGTCTCCGGCCGACGATCGCCTACGCGAGGCCACGCCTCTTTCACACCAAATATTATCCACATTTATAAATATGAGTGTACAATAATAGAATCGTCGCTTTGACGGCTGCCTTCTGGAAGCGGCCGGTGATGTGGTGACGGACATAACTACATTCAACTATTATTTAGATATGACAAACTAAAACGAAATGTAATTCCTACAACAGCTTCACAACCTAAACTCCTGTTACCTAGGCTACACCGAAATTCAATAAAACAAACATCATACGAAGACGTAGATTGATAAGATTCAGTAACAAATTGGTAAAGTCCTATACACTTACATATCGTAGAGTGTCGGGGTTTAAAAAATGGTGGAATAGATGAGCCAGAGTAGGAAGAGCAGGATGACCAGGATCATGTAGGTAGCGGCCAGGTTGACGGTCTCCGCGTTGATGGGCATGGTGGCTGTAAAATGCGGCGGCGTGCGGCAAGCGAGCAGCCGGCAGGCGCAACTGACTGCTGGAGGATCCTCGCGCTCCGGGCCCGGAATTACACGTCACAGCACTGGGCCATACTCGGGCGGAAAAGGATTCTCCACAAATTTCAATATGTACGATATTTAAAAAAAAAGTTTAATCGTATTTACTTATTGGTATTTGGAAGTAACTCAGAAAAATAACAAAAAGCACAGAATTTAAATCAAGAGAAACCTTAAGGTTTACGAATAAAAAGTCGACCAAAAAAGAAAACTAAATCCAACTTTTAACTTTCAAAGGCAAATTAGATCAGATTAATTTTATCAATTTCGCTATTTCGGGGAATTTTACTTACTGATTTAAAAGACAGAATATAACATCCATAGGGCCACGAGAAGCAGCAGGAGAATGCAGTAGGTTGCCGCCAGGCTCTTCCCTTCGGACGGATGGTTGACCATTGTGGCTAGCTTCCTCGCTCACTGTGCAGATGCAACTGAGCACCGCCTGATGTGCAACACTAATATGTACAGAACAAACAACACGACAACATTCTATTTTTCGTTCTGGCAACGCATTCGAGATTTATTGCCTGCCAGTACAAAATCTTTAGAGTTGTGGACCGTTGTCAGATTTGTTTACATCTTTTTACAGATTACGATGTCATTGCCAAAATGTTCGCGTTCGTTGCTCTTCTACTATGTATTAACTGTTTCGTTAATTATTTACTGTTTATTTTTCTATGATTTTAGAAAAGAATACAAAAAAAAAAAAAAATTATTGGCCCGAGTTCGGCCCTGTCGATTCATTTCTGGAGAATGATAAGCCGATCTATATTTGCTTCGCTGGAATAAATCGGCCGTGAAGATTTCGGACTATATGCATTGTAGTCTCGCTGGGTTCTGCACGTTAACGCACTGTTTCTATCTAAACATATATTCAAATTAAATTATATAAATTAAATTTGGCTTCAGATTTTTGACCTTCTTGACAAAAAACTGCTACTGGCGTATCATAATGTTTTCTGTGTATTAATTACTTTATAATAAACAAATAATATATGCCAAAAGTAACTTATTTAAAATATGTAGCTAAATTGATTCGTTCTCAATACAATTAAAAAATAATTAAAAAGTTAAATTATTAATGCCATTTCAACCCATTTCGATCTTTTAGTTTGAAATTACGTTGATTTGTGCTTTATACCGGACCTTGGGTACCTACGGTATCTGAGGTGGGAAAAAGTGTATTGGCGACATAAAAGAGCGCATATGTCAATCTTAATTTTAACTGGTCTTCAATATGAGATTTAGAATCCTTGAGGCTCGTAGTGATCCGTTGGCAAGTCTTGTCACATTAGATTTAATTCACCTTGAAGAACTATGATACCATTTATATGTTTTATGATGTTAAGCAAATCAAGAATCGAATCTAAAAATCGTGATGAAGATAGACAACGTTATTTGTAAATTTATCGACACATAAATAAATAATGATTGGATAATAGCGTCATCAGTAATTCTTGGCACCCAAGCTTCATTAATTAGTAAGATAATTATGACTTTCGATTTCTTTCGCTGCGTGCCAGCTTATTATAACGAGCATCCGGAGTCGCGCGCCGCTTTGCCAAAACCGAGCGCAGACGCACAAACACATCGAAAATAAATAAACACAGATAGCAGATCAATAAGTTAAATATATTACTACATCCTAAAGAATTTTCACTTTAAAATAAATAAACATAACTTTTCTTTCGCGCGTAATCTCGTTGACAGGTGTCATTTGTTTTTTTGGCAAGATGGCGGCCATTCCACTTGGGAGAGGTTAAGATTTCATCACATAAATTTATCATTAATATTTTATGAATTTATTTGCGGTGGTACATATTACAACTATGCTATTGGATAAAATATAATTTATGTAATGTAATACTACAACGGAAACATAACACAAAGTGTTATATTGACAGGATGTCCTGTTTCAAGAAAACCTATATTGAAGTAGTTATACGACTCTCATAAATAATGTTAACTAATTCTATGAAATCCTCAATTTTATGAAATTACCTTAAATTATTACAAAGAATTCGTTAATCTAAGTTTTATTGTTACATTAAGATATCTTTAATAGCATATATGTATTGAGGGCCAGTATCAAATATTTAATCGAGAAAATGTTCCATCCATTCTTTTTTATCGTTTCAATTTTATTACAATGCATGATCTTTAATATCTCGCTCGCATCTCAGAAGTAGCATTTAATTTATAAACTTGAAATATTTCCTACATTAAACGGCAGCCTCGCAACAATCACAAACATATTCTTGTGTTTTTCTATTTTTATTACGATTTCGGCATCTGGAAAAAGTTAAGATGTACCTACGTACTAATTGTATGAGGCTAAAGAACTCCACATTCCGATTTTTATTTAAATGCTTCATTTGTATCAATCAAATAATGCGTTAGTTACTAAGGATATAGTTTTGAAACCTTTGCTTATGTTGACTTTGTTTTTGTATCTGTGTAATCGTGAGTTTCTGAGACCAAAATTCCAATTTAAAACGTATTATTGTTTCCGTTTTGTCAAAACTAACGATAAGGATCACGATATATTTTATACAGAGATTTTGTGTCAAAAACGCACGGCATCTGAACTATGTGAAAGACACAGCTGGTGGTAAGTACCAAGAGCGTTGGACAGCGCCGCAATCTCTATAAATGGTTAGGTCATTGCTAGGAAATGACATCTTTTGCTTCGTTCCGATTTAATCGCGTCTCTTGATGTTACGTGACAGTTAATTCTCTCAATATTATTAGTTCAAATCCACACCACCTGTACAAACTGCTACCAGCAGCGCCAAAATGGCGAAAATCATATAGGCACAAAATACTATGTCTTATAGCCAGTCCACTTACACAGGTCAGTGACCGCAATGGTGGAAGCGACGTAAATAATTTTATAGCAGTCGCAGTCATAAAATACAGATCAAACATAGTTTTTACAGCCCTCTTGAAATCGTAACATCAAGTGATTTAGCGAAGGCGTGCAAGTGCAGAGTGATAAATATTAAGTTTTCAATTTCAAAGTTTTTACAAATATAACAGCATTATGCAACAAAAAATTAAAGCTTATACACACATCAGATACATTTTTTGACTCATAATATTGGAGCTATCCGAAACTTCGCCTTAGTAATCACCAAAACTTGCTTTACGAGTAATCCTAATCCCTAATAGCGACTTTCCACCAGGTTCGTTACTGAAATCGTAGGAGTAACTTCATAGACATACTAAAATAGCGAAAGTATTCATTATAGAACTATATATTTTGTCACTGTAAATAGACACAAAAATAAGTCTATAAATAAGTTCGCGGAGCAAAGACCGAAGTCCGTTCATAAGCGAGTTTGATTTATTTTAAATTCAACTCTTTATACATATATTCCTGGAAAATCTCCAAAATTTCTCACCGTCACGAAGTACTTTTTTTGTGCGATGAGTAAATAATGAAAACTTGCGGATGGAAAACTATCATCAGAATTTAGTTTATTATAGTTTTCTGTGAATATTATTACCTCAGACTAAGGTCATTGTCGTCTTTAAATTTCATCTCTTTTAATAAGGGTTTTAAATTATTAACATTTACTGTCTTAATTGAGATTTATTTAAACAACATTCTAAGCATTTTTTTAAATACCATAAAGGCACATCTCTATTTTGTAGTGATAAAAAACCGTTGTTCTTCTTTAGCATATATTTGAAAAGCGATGCACTGAGCATAATGTTAATGAGGGCAGTGTATTTCCAATCAGGCATTGCAAAACATCGTACATCATATGTCATACAAGGGTAAGAGGGTAAGATTGGTGTCCACGGAATATTTCTAGTGTTGAGAATAATTCCTTTGTGACTTTACACGTAACACCAACGTAACACATTCATCTAGGTTCTTTAACTCATCGTCGCTATACCCTCTATCAAACCGGTTCTTCAATTAATATTTTTAAAAATATTAATCCTATAATATTGCTTTAATTTTATAACAGCACACAAGCACTCAAATACAGTTTTTTTTTCAATATACGCAATAATTTTTTAAAAACAAAAACATCATTTTAAAATATATTTTAACCGGACAACACTTTTAGCCATTGCCAAAAATTGACATTTAGCAAAAACAAAAAACTTGACAGTTTTGTTGTGTCAAACGTGTGTCATCTATAAATAAAAATAGATAAGCTAATTATTTCTAAATCGTGACTAGATACTTAGGTTAAAAACCGTCTTAAGACGTGAGTATAATGTGAAAACACTTAACAAACAAACACTTATTTGATGGGCGATCGCCAGAGGACGATTCAAGCTGAGGAGATGGCTACGACGAGCACTGCGGTAACAACGGTCTCCTCGCAAATACAAGAGGTAATATAATAGTGTAGATGTAAACACGACCTTATCTTCTATGTTTGATGTGTTATTACCACGATACGGCAAACTAACTTCAGGTTTAGATAACCGGTAGGCGCTCGAAGCGTCCATAGGTTGTTTTGTTCTGTACATCGTAATCATAATGGGACCTACAAAAAAATTTGGCGCGTACATTTTAAAACCTAGTTTTCGTATTATTGAATTATTAGCACCTTTTCAAAGACGAAGTTATTCATCTAAACCGGCGGGCTTACTCAGCGATGTTAATGTGTTAGACCTAACGCGGGTAATCGCCGGCCCTTTCTGTACTATGACTCTTGGCGACTTGGGCGCGAACGTAATAAAAGTAGAGAGCTTAGATGGTGATGAGGCAAGAAAATGGGGACCACCATTTCTAAAAGGCAACAAGGATTCCTTTTATTTTATGGCAGTTAATAGAAATAAGAAAAGCATATGTGTTAATTTCAAATCTGATGAGGGTAAGTAAAGTTTCCATTTATTTGTATTTAAAAGTAATTTTTTTTTCTTAGCAAAGTTGATGACGAGTCATAGTAATTGCATTATAATTTGTCTCCTATTTATGTGTAATTAATTATAGTTCATGCTGTTACCCCATTTTTGTAATAACTATACTTGTTTTAAGTACACAAATTATGTCATCAGCTCACTATATGTCTACATTGAGGACTTTGGAGCTTACCCTAAGATTAGCTTAATAAAATATAACTGGGTGAAATCTTTTGCAACTATCAGGCTTTCCCGACGATGTATATTAATAATTGTTTATTTTCAGGTAAAAATTTAATGTATGATTTAGCTAGGAAATGTGATGTGTTGGTGGAAAATTTTGTGCCAGGCAAGTTGGACCAACTTGGAGTGGGTTACGATGACCTGAGCAAAGTAAATCCTAAGCTTATATACTGCGCTATAACTGGTTTTGGTCCAACTGGACCCTATGCAAAGAAACCAGGGTAAGTTTTTGGTATAAAGTTTCAGTATTATCACCATATAGATTTTGTGGTACTTTAGTTGTTTGACCTGAATTGTTATATTTTTTTTTACAAAAAATATAATTTATATGCATTTCAGTTATGATGTAATAGCAGCCGCAATGGGTGGACTACTTAACACAACTGGAGAGCAGAATGGTAACCCAGTGAAGCCTGGTGTTGCCATCACAGATATAACTACAGGCTTACATGCATTCGGAGCTATAATGACAGCCTTGTATTATCGGAACAATACTGGCAGAGGACAAAAGATAGATTGTAATCTGCTATCCACTCAAATATCAAGTATGATTAATGTTGCGAATATATATTTGAACTGCGGTATTGAGCCAAAACGTTGGGGAACAGCTCACGCTAACATTGTACCGTATCAAGCATTTAAAACTAAAGATGGAGAAATTGTTATAGGTACAGGATCAAATGCACAGTTTACAGATCTTTGTAAACTAATTAATAAAGAAGATTTAATAAATGATAAAAGATTTTTAGACAATTCTGTGAGAGTACAAAATAGAGAGGAATTAATTAAAATTATCAGCAATGTTATTATAACAAAAACAAAGAAGGAATGGGCGGTGATATTTAAAAATGCTTCATTTCCCAACGGACCAGTGAATACAATGAAAGATGTGTTTGAAGATGAGCATGTGAAAGCAATAGAACTTGTTAAAGAACTGCCACATCCGGATGCGGGGTCTGTGAAAGTAGTTGGACCCCCCACTGTGTATAGTGCAGGGGGTAACTGCGCCCGTACTGCACCCCCTACTTTGGGACAGCACACAAGGGATGTGTTGGCAAACTTTCTTGGATACCATGAAACTAAAATAAATGCTCTCTTTGAAGGAAAGGTCATCAGATAAATTTCATCACAATGATGTTTATTTGAGATATATAAAGATAAAATAACATATCTTACTGTAGAGCAAAGTAAATACCTAATGGTATAAAGTAATGTTTTTTATCAAATCATGTTTGCCTTTATTTGTAATATTGAGATAAAATAAAGATATGATTGCATTAAATAAACACATCAATAAATACAGCATTTTTTTTTCTTGGTTTGTTGTGTTCGACATACTCAAAAATACTTTTGTATGTTATATTGTCATTATAGAATAAGTTGAAGCTATAAATATAGAGATAAGCATTAATAGGAGGTAAATGATGAGACAAACTATGTCTTACATAATATTTTATCTCAGATATCAGTGACATATACATCTTTAGATAAATGTCGCATCTACATTTAAAAAATTATTATTTTTTTATACAATGTTTTTTCTCAAATTTAAATGGAAAAAGACGAAGACTATTTTCTTCCATCTTTTCAGTCAATTATTTTCAATAAATTAATTTTCCAAACTTTTAATTCCAAATATGATTAAGGGTCTGCAGTTCCTCTTGTGTTACGGTTGTCCATCAATGATCACCTCGGTGTTTCCACTGTTTGCTTATAAAAGCAATAGAATTAACACAATATAAAGTTATTGATATCTCTAAACATATACTAAACAATTAGGCCAATGACGTAATATAATTGTATAACTGATGAGGTAATCAGATTGAAAACTCATAATTAATGTCTTAAAAATATAACAAAAAATGTACTTATATTTATAAAAAAGTACTAAATATGTGTAAACTAGAATAAAAGATGCCACCTGAAATGCAGGATAAAGCAGAAAATAATTACATATCTTCACTTATTACTGTTCTTCTATAGGATTAAATACTATTTTACATAAAGATTGCTGTCGCGTAGTGGAAAAAGAGTCTAAGTGTTGCAGTTAATGACTAGGAGTTGCCACAGCGATGTAGAGAGTAATTGTATGCATAGTTTTACATATTTATTTTATATAGGTATGCTTATACCCGTTTTCAGGCGAGCGTGGAGCCAGTGACTGTCATCACCCTGCGGCCGACACGCACCGCACCGCGCAAGAAGGTCGGCTGGACGGAGGACACAGTCGACAATGAACATATGAACAAGAAGAAGTCCAAATGTAAGCAACGCTGACACGAATTTATTAGAATTTCAGTATGTGCCTGTGCCACTTTCAATAGTGACGTACCAATTTCATTTCTATCCTTCCCTGGAGTGCCATTCAACAGTCAGTCAGTCTTCTATGTTTTTCAAAATCTAGCTCTTGTAAAAATTAGTATAAGTCACAGTAGCCGTACTAAAGTATTTATGTTTACACAGGTTGTTGCATTTACGAGAAGCCGCGCCGCTTCGACGAGTCGGAGTCTGAGAGCAGCGAGGACGAGTGCGAGCATTGCTTCGGCCACGTGGAGCGTCGCCACAAGCACCGCGCGCCCGGACACGCCCACGACGCCACGGTCGCCATGGCTACCACCACCACCACCACCACCACCACCGCAGAGGTACAGGTGAGCTTGTACTCGTTGTCTCGCTCCCACGATGTGGAGTTAATGTTGGTACAAGGTTTCCCATTGCAGATGCAGAAAAGTTATCGCACTGGTTTACTGGAATAATAATTTACGAACCGACTCTTATAATGGTTTTATTTGGGAAATATTAGTAGATTTTTATAAATTTACTATTTCTTGGATCATTTCAACTAAGCTCTATGCTTGTGCACGGATATGGTATACGACAATAGTCGAATGTCGGGATTCGAACTCCCGACCTCGTGGTCGGATATCCGTACACTTAACCATTAGGCTGTTGACTTTAAGTCATCGTACGTCGTCATCGTTGGCATCGTACATTTGAAATGTATTTAGTAATCTCACTTAAGAGCGAGATAGAAACAATCGCTACTTCTCTCTCACGATATGGAAGATATATATTTTTATTTGTGTTTTGTATCCAGAAGGAATCAGAGCCGAGTGTGGCGGTGACGCTGCACCAGTCAGAGGAGTCCCCCGCGCCCCCCTCACCTCCCGCACCCCCCACTCCGCCCGCCAGTTAGACTGACGAGGTCGACAACCACCCTACTCTACAAATTCCTTATTTTATTTCGTCGTAAGGGAAATATTTCTCATTTTAGACTCGTTTAGTTAGGTTATAAAATTTACTTTATAAGTTTCCTCAACAATTACATTATATAACATTGTTTTATAAAGTGAATACGTACAAGTTAATAAAAAAACATAATGTCCTTTTTCTCAATAGCCATTTACTATTACAGAGACGATTATTTAGCTGAAATACCACAGTATGATACAAACTAACAATAATTACTGAAATTATTTTATTTATTTTACTAATAGCTATTCGCTTATTATTATAAAAAGCTGTAATTGTTAATGCACTCCATCATATGAATATATTCAATTCTATAATATTCTTTATTATTAAAGTTGTTTCAAAATTTTATTATATTAATATTTAACAATTTCTAAGTTCCTTTTTACTTTGTGAAAAAATTGAAATAAAATATTTTACTATAATTACATAAAAGCCTTGTACTTTGTTAAAAAAATATATGAATATAAAAATTCACAGTATTATATATTTATTACTATATTTTGATCTTTTTCATAGATTTTTATGGATTGTAAGATAAATGGAGGATGTAGACAGGGATTATAAATGGTTTTGCCTTACAAATGACTTTGATGTCTTGTTGTATGTTTAAGAAACAAAGTAAATGTTGAAAAATAATTTTAATAAAGAAAATAAAATACAATTATAATATATGTGAAAGAAAATAAGTTTATTATAAAGTTGTCTGTGTGGGAATTCATCAAACTATTGTATTATTATACTAAAAAAACAATATTAAGATTCTTCGGAGAGATAAAAGGTTGAATATGATAAACTGGCTCATCATCCACCTGCCCTTATCCCTATCGAGGGTCGGCACAGTATGTACTCCTCCTCCATACATCTCTATCAGCCGTCATATCCCAGTCTACCCCCCTTAAATTGGATAATTTATTAAAGAAAAATAATATAAATTGTCCAAAATACTTTTTGCATCAAAACCAATGAGACGGTGTTTGATAAAATTGAATATTTTTAATCTCCCTAAATGATTGTTGTTGATAAATGTATGCGTACATATATAATTAATTTTACTTACATTAAAATGTAAATTATGAATATTTATGTTGTTTCATTTTTGTGGCTAAACAAACATATATACAAATAAACAGTACCTATTTAAGACCTACATGCACTATCTCGTGTAACATAGGTCCCTACCACAGAAAGCAAAGTCCTTAGAAATTATAAATGTTTTTGGATTAATAAATATTTATTTATTCAATTAGTGTGCCAATGTGTTTTTCTAGACTATGTTCATGCAGCTGTCCCGGAGATTCCTTCAGACATCCATCCAAATAATCACATTTATATTAGTAAGATTTATTTTTGTAATTATAAAACTATCGTGAAACTTACCAAGAGAAACATAATTAAAAAAAATCGTAATCTATTTTAATAATAATATGATAACATACACTACACAATACAAATAATTATATATAACATGAAAATTGTTAAATTATGAGATTAAATTAAATCCATTAAGTGAATGCCTGAGACTTCACAAATACAATAATCATATTAGATTTTTTACAACAAATAAATGCAAAACTTGTCTATCAGTCTTACAGGAAACATACATATTTTTAATCTAAATATCGTACTGCCAGCTAAGAAACATATAAAACCTATAAAGACATAGAAAATTACATAAAATAAAAAAAAATACAAGGCAATAGACCGACAAAAATATCTGACCCGGTCGGCATAAATCTAACTATGATAGCTCACTAGCGCCCCCCTGACAATTGTAAAGTAGCTGTCTTGTTATGGTTCTTTTGTCATTTTCTTTACCCATATAGGTTTGCTTTGCTTTATTTTCCAAAACTAACTGCGACAGCCTCTCATCGGGCCAAATAAGCGTGTTTGACTATATACTATAAGGATTTTGTCACACTTTTTGAAGTTGACAAGGGATCGTTAGTGAGCTATCATAGTTTACCTTTGCCCATCGAGTCAGATAAGAGTCGATCTATAATATTATTATAATAAAACTTATAAATAATTAGAAATACTTAGTATGCATTATAAAAAGAGATATTTAAAGAGATAAAGTATCTCTTCGTCTACTTTTACAAATATATAAATAAATCATTCAGTTTTAAATAACCATAAAACAACGTTCAGTCAGTTCATTAATAATAAGTACATACATTTAGAAACCAACGATGACGTGGATCATGACGTCACAGTTCAATCAATATGACAGGTGACACTTCAATTGACACATGTCGTTGTCTCTGATTTATCAAAGACAATGACAGGGAGGAGAAAACACAAAACTACAACAATAATTGTCAAATAATTAACGACTGACAATAATTTAACATAGTAACAGATTACGTAAATATATGTGTAAAATTCCTCGACATACAATCTTTATAAAGACATACACATTCAAACATACAACATACATATGAGTAGATATTTTGTCGCAGCAAATATCTCGCTTTTTGATCACCTTCGTAGTTTTCTGGAAAAAAAAAGTATAATTGTAGATTTACCTCCTACCTTCAAGATGTCACGTACTGGAAATAAAAAAATAAATAATATTAACATACCTATTGAGGGGTTTCTCTCTATACACGACTTGTTTCCTCGGTCTTCTGGAGCGTCCCTCCTGTCTCTCGACGCCGCCGTCACTCTCCGGCGTCACGCTGCGACTGTTGTCACGTCTAGTCTCGTCAGTGTCACGCCGAGAGGCGCTGGTGTCTCTGCGAGAGGTGGTGGTGTCTCGGCGGGAGGCGGCGGTGTCTCGAGGCTTGTTGGTGTCTCTGCGCGTGGCGTGCGTGTGCGTGTGTGTGTGTGTGGCGAGGTCGCTGTCAGTGTCGCGCGAGGTGTCGGAGAGTTGTCGCGCGCTGTTGTGTCTGCGGCGCGGCGGCTGCACCTCGCCAGACCCGCATGCCGTTGTGTTTGTCTCTCTGGTAATAATAATACATTTAGTATAAACTGTACTCAACCTTATTCTCATCGCAATAAGGTCCTTGTTGCTTGAATTCGTTGCGGGAATTTTCACGTAAATAATTTTTCTTCAAAAAGAGAAAACATGTTTAAAGTGAATGTTTCCGCAGTGCAAACGTTCTGAGTACTTACGACACGATGATGACGCGTGCGTCAGTGGCGCCGTTGGGGCTGGGCGCGTCAAACCGCGATAAATCCTTTGTCGAGTCGATGACGACCTTGGGGCGGACTTTCATCTGCAGGATGGGCGAGAGGACATCATCCTCGGGTTGGTCCTGCGCCGGCGCTGGCGCACTTTTACCCGGCTTCTGGTGAAGTGACTGCAGGATCGGAGACGGCCGGGGTGACGAGTGGAGCTTCATCTTCTTAGGTGGCGATGAGCTTGAGAATTCCTCGTCGTCGAATTTCATCTTCGCGACTACAACTTTGAGCACTCGCTTGTTGATACTGTGACAAGTAAATAAAATAATTTAATTAATATTTATATAATTTCCGTATGGTCAAATTGACCATGTAATTAAACAAAACAGTACATTTACAGAACTTTCTAGGACATTCTGAAATATTTAGTGGTGACGCACCTGTTCCTGCGCGAGGGAGGTTGGTGCGGAGAGGAGGTGCGCTTGCGGCGGCGCACGGTGGGGGTGAAGGCACCCCCCGCCGCGCCCCCCGCACCCGCCGCACCCCCCACGACCGGCGACACCTCATTCATCTGTTTATAATTGTTATTTATTTTACCAAATTGCACTAGAAAATAAACTTAATTATTTAAAAATAAAATATGTAACCTGTTGCTTGTGTACTGCTGACGTGGATGCGCTGTTCTCCACCTCTTGCTGTTCAGTGGTGGAGTCCGGCTCCAGGGTGACGCGGCTCTCAGCCCCATTTGTCTACGCACAGATTATTAAAATGAAGTCAGGATACAACCAGCAACAGCAAACACTACAGATTGATTGCTACATACCTGAGTATCCTGATGAACATCAAGCAACCAACTCGGACCCTCCAGTGGGTTGTCTGTACAACTTCTGCTAAAAAAACAATATTGGAATGTCATTGTTATTTACAAATTGAACGTTTTAAATATGATTTAGTTGCATTGAAATTTGAATACCTTGCAGTTGCGGGTGACTGTGTCCGGTCACCACTCACTTGTTCCTCCTCTTCAATTACCGTTTCCAGCAATTGCCTGACAAAAGATGAATATAACATTTTTATCCATGAGTTGTATAATTTACAGCATCACCAGGAAAATAGAAAACCTGTCAGGGGGCGCCACAATCTCCTTCATTATATCACTTTATATCAATATGCAAAGAAATTGGAACTAAATTTTTCCACAATACTCTGAGGTGTATTAACTAGTCAAGTTATATATTTCTAAGATCCCAAAATGAGCCCGGACTAGTTATAAGGTTTAATAAAATTTAAGGTCACATAATCTATGTTCAATGTAGGTCTATGCATTTCATACTAATATTTCTACATACAAATACTTACGGACTCATGAATGCAGCGTTATTGTCATTCTGTGATTCCTCTAATTCTTGCTCAGCACTGTCTGAAAATAAAATACAAATTTGTCAAACAGTATTACTATGTTTTATTATTATATGCTGAAAATCTCATTCCCCCTCACAGTCCCAAGATCTAACTTGGATACAAATAAAGGCAATGAGTTAACATTTCGTAGAGAAATTAAAAAAGATTGTTAGACAACTCGAGGCCTGACAATAAAAAAACTTAAGACAGTGTTTCAACTCTGTTACCGCACGCTAATATTAGACATTACCAAAAATCTTAATTATTGATATATGATTACACATAGGCTTCCGAATAAATATCAAAGCTCTTAAACTGGAAACAGTTTTAGTGATATTTTAAGCGTAAAACGCACTCTTTAAAAAAACAGTAGAAGTCGCACGCGACTCGATCTGCACTGTATTAAAAAAAAACTTAATTAGTAGCCTTTGTGTTCCTCCAGACTATGCTCTACATCAGTGGTTCCCAAACTTATTTTGTCTACTGCCTACTTTGAGAATAAATACTTTTTTAGCGCCCATATTTTCATATTTATAATATTAGTAAGATGGACATCTATCAATCAGTGACTGTAAAAAGGTTAAAACATGTGTTTTACTAAACAGTGGCTAACTGTATAAGAGCAATGCAGTCAGAGTTTAAAGACTCTCTTTCAAGGCATTACAAAGTTGTGGATTTTGGCTAACATTTAACTTTATAAGCAATGTACCATCCAATCCCAGATCTTCAGTACTGTTTTCAATATTGTTAGCCTCATCTTCCTCCTCCTCCTGATTGCCCATCAGTTCTGCTGCATCTATCCTTGTCAGAGGTATGTACACATCTGTAATCATTAAGTTACATGCAAGAAATATAATTCAAGCAATCAAACAAAATTTGATTAAATTCAATTGATTCATTTTAATTTATTCAAGTCAATAAACTTAATTAATACCTTGTAAGACATGCATGGGCACTGCTCGCTCTGTGACATTGCGGTTTTGCTGGTTAGGACTTCTATTTGTAGCTGAAATATAAGGCACTTAAATCATGATACAAAAATAATGGGTAAGTAATCATGAAATACACCAAAAATATAAAATTAGTATTATACAATTATATTTAATTTACATTAAACAAAATACCATCATACTTTGATACAAATATATGCTACTGTTTACATGAGTTACAATCTACTCTGGAGAGATAAAAATGCAAAGTTCACTGTGTCAATAAAACTGCATCCCTATGTAATAAACAAACAACTTTATCTTACATGAAGTGCTACTATTGAGCAAAGTGCGGCTAAGTGAAACCACAGGCTGGATGGACTGACCACCAATCAGCAGTGGGGGAACTCTGTTCACCCTCTCCCTCTCAGCAGCAACCGGAGTCCCGCTAAGCATGCTCCAGCGCGGAGATGACGCGTCCAGCTCTTGTCTATCGCGCATATATGTTTTAGCCAATTCCATAGTTCTAGCGACAGCATTGGACGCTTGCACCAAATGAGTGAGTGTCTCCTGAATCGCATCTTGGAGTGCCGCGTCCAGTTGCCTTATTTGAGCTGCACCACCACTACGAATTCTCTGTAAACATTTCACTGAGGTCACACAGTTTTCCTAATGTTCGAGAGCGATAAATAGGCAATTCATACAAACTCAGTATCTTTCTAATAAACACTAACAAACTTACGTTTAATTTTAATTTTAATTCGTTTCGTTCTCGTATGAGATTCAATTTTTCTCTATCTCTTTGCGCTGCCGCAATTTTCGACTCCTCTAAAGCCTTCGCTAGTTCTACATTTCTCTTTTTAAGTTCTTCTACGTCTTCATTTTTGTCAGACATAGTATTATGGATATTTAAGTAATTTTTTAAGAATAAATGGTACTCTAACATATTATTCTAACAAGCAACTTCGGTCGATTTCCGATTTTAAATTGAAGTTTGACAGTTGACATCAAGTTGACACCTTGTTATTGACATTTTACTACTTCGGTTTTATTCACAGAATAGATCAGAATATTACAAAAGTAAAAAGATCGAAGTTTCCTTAACAGCTTGTGCACTGAATATTAATATCTTTGTATCAGTAACCCGTTTTTTAAACATTTTAGTTGAAAGAGTTATTTTCATAAAATGAAAGGTTGAAAATCATTCAAACGCTCACAATTTCGAAATAAAAAAAGTGTCAAAAGCGTGGCTGTAAGGTGTCAGTACTATTGCTTTGTTGTGCAGCGTAACAAAAAAACACTTAAGTCAAAAACGCGTGTGATGAAAACATTAGTTCTTTTAGGTTATTTTTGGTAAATTACAACTTTTATTGTTAGAAATGTCGTTTCGCGGGAGAGGAGGCGGTGGCGGGCGAGGTGGTTTTGGTGGGCGCGGAGGAGGACGTGGCGGGAGAGGTCGTGGCGGTGGCGGTGGAGGCGGCTTCAGACAACAGGACTTCGGGCCGCCGGAGACGGTCATTCCCCTGGGCCACTATGGCTGGACTGTTCAAGATGATTTAGTATGTAAAGTGGATATAGAGGACGTTCCGTATTTCAATGCCCCTATTTACCTAGAAAACAAGGAACAGATAGGAAAAATAGACGAGATATTTGGAAACTTAAGGGATTATTACGTTTCCGTGAAACTCGGGGAGAATATAAAGGCGAAGAGTTTTAAAGATGGGCAGCAGTTTTACATTGATCCCGCAAAGTTGTTGCCGCTAAAGAGGTTCCTTCCGCAGCCCCCGGGTGCTAAGAGAGGCGTGGGACGGGGTGGTCCCCGCGGTGGTCGTGGAGGAGGCTTTAATAGGGGAGGCGGAGGTTTCAACCGCGGCGGTGGCGGCGGTCGGGGCGGCGGCGGGTTTGGCCGTGGCGGCGGTGGCGGTGGCTTTGGCCGTGGCGGCGGTGGCGGAGGATTCGGCCGCGGAGGCGGTGGCGGAGGATTCGGCCGCGGAGGCGGAGGTGGGCGCGGGGGTGGTGGCTTCAGAGGTGGGCGCGGCAGATACTGAGTGATAGTGATAAGTGTTAAATATATTAAGACTTTCAATGGTAAAATATTCAATCAAGTTTGTGTCAGGACAATTCCAATGTACAGTAGACCCGCAGTAATCTAAAACACTTTGCCTTATAACCAGGGGCCAGATAACTGTGAGTCAACTGTATTTACAAATACAAGTGTATTACATAAATAATTTTTTTTTGAAACAATGTCATTCATCTCATAAAATGTGTTTTTCAAAATGTTATATTAATAAGTTAATTATTATAAGGTGCTATTTATATTATGTAAAAAAGACATGTGTAAATAAAACCTTTGTATTAATATGAAACAATACAGAAATTAGATTCAAGGAATATGTAGCACCTAACACAGTAGTAATGGATGAAATAAAAATTGTATAAGTGTAATTTGTGTTGACACAATATTGTATTTGACTATTTTCCTTAAATATAAGAATAATTTCTATTAAAAGTTTTTTGTATTACTCTCACCTTATCCCTACTACCTAGCTACAATTACATCAGGTGCTTTCAATAGACCTCGTAACTAAAAATCATGACATAACACTTCTTAACCAGATTGTACATGTATTTTCCTACATAAGAGAATATTGAAAGGAATCAAGCAGTTCATATTTTATTACTGGTAACTACATCAAATTTGTACTAATCTTTATTATAGATGTTGCAGGCACAACAAGTTAAATTGTTGAAAGGTCGGCAAAAAATATTAAAAATGTAGAACAGGATTGTAATAAGGTATTTTGTACTTATCACCAGACAAATTGCTGCATGACATATTGCCACTCGATACCTATCATCTGTTATGTTCTAAAATGTTCTCTCGTATGGAATCAGGTGTTTCTTTCATTCATATACATTAAAAAAAAAAGACATATTTTTTTTAAATAATTTATAACGACAATTTTACCATACTTATTCTACATTGTATTTTTAATGTGATGATAGAATTAACTAAAAAAAGATTTTTTTTCCATAGACAATATTTCCCTTTTTCATAATTATTTAGATTTATCTATTTTTGGTGCAAATCAATGTAAAACAGATTAAAAATGCAAATTAACTATTATTTCAATTATTCTAAATTGTCTAAATCACTTTTACTTGGACTGGGTACATAATTGCAAGCTAAAGCTCTTCCTCTATGGTTAAATATGTAGAAAGATGGCAGGTTCCGTTGTGTCTCCCATTTCGTGTTGTTTAATTCCGCTGCAGCAGGTATTTCTCTGAGATTGCCTGCTACATTCAGTACTCCCCACATTACAGCAAATAAACTCAATACTGCTTGGAGTACAATCTGTAAATTGAACAATCATTTGTTTAAATCTACAAGGTCACAGAGGAGTTGAGTTGTGGTCGATTTAAACCCAAAAACAGAAATATTTCAGAAGTTCTGAGTTATTATCTTCTTCTTATTCTAAACTTCTTGACTATTTTAATAGAATCATATTCTTTCTAGACACAAGAGGAGTCAATTTGTAATTTCAATACAATTATTGTGTACCTCTGTAATTTTGAATAAAACCTATAAATAAACTTACATCTAAAGGTAAAGTCGTAAACTCCTGTGAAGTGATCCTTAAGTAAGTACGATCTGTAACACAAACATTTTAATTAAAAAATGACTTAGTAAAAGTTAAATCAAATATAAGTAATAAGCGTTAGATCTTACGCTGCGCTGCTGAGAATGCGGAATGAAATAAAGAAATGAATCCAACTAGTACAATAATCCTGTGAATCGATGAGTCCATGTTTTGAAGTCACAGTTATTTATATTTCTATTAAAATCTTATACTTAGAAAACTTTTCTAAATGTAATTAAATTATAATGTTTTGCGGACTCCAAGAAATGAAAAATTATTTAATTATTTAATAGAATTATATTGGAATTGTTAATGTGAAATTTACTATAATTAAAGCTAAGGGACAGGATGACTTGACACTTGACAATAATATGACAGTGACATTTAAATATCAGTATTGGAGGCATATTATAAACCTGTAAATAATCAATGAAAAATTAGTTTGTTTCAGGCCTAAGCCTAAATTTTAATAAATTCGCTGTAGGTGTTTAGTACATTTCAAAATTTTCTAAAGATTTGAACCAAACATTTAGGGATTTAGGATACAATACGTGTATTGCAAAAAGACATTGGTCGGAATTTATGATCTGTGGTTAGGTAATTTCATTTGAATCTTTTACTCTATTATCAATCTCCATCTTCATCATTATTTGTCATTATTCATTCAATATTTCACTACTCTCTGGTCATCAACAAACGGAAACTGTGGTGCGGTGTTGTGAAACGGCCACTTTTATTTTGATAAATTTAAATTAATTGGAAACTAATATTGATATTAGTTAATAATGCCCCGTAATCCTAAGTTAGAAGAATTCGAAATCGAAACAAAACCGACAAGGTCTATTAGAAGAGGAAATGTTTCTAATTTCTTTTATGATTCGAATACAGGCGCTTTTTTGGGAAGGACGGCTGAAAGTTGGGGTAAGTTTTCAATTTATGTTTGTTTTTCAATTACGATACTAAGTGATCATTCAATATTTGCAATAATTTCATATAGTTTAATTCAAATAGTTGTTTACAAGGAACATAAACTTGCTTATTTTGAGGGCGTGGCTATTTTGGCTGTTATTGTTGATGATAAAACAGGATATCAAAGATTTCTTATTGTATTTTTAAGTGAGAAGTAGAAATGTTGCTAACACCACTAAATGTCTCAGCAACCATTAAATAGCTACAAAATAAAAAGCAATAGACAGAATTTATTTATTACCCAAAATCAAAATAATTGTTACTGTAACTTGGTATGGTACTGTCGGACAAACAATATGTTTTACCCCTTAAATGAATATTACAGAAAATGTTTTATTGTTTTTATTATCAAACAATTAAAAACAGGTACTTTCTCCAAAAAAATAATAGTATAATAGTTTTATTTCATAAAATCGATAATCAATTTTACTTCCTAAAATTTGCAGCAACTGATTAAAAATAAAGTAAAATTGATTATTTTTTATAAACTTTTGCTTGAAGAAGTTTTCTAAAAATGGCAAAGATTGTTCTTAAACTTTTGATATTCATGTTGCAGTATATTCATCTTTTACTTTGTATTTTGATGTAAACAATTTCGCCTAATTTGGGGAAGCCCTATAATCCTGTTAATGATTTATAATTGAGACATCATGAGGTCAAACAAATCACTTAGTGAGCTGCTGCTTTTAATCCCAAGAAGTCATACAATAGCTAGGTCAAAAGAATGTTTAGTTTTCCATGTCATAATTACTATTAACTTTACAAAAAATTCAAGTTGTAATCCAATTAATGTAAAATTATGATCCAATATTTATTTTACAGTAAATAAAAAATAATACAATGCACAATTCAGGGCCAATACAAGAATAATATAATGCTTTTAAATTTTCATACACATAAATATATTTTTTTTCAATAAAATGTCTTTATCTTGATTTAAATCAATAATTTTTAATATTACATATTTGTTTCAGGTAAAATCATATTATTTTACATAATATTCTATGCAGTGCTGGGGGCTCTCTTCATGATATGCATGGTAACATTCAAGGAACAATTTATCAACCCTCGCGTGCCACGGCTGCAGCAGGACCGGGGCCTGATTGGCACCAGCCCGGGTCTCGGCTTCCGACCCCTGCCACCTGATGTCAGGAGCACCCTAATCTGGTACAAAGGCACCAGCTATGAGAGCTACAAGTATTGGGAGGATGAACTTATTGAGTTCTTGAAAGGTGAATAACTGATTCTTTACAACTGTTAACTATTTGGTGAACTATGTAATGTTGTATATTGATTTCAAGAGAAAAAACGGCTTTGCCATCCTTAACTTTGCCTACATTTAGTTAAACCAATAAACACTGGAATTGTATCGTAAATATTTAATTGAGATCCTTAGAAAGTATTAAAATGAAACTTGTAACTTTGCCTTCTAACTTGACATTTTAACATTTTATGGCATGCAATTGGCCAATTGTAAACAATTAGGGAAGCCAATCGGTTAGTGCCAACTATCTCTAGATAACATATTGATCTATTGATCTGGAAGTTTTCTAAGAATATTGTAGGCTAAAATAATTTATTTTTAATGGTAGTGTACAAGATGAAAGGCCAGACTGCGGGTGCTGGTCAAAACATCTTCAACTGCGGTTTCCGGAGTCCGCCGCCGCCGGGTAAGGTGTGCGATGTCGACATCCGTGCCTGGGAGCCCTGCATCGAGGAGAACCATTTCTCTTTCCACAAGTCTTCGCCGTGCATCTTTTTAAAGTTGAACAGGTAAGACAATTTTTTATACTCGCATCCTGTGGTTCTTATCCGCTTTTTACCTGTTAAGGGGTAATCAACATACGGTCTTTGAATAAGAGAGAGATGATTGTAACTTTGTTTTTACTGTTGGAAACATATTTTAGCATGGCTCCAAATTTTTGTGACGAAATGTTTTTGATTGTTGCATGCACTTGTACTTTAGTAGTATGTTTCTCTAAGTTTCTCCCTTCGAGGCCTCTACCGTTGGTTTCTGAGATCCAAAATCACCGTTTAAAACATATTGCTATCTCTGTTTTGTCAAAGTTGAAAGACGGGAATTAAGATGTTTTATACCGACATTTTAGTTTTAGAAACCCACGGTTACTGTGGTAGTTAGTTTTTCAAGTAAATGTGCTATTTGCTAGTTTATGATGAGATGTAGAGGTGGGCGGGGTGCGAGGGGGCGGGCATGGTGCGTGCGTGATTCGTAAATACAAATGCAATAGTACAGTACGAGGGATGCCGTACTTGTGTTAATCTGTTGATATCCTGCTGACAAATCACTTTTATATGTTTTATGTAGGTTTTCATTAGATTATTATAAAGTTACTTATGTATATCCAGTTGCTAATTTTATATAGATACATAATGTAAGAGAGTTCTATTTTATTTCAATTTGTTTGATAGAAATGCGTTTTTTGATTAATTTGCTTTTTATTTCTAATGAAAATCATTTACTGGTGGTGCGGGATTAATTCTTTGTCTCATTCTCTCAAAAAAAAAAAACATTATAGGTTTTCGGCAATGCAATTTCACGTTAAGCTGACCAAACATTTTAAAAGTATTGAAAATGTATGAGAATTGTATGTATGTTAGGATCTACGGATGGCGGCCGGAGTTCTACAACGACACAGCGAACCTGCCGCACGACATGCCGCATCATCTGCAGACTCACATCAGGAACCTCACACAGTACAATAGAGACTACGTGAGTATACACTGTACCACATCTAAACATCATCGTCACCTCACTACACGTCGCCACCCTAAGCCAAGGGTAATTAGGTCATAGTCAACCACACTGGCCAAGTGCAGGTTGGTTGACTTCACACATATCTTTGAATCTCTTTGTAGATATGTGCAGGTTGCATCACGATGTTTTCTTTCACCGTAAGAACGTCGGATAAATGTACATATGTAAATAGGAAATCGAAAAACACATTGGTACATGGCAGGAAACCTGGACCTGAAGATTGCAAGTCAATTGCTTAACCCCTCAGCCATTGACGCTGTAAACATACACGTAGTAAAGACAAGTTACGTCAAACCAAATGTTAATGTGAACGACTTTTCTTACTATTGCTATGAATGTAAAATCTGTACAAAAAGACAATATTCCTAAAGAAAATGTCTTGGACGACTTCCTCACGCCAATAACTCGGCTCGAAGAGACATCACTCACAGAAATATATCGTGGACCCTTGGACTTTTGCTTATCCAGGTTTGACTGTATTTTCACCTAAAATATGATAAAGAAATGTGTCTACTAAGAAGTTATAATTACAGATTGTTTACAATAAATTTATTATGAAGCTAGGTGTCACTAATAAAGAGAATATTGTAAATTTTCAGGCGAACATGGTGTGGGTGTCGTGCGAGGGGGAGACTCCGGCTGACAAGGAGAACATCGGCGTGGTGCGCTATCTGCCCTACGCCGGCTTCCCCGGGTACTTCTACCCTTACATGAACGCTGAGGGATATCTCAGCCCCCTGGTCGCCGTGCATCTCGTCAGGCCCAAAAGTAAATACATCTCTTATCATTTGTGAATATATATATAAGCATTACATGACTCAACATCGGGTGCACCAAAAGCCAGTTCCTCCGGCACTGATCTCTATACATGGCTAGTTATAATACAATTGCTTGGAAATGATAGCTTTTGCTTCCTTCCGATTTAAACGCACCTCTTTTAATGTTACGTGAAAGTTAATTCTATCTGTATTAGTTTGAATTCAATCCACTGCTAAAAGTCAATACCATCAACGTCAAATGACGAAAGTAAAACACAAAATACAATGTTAGCGTTCTCCGGTGTAATACCACGACCACACAGAACACACGTCTCAACTATTTCTGCCAGAACCAAATTATAGTCCACTACCCCTTCCTACGTTTTTCTGACAAGGAAAACAAAATATCTTTTGTCTGTATCCTAAGTAGGCAATGTCGCTGCAATTTTTCAACTTTAGGTAAAAATAGTAAACAATTAATAGGCCATGTGTTCCTGCAGACTATGTTATACATCTATACCAAATTTGTGCGAGATCCATGCAGCCCTTCTGCAGGTACCTTCCTACAAACATACATACATTCATCCAATTGCGTTTATAACATTAGTTCGATTTTAGATAAGGGAAATTGATTAGGTTTGAGATATAGATGAATTGTTTGTTTTGTTCCAGCTGGTAGAGTTATAAACATAGAATGTCGCGCGTGGGCGAGGAACATCAAGTACGACAGGCGGGAGAAGCTGGGTGTCGTACATTTTGAGGTTATGATAGAATAATGTTCACTCTACTGGGTACTGTCGACTATTTCATTCATTTCATTTTATTGTAAGAAAAATTATGATGTATGATTTTTGTCTTAAAATCTCAGTGTAACTATATAATTTATCGATTAAGAAGTCATAAGAAAATAAATAAAAACTAGTGATTAAAGCAATTTTTGCGAAGGATTCTCGCTTTTACAATTGACCCTCGTATGAGCGAGAAACCTCTTTAAGGAGTCATTTTTGAATAATGATTTAACTGTAAATCATGAATATACCACCGTTTCGTAGATATCATGATGAAATACCATAGAGAATCTCTATGTTTTTTTTTGTGTTAATCAAAAGACTATGTTGTGGTCCAAATTTAACTTTATATGAAATATTTTGCTAAAAAATAGCAATTACTTCGAAAAAAGCGAAACAATTTAAAAAATGTTTAAAAAATATAATTCTATTCTTAATTACATTCCATATCATATACTAAATATTGTATGTGATAATTGTACGCCGTCCACTAATAAATTAATCTCATTATTTTTACAATTGTGAGGAAAATGACATTTTTCTTCATTCCTCTATGATATCTACACTTGTTTTTTATAATATCTTGTATTCCATGTACTTTACTGTACCGTCCGTTTATTTATAGACATAGTCTGTAGTCTACTATATGCTTGTTTTTATATTACCAAATAAAATACATAATCACTTATATAAAAATAAAATATGTTAAACCAGATATAATATTTGAGCTTCATATAGAAAGTTACATGTTGATTTTTTTTTGATTTTATGATTTTAATAATTGTAATTGAGATCTGTTTAGAAATTCGCGGACGAAATTGGTCATTTTTAGGGTTCCGTACTTAAAAAGGGAAAAATCGGAAACCTGATAGGATCACTTTGTTGTCCGTCCGTCTGTCTGTCAATACCCTTTTTTTTATAAATGTATTAACGAAAACTGCCAATTAGGCCAATTTTACGATAAAAATCTCTTAGATATAATTTTTTTTACATTTTGAGATAATGATTAATTTTAAAAAATGCATTTAAGTTATGACATTTATTAATTTACTTTATTTGATTTTTTATTGTGCTTGTGATGTTTTCTCCGTCCTCTTAGGTACATTTTTGACAATTATATTTTTTTAAGACTGACTGACTGACAGTTTGATAAAATTTTTACAAAATTGACATTTTTATTTTATTGAAATTAATATGAAATCATGGATCATGTAAAAAATATTTTTTTTTTAATTTTTTAGTATCGGTATGTTTTTTATATTTTACTGTCTACATAACTTTACATTATGTATTTCGGTTGTATCCGTCCATGTGTATTTAATATGTGAAGGTTACACAGTATGTTATTTTTAAGTGGAATCTCGAATTATGGCAATAATTCTATTATAAATCAATAACCAGTAAGAGATACGTAGAAATAAGCTACGTATATTTTTTGACATACATTTATTCTCTTATATATCTTATATTATATATAAATCTATTATTATGTCATCAAGTTAGTTTTTTATTTTGATCATGACCTTGTATATGTTTTGTTTTTTTTTTCTTATTTTTTTTTGTGGGTTTATGATAGTTGAATCCGTCCGCTGCAGCAGATATTATTTTATATAGAATTAATACAAAAAATGTATTTTATAATGAATGTAATGTAATGTGTGCCTCTAATATTGTTTAAACTAGATTAGTTAAAATAAAATAATTTCCATGAAAATGCTTGTTTTTTTTTAAACTATTAAACATCACTCAGTGAAAGAGACTTCTTAGAGCCAAAGTTACTTAAGGCGTTAGGGGGCACAAAATATACTGATTTTTTTTTTAATTATTTTTTGAAGTCTTCAATTGAATTTGTAGCATTAAACCTTTTTTTGTGCATGAAACTTTAAAAAAATTACATGTACCTACAATATACATCCTGTATATTATCTAGGACAATGGATATGTGGGTAAGTACTTTTTATTAACTATCGGTTTTAACCAGTTTGATGTTTGGTTTAATTAAACGAGCGTATGTACATAAGAAATATTGCGTGTTTGTTCACT